TGATACTGCAACGCCTGTTCAGCATAATAATACTTCCAACAGAGTTGCTGAATCTTCATCAGGTATCAACGCTTCCTTAGAACAACCGGCTGCGAGCAAACCTGGTGGTGCTACCCAAGGGCCGTCTTCCACAGACGAAACACGCCAAATGGCGGTTACACCTTACCCTAAGAAGGCATTAAGCCTTTCGGTAAATGCCCGTTCAAAGAACACGAGACAATATGCTGAACCGGGTATAGACATCCATGAACATCATGGGCCTATCTCTGCAAGCTCTCCTGTGAAGGCACATCCAGTCTTGGCCGCTGAGCCTATATTTTCAGCTATGAGAAAAGAGTCTTTATCCAGTTCGTCGATGCCTGTGCCAGAACCGGTCCCTTCGAGCGAGTTCCAATTGACCGATCTGGCAGAATCTGCAGTTTTAGAAGCCGGCTTACCCGTATCAACTCAAATTATGGAGGATGTGGCAATGCACTCTGGAGAGAGACCAACAAACGATATAGAGATGGACTTCGACAGTGGTGGAGTCGCAGCAATAGTCGCTCAGCGTGGCAATATTAGTCCTGGCACAGTTTCAATCTCCAGGGCTGCTAATGATCATGACCCTTCAAGGCAACTCCAAAAGCCTATAAAAACCACGGATGGTTACCCCGTGATGAACTTACGTTCTGAGCCGCCTAAGCATATGATCCCAAATTCACCCGAGATCGCTTTGACACCATCCGTAACCGCTCCCGTTTGTAGCCTGGCTTCTTTGGGAGTTGCAACGGACTCCGAAGTAGACGTCCTACTTTTGTCTTGTTCACCTCAAGTGTCTAAGGAGGCGCAACCTTACTTCGAATATTCTGTTTTCCAAAAGGTATGGTCAAGCGAGCAAATCGAAGAAAGCATTGCGGCCACCGAAACGACCGTACGGCCCTTCACCAGTATCGTTGAGGCAAATGCACAGGCTGAAAAGACATTCCAAAACGGCTTTGCGCACTCCTTCGACCCTTTTTTCGAAAGCCGCACCACGCGCGATGAACATGGATGCTCAATTCTCACTGGCTCCGCCACACCTTTTGACAACCCCATAAAGAAGATTTATTTCAAGATCTGGGTCCAGCGCGACATTGTTTCTAAATTCGCTAACCAGACGCCACAAACACTGAGAGCGACATCATTCATCTCAAGCACCTGCTACATCCTGCGCTTATTCAATCTTGCTGAGCAAGCCGATACCGAAGGTCCAGATGCTTCCGATTCGGAAGATAGTGATTCTCCGGCATGCGAGCCAGTTAGGGTGTATCAGTCCCACAGCCGTCCTGAGATATACACTACTCTCGATGCCGCTAACCGCGCGGCTCGTGCTCTGCAAATTGAGCTCAGCCACGAGAGAGAGCCGAAAGACGAGTTTAGCAGGGCATTCCAGGAAAAGAACTTGAAGGAGCTGGATACAAAGTTGCGTGAACTTCAATCGAGGGAGCTAGACGGTGGGAATGATGGTTGTTGGAAAGGTAAGTTTAATGCGTGTGGTCTAGGGGCAGACACCTTGGAAGTGATAGTGGAAAAGACTAGCATTTGCGGAGCACGGAACCTCTGAAATGCGGGCGTGACGGGACAGACTGTGGTAGGACGAGTGCGAATGAGATGTATGATGGGCAAAAGGTGGTGGTGTTTACAATTTTGATTCTTTTGTCGTCTTGCTTGCGTGCTTGGTCTGCAGGGCACAGTTTCCCAATCGATTGAAGTATCTATACCTGGAACTGCTGGGCGAGTAGTATATGGCTTTGAACAATCTATGGTAACTTCCTTACAATGTCCGTATCATGGATCTCCAACTGACGTGCTTTTCATAGAATCTTGTCTGTACTTTTTGTTTCTGGTTGAATACCCTCAATCTAAGCCGTGAATAGGAAGCAACCAACACGCAAGAACTATTGTGCTCAAATAATGGATTGTGATCAACACATAGTGTATATGCAGGGGGGGTGGTGTACGATGCAGGTGACTTGTTATCAACAAAAAGCAACAATCAACAAACACACACCGGCTGAAGTGGCGTGTAGCCAGGCAGGCTGCGCAATAGCAAAAAGACCACAACAACATAACACAGCCCACTTGCAACGATGAACCCCGCAGCGGCAGCACTTAGCGCATGTAAACAATCGATTACAAGGTTAGACAGCCTCATCGGGATCGCGTCCGAGCGGGGGTTGGGGGCGCCACAGTGGGTTATAACAGCGCCGAGGTACCGACTACAACGACGAGTTCCAAGTTACTACAGTTTCAGCATCAGCGCTTGTGAAATACGATGGAGGCCCGTGTGTTTTTGGTTAACGGTTGTTGAGTCAGTCTCCACTGCCGGCACTAACCAGAACCAAAATCCGAGGATCGCGATTCAGATATTGCAGGAAACAAGGAAATCCTGACTGGTGTGCGTGTGTGTGTGTGTGGATTGGATGTCAGTTGTCTCTTTGGTATGGATGGAAACCAACATTGTCAAGAGGAATTTGTACATTCATTATCCTCATCATCATGAGATGGTCGTAAGCGAGACTTCTCACTATGCGGAAAAGTTGAAACAATATATAGTACATGAATACTTTTAGTCATACCACGTTATTGCGAATGCTTAGATCAGAGCCTCACCTCTAAACATGGCTTCCCTGACTTCCCTGACGACATCTGCCCGATCACCCGGACCAAGCAACACGATACCCCTTCCTCGCCTGCCCATACGACCCGTTCGACCAAGACGGTGAATGAAATCGATCGTTGTATGTGGGACATCATAAAGAATGACATGGCGAACGGAGACCGTGTCGATACCTCTTGAGCCCAAGTCGGTTGTAACAATGACCTTTGTGTTGGGTAGGATGCGCTTGTTCGCCGGCTCAATCTTCTTCTCTTGGTTTTCTGCAGTTTCCCTGGTGGATGCATCGTTTGTGAAGGACTTGAGGATATTGGCCTGACGAGTGGGATCGGTGTCCCGGTGGAAGGCGTGAGCATCGATACCCTTCTTGACGAGGTATTGTGCTACTTGTTCAGTGTCTTCGCGTTCGTTGACGAAGACCAGGATACGCTTAGTGGGTATAACTTCCTTGCCTTCGTTGGGGTCGAAGTCGGCGGATGCCTTGCCAATCTGCCAGACTGTGTCTGCGCAGGCGAGCATCTTGTTGCCTCGATACGGGTCCTTGTTCACATCAACGACACCTAGCTGCACCCTTCGCGGAATGGCGTGGAGGTTGGGTGTGACGAGACGCTGCATGTCGGGGAATCGGTCGGCAAGATACTTGTCAAGGTACTTTGGAATGGTGGCGGAGCAGAGGACGAGCTTTCTGAGGGAGGGGGTAGCGCGTTCGAGGATCTCGGTTGTGCTTTCCTTGAAGGAGCGGTCGAAGAGCGAGTCTGCTTCGTCGCAGATGAGGTGGGTAACCCGGGCAAGGATGTTGGGGTTGCTTTCAGCGATGCTGGCGAGGAGTGGTGGTGTGCTGATGACGACATCGACACCATTGGGGTTGAAGAGCTGATTGCGGATGACTGTGGCAGACATCTTGGCTGAGATTGGAGCAGCGCGAAACTTGATGGTGTGGGAGAGCCTCTTTGCGACGGCTCCGACTTGAGCAACGAGTTCGGCGGAGGGGACGAGGATGATTGCGCGCGGTCGTGCTGGGTCTACTGCCTTGTTTGTCTCTGGCTCCTCGACGGCGAACATGTCTGTCCTCCTGTCGTGTTCTTTGGATGCCGCCTCTGCAGCATCTCTCCTGGCCTGCTCCTCGGCGTCTTCTTTCTCGCCGACTTCCTCGTGTTTGATGGCGTCGAGGGTAGGAAGAAGGTATGCCAGCGTCTTTCCCGAGCCTGTCTCAGCTGCCAGTAGGAAGGAGTCTGGCCCACTCTTCTTGGTCTTTACTTTTGCGCGCACAGCCTTTTGCCGGCCGAGGAGGGCGGGTATAGCGACGGCTTGTGCGGGGGTTGGGTTGCGGTATTCGAGGTCGGGCAGTGCATCGTTCACGGCGCGTAGGGTAGGTTCGGCGAGGGGGAACTTGTCGAACGAGTCGTACTGTTCGAGCTGTCGCTTGACGGCGGTGCGGTTGTTGTAGGGCACCTGGTGCAGCGAACTCTGCATCTTAAGGGCATGGAAAGGCTCCGACCGCGTCCTCCTCTTGCCGTCATCCCGTCCTGTCGCCGCCCGGCTGCCACGTGCTTCTCTCTGCTCTCGTATCCGTTGCAGTCCCCGTGGCACGTCGGTCCGGTTCAGGAAGTCGAAGGCGTCTGGCTTCCTCGTCGGCGCTCTGTTTGCTGTGCGCGCGACATCGTCTGCGAGAACCATGCGCGAGGGCCGGGGATTGTCGCGCCCTCTGAAGCCCGACGAGGGCCTTGGTGGGCGTGAGGAAGAAGCGCCATGACGCTCCCCTCTCTCGCGCTGGACCTGGGTATATAGGCGGGTCTGCTGGGGTGGTGGCAGTTTCAAGAGGGCGCGCACTTGGCAAAACGGGCAAACTCTCCGCAACATGGCTACTTGGTTGCAAGTACAAGCAGGATTCAATGAAGAAGTCAGACTAGACTAGCATGCTCTGGCTACACTAAACCTTGACTAAAGGGATCCGACCTGACGTCGGCACTGCACAGGCGATCGTGCAGATAATTTCAGGCGCTAAGACGCGATAAGCGGCACGTTACCGGAGCAACTGCACGCAACACCGACGCCTTGCCTACATCCCGGCTATCAACACTTGATAGCACCAGCGGCCCCAACCATATCATAGTAAAGCACCCACACTTCCTCCTCCGCTTCTCCATCGCACATCTGCCCAAGCGCTCTGTCGGTGTCCTTCACTTCTCTGCCATTTCTTTAATCAGCGCGCATCCCTTAGTTGGCTGACTCGACACGACTCCTCGAGGGAGCCCATTCTTCTTCAGCACCACGACTCGACTGCCCGCTGCACGCAAACAGCCGCACTGCATCTGTCAACAACAGTCCGCCTTTGCCAGCACGAGCGTGCTCAACACCAGCCATCATGTCGCGCAATGAAGCGGTAAGCATCACTTCTCATCTTATTCTTCCTTTTTGCCTCCACTGTTTCGTGTCTTGGCCACGCGATGCTGACCGCAATGGCCACAGGTGTCGCCGCTGCGCATCAACAAGACACCTACTCCCTCGCCCACAAAGGGAAGCGGCCGTCCCCTGTCAGAAATCAGCCCCCATGAGCACCGCAGGAACTCTCCCAGCTGGAATCAGACAACAAAGGTATGTGCCGAGGCCGCCTTTCCCACCTGCATTCCCACTGCAGCCTGCTAACATCCGACACAGAAGATTATCCTCACCAAGGAGAGCTCGCCATTCCGCGACTCTTCGCCTTTTACTCACAGCCCGCGTCTCTTCTGGAAGGAGCAGACCACCTCGCCCAAGAGCCGCTTCGACACGTCGGAGAACGAGTACGAGGGCAGCTCGCCTCTCTCGCCCAAGCGCAACTCCATCGAGAATCTGAAGAAGCAGTCGCGTGTCAAGAACAGCAGTATGTTCGCGCGCGAGCAGAAACACGAGTACGATCCTACCTCGGTCCAACCACTCGACCGCCCACTCGCTGCAGGACGCCCTCTCAGCACCGCTATCCAGGGCAATGCCTATGGCGGCAATGGCCTCCAGGGCCTCCGTAGTGAGAACGAGAGCCCCACAAAAGGTCACCACCACAGCCGGTCTGAGAGCCAAACACGGATCCCCATCCTGAGCCCGTCCAAGACGTCACCAGCAAAGCTCCCCACACAATCCTCATTCGCTTCACCATCAAAGCCTTCTCCGTCTGAGGGCCGCATGTCGCCGACCAAATCTTCGCTTGTCAGCAACGGTCGCTTCAACTCGCCGCAGTACAACGGTGACTCCAGCGCCATCATGTCAGATGACGAAGAGCTCGTTCATCAGACTCCCCGCCCACTGCGCCGTCATGCTAAGAGTGTGACTTTCGACACAGCTCCACCCCAAATTACAGAGTTTGAGTTGGTCACACCCGACCCTTCGGTCGCCACTATGTCACGAGACGGCAGCTACGACTCCGAAGAGGAGACAGAAGAGGAGATGAGCTTCGACCAGGATGACAGCTTCGACGCTTCACTAGAGGACACCGATAAGACTCCAGTTGTCCTGCCTGAGGACTGGCGCCACATGAGCCCGCAAGCCGCAGACACTTCTCTGACCGATCTCTACGATGATGTCTTTGACGGGCGTGAGAACAGTCCCATGCCTTCAGCACGCCCAAATGGCACGACCAACGGATCGCGTGTCGGCTCAGTAGCGTCTGACAGCGATGCTAGGCCACTTCCTCCTCTTCCCGCCATACAAGGTAGCCCCAACCGACGGCGCGACTCCAGCATTGGCCTTTCCGCTGCCGCAGAGCGAGTAGGCGATAGGCGGCGCTCCCTTCCTCAGCTTCCGCAAGCAGCTGGTATCTCTAAGAGTGATCTTCTCAACATGCGAGAGGTGTCTATGTCGCTTGAGGATCGGTTGCGGTTGATGAACTTCGACGACGATCGTGATACAAGCACACCGACTCAGGAGATGCAAAACAAGAAGAAGGCTGCAGAGGTTGACGTTGCAGAAGTGGACGTTACAGAGTCGGAGCTAACGCTTGACGAGCCGAAGATCCCGCGTATCTCTCGCGAATCCATCCTCCGCCGCGTCAAGAGCCGCACCTTCGACGAGGGTGAGGACGACGAGCAAGAGGAAGAGGACGACGAGTACAGCACATTTGAGCCCGAGTACAGTCCTGAGCGCAGCTATGGCGACCTTGCTGACTTGGACCCCGATGTCCCCATTCCGTCACGTGAGGCCTCCTCCAACTTCGACGAGCATCCGCGTCAAGTCTCTGTCAGCGAGGCCGATAGCGTCGTCGACGCTTACAGTTACCACAACGCAGACAGGGCAGAAGATGACCATGCCGAGGAAAGTGATGTAGATGGCAGCTCAATGTCTCAGCTTGAAGACTACGAACGCGAGTCCTCTGTCATTCGGCATCCAATGCCTCAACACTCAGATGACGAAGATGATACTAGCCAATACTCGCCTCAACCTGACGAACCGTCCATTGCGCAGAGTACCATCGACTCCTCTGGCCCATCAACGCCCGTTGCCGCTCCCTCTTCCCCTGTCTCGGCAGAGAAGCAGGTGCCACAGGATGAGATGTACTCCACATTCGAAGGCAAGGACGTGGACCTTAGCTTGGATCCTCTGAAGGCGTCTATGGCGACAGCACCAAGTCCATTGGACTCAGTCCCTAAGCTAGATGCCATGCGCGACTTCCTACGACGACCTGTCACGCCTGAAGCTCCCGACATGGACGAGGATCAGTCGGAATCGGAGGACCCTGGTACTCCAGATTCTGTCATTCGTCACCCCATGCCTGTCTCCCCGGCTCCTCAAGAGAACGCTCCAGAGGTCCCTCAACGGGAAGCCACCATCCGAGGTGCAGGTGGAAAGTTGAAGACGCGGCCATCACTGATTCCCGACGATATTGACATGGCCGCTACACGCCGCCAGGTTAGTGGCCAGCATGCGCCTCCTGTTCCTGAACGCAGTCCAAAGCGCCAATCAATGAGTCTCGAGCTTGGCAACGCCGACGACGAGAGCCATGATGAAGACGATACGCAAGTGAGCATCACAACCAAGCAGAATCGCATGTTGGACTTGCAGCTCGGTGATCTTAACCTTGGTGACGATTCGACTGACCTCAGCTTCGGGCTGGACAAGGAGTTTGACCACATCATTGAGTCACAAAAGGTACGAAATCTCTTTCCTATTCCCTCGCTCCCCAGATTGCCTGAATCCATCGCTGCTGTCGCGGACACAGCTTGTCAGATGTCTGGTGGAAGATTTATTCACAGGCACAGTCCCGCTAACGACATGGTTCACGAACAGAAAGGATACTTGATGCGCGAGAACACAAAGGTCGTTGTTGCGAGCAGTCGCCAATTCAGCGACGAGAAGCCTCCTACTCCTACCGAGGCCACGAGCGAGGCAGCTGCCAAGCCTGTCTCTCGTAAGACGAGCGCCGAGCGCAAGCCTGCCTGGACAAAGGAGCCTTGGAATGGTAAGCCTCGTAGGAAGAGCATCCGAACGGCATCTGGTCGTCGTACTCGCACCTCCGAGGGCCCAGCTCCACCTCTTCCTGGCCAAGAATCCGCTGTCGCTGGCGGACTAGACTCCGTTGCTGAGCAGGGAGTGGACGGCGAGCCTGAAGAAGGTGAGGAGCGCGGTTTGGTTTTCGTCAAGGTTGTGGGGGTTAAGGACCTCGACCTTCCCCTGCCAAAGCATGAGCGTACCCACTTCCAGTTGACGCTCGACAACGGCCTGCACTGCGTCACAACATCTTGGTTAGAGCTTGGCCAATCTGCTCCCATCGGGCAAGAGTTTGAGCTTGTCGTCATGGATGACCTTGAGTTCCAGCTTACACTGCAAACTAAGTTGCAGCCTCCAGCGGTGCCCCAGGTTGTCGCTGCGCCTACTGCTAAGGCCGTAAACCACAAGAAGTCACACTCTGCTTTCCGCAACCTCCTCTCATCGCCAAAGAAGAGGAAAGAGCAGGAACGCAAGGCTCAAGAGGAGGCTGATCGCATCGCCCAACAGGAGCATCAGGAAGCTCAAGCCGCCGCCAAACGTAATCAAAAGGCCACCGCATGGGATCTTCTCCACGACCTTGTCGGACCCGACGGCTCTTTTGCCCGTGCCTACGTTTGTCTCAACAACCATGAGAACCAAGCTTATGGCCGTCCCTTGACCGTTGATATTCCCTGCTTCAATGAGTGGGCTGTCGACAACACCGGCGCCAGCAGTGTCAAGAGTAAGCGTGGAGGTGTTGTTCGTCGTCCACCTTACCGGGTGGGTAAACTTACCCTTCAGCTTCTGTATGTCCCCAAGCCCAAGAACGCAAAGGATTCGGACATGCCCAAGAGCATGAATGCTGCTATCCGTGAGCTCAAGGAAGCTGAGCAAGTCAAGGACATCAGCTTCGAAGGCACCTTGAGCCAGCAGGGTGGAGATTGTCCGTACTGGCGACGCCGATTCTTCCGCCTGGAGGGTACAAAGCTTACCGCTTACCACGAGTCTACACGGCAACCTCGTGCTACTATCAACCTGGCCAAGGCCTCCAAGCTCATTGACGATAAGAGCGCCCTTCAGCAGCCATCTGCTACAAAGTCTGGTGGTCGTCGCAAGTCCGGATTTGCTGATGATGAAGAAGGCTACATGTTCGTAGAAGAAGGCTTCCGCATTCGTTTCGCCAACGGTGAGGTCATCGACTTTTACGCCGACAGCCGCGAACAAAAAGAGGCCTGGATGAAGGTGCTCTATGAGACTGTTGGCAAAGACATTGCTCAGAACAAGGGCTGGGCTGCCATGGTCCTTGAGAAGGAGCGCAAGGAGAAGGCTACGCGGTCACAGATTGGCGCACCAATCTCACCAACCAAGTCGCATCCAGTGCCAAATTCACCGAGTGTCAACCGCCGGCCTTCTCACGCACGCACCCAATCTCACGACATATTAGGCTCAATCAAATCAGGCCCATCAAGTCCCGTCAAGGGGCACGCCCGCACACAGTCGCATGCGCCTCCTCCACCTCTAAAGGATGTCCGCATGTCACACGCACCACCCCCACGACCGCGAACCCAGGAGTCAGGGAAGCCGGGACGTAGAGAGCAGGTTCGATCGATGATTTTCTAGTCTTCCTTTTTATCTTCATCATCGATACCACTCATCTACTTTCTTTGAATCATTCACTTACTTACTGGCCTTTCTTTGTGTTTTAGCTTCGCCAATACTCTACTCTTTCGCACCGACTAAGATTGGGGTTTTGGAGACGGCGACAGGCGAGGAGAACTTTGAAGGGATTGGGTGCTGCGCATCCATTTCCCGAGTTGAGCAAGCCAATTCGATGAGCTTGACACTTGAGTACATTCGCGCGGAGCCGCGGAAAAGTCGAGGGAGCGTTGCTGCTTTCGTTTCCTTATATCATGTCTTATCATTGTTCTTGTTACTGTCCGGCGCAGGTCGGAGTTGTCTCATTCCTGGAGTTGGAGGCTATGGTCTTATGATACTCTGCATAATGATTGAAGGAGCGATGAAGTACATGGGGTATGAGTAGCAGTTGTATAAGGCGGATGAGAATATAGCATGACTTCAAAAACAACATGTCTTGGGTGACTGACCAAATGCAGCTGATATACAGGACTGCTGTTCTAATATTCAGCATAGTAAATTGCGAATGGCAGCGTGCACTGTCGCCTGGCGACTTAAGCAACTTACCTAGCATGGCAGCCACGGAGTATCTCATCATAGCAGAAAATGCTCAAAAGTACTCTTAGAATGTTGTAGTCTCAATTCCGTCGGCAATGAGCTTTTCGAGCACTTTGATGTGTGGTGGTAATTTTCCGCGACATTACCATGATGTTGTCCGGGTGGGAAAATCACACACTATCTACGATGCTTATACACAAAGATACAATGACACCATACACAGGATTCTACTCACAAGTCACACACCTGCATTCATTGCTTTTCACAACGCTAGATCTATCGTTGAGCCAGCCACACGAAAACAGAAAAGTAGACAAGCAGCCTTCTCGTGATACGAGAAGGGCCAAACTGCGACACGACAATAGCTGCTGTCGTGCAACGCAGCACTTGCGCATCCCATTTAGCACGAGCAAACAAATGACAGCTGACATGTCAGAGCATTTCCAGTCGGTGAGCATCAACACACCGTGCTGCAATACTTATCTGTTCTCGTTCTCGTTCTTCGCTCGTCATTCTTTTCTTTTCAAACGAACGAAGGATTGTAGTGAACGAACCTTCAAGTACCGAGATCGATATATGTACCTGGTATAGGCGATACCTGTGCTTTTGGTCTGCGACGAGAGCTAAGATTGCCAGTCTGTTTGTAGAATCCCATCTAGAATCACCGGAAAGTATCCTTTTCTACAACAAATCCGATTTTCCTGTACCGGTCCGCTGGACGTGAGTGCTATGGGTGCATCGCATTCTACACCTCCACCTCTCGTCGAAGTCAACGCTCCTGGAGGAAAAGTCTTAGTTCCCCCTGGTGTGTAAACCTCTTTGGTCCTACCCTACACCTCATCCATCTGTCCTTCCATTCGTACTGTTCATACTTATCCGTCTATACAGGGACAGCATTTAGTGTCCACCCACCTTCCTACGCACGCTCAAGATCCGATCCGTACACACCAGGTCCCATATACACACCCTGCTCACTACCATATCGTGGCGGACACCAACACCAACGTCAGCGAACTCGACCCTACCCTCGGTACGGAGGACCAGATATAGATATCTCAGAAGAGAGTGACGATAGCGAGAGCACAGACTTGAATATGATAGAAAGCAGAAGTTCAAGAGGCATGCGACGTCAAGTATCCAAACGCTTTCCCGGCGGTATGATGGGTGGTGGTGGCATGTCGGGAATGAAACGCAGAGGTGGACTACGGGGTTCTGAAGGTATGAATCCGAGACCCAGGTCTGCGCCTGAGATGCAGATGGGCAGTATGCCAATGGGTATGCCTGGGAGTCCAAGAATGGGGGGTATGGAAACTATAAGGGGACTGGGTGGTATGGGCGCGATGGGGGGTATGCAGCCACCTGGTATGCCTCCAGAATACACATCAACTCCATCGATGCCTCAGTTTGGTGCTGGCGCGGGCATAAACCCGTATGCAGATATGGAAATAGCTCCCAGCCAGTCATCATCACCACGAAATAGTCCAGACACATCTCAGCCCACACGGCGAGCTGGCCGCAAAACACCAAAACACTATGAGCATATCCCAAAGGGGGCATACGCCAATACCGAGAAACATGGACGAAAATCGCGCTCCCGCGCGGACCCGCAAACGTCAGCCCGTCTAAACCGCGGCCAACCTTGGAATAAGCAGGTTGGCCCTTCAGGGGGCGAGTTGCTTGGGGGCGACGCCTTCCTTGACGCCTGTATTTGCACCACAGCTTGCAACTGCAGGAAAAGCGAGCGCGTCATATACCTTGCACGAAATGACCCCCGTAAAGGCAGCGACTCAGACGAGGAGGATTATACCTACGGTAGCGGTGAGATCAGGTACATACTGAAAACAGATCTAGGCAAAGACTGTGGAGATCACTCGGGCTGCAAGAAAAGCGAGAGCAGTGACAGCGAAAAAGAGCAGAAGAGCAAGAAGAAGAACAAGAAGGACAAGAAAAAGGAAAAGAAGCGGAAAGACGAGTTCGACGAGTTCAAAGAGGATATACTAGAAGCGCTCAATGGGTTGCAAGACCTGAAGAAGGACAGTCACCAACGAGATAGAACCGAGAGCGGCCCCACAAGACAAACTTTTGGAGGGGCAGGCATAAGGCCGAGTGCGTTCTCGATCAACGATATGGATATGAGTCCACGAATAGCCCAGCAGATGGGCATGATGAACGGTGATCCGTACGGCACGGGTCGGATGCCACCTGGCATGGCTGATCCAATAGGTAAATGGCGCATGCATCCTAGTATGGAACTGGGTAGAATGGGCGGTGGCATGGAAAATACTGGCTTTGAGAATGACATGGGTGATATGGGTGACATGGGGATGATGGGAAATCCATACATGCAACCTGGCATGATGAACAAGAAGGGTATGCGGCCCAGCTTCATGTCGCATCGTGGGGCGAAGGCAGGCAGACAGTTCAGCAATGGCGGCATGAGAATGGACATGGACATGGATCAAATGGCCGCAATGTATGGCAGGGCCATGGGAGGTGGCCGCGGAGGTATGATGATGATGGGTGGTGGAGGTAGGCGAGCCAACTTAGACTCGGAGTCTGATGATTTCGATCTTAGGGTCGGGCCTTCAATGCGGTCAGGCATGCGACAACAAGCTGGCCGTGACCGGGCCGGTGAGTATCATCATTCCACTGTGATATCGATGGTATACTGAAATCATGTTAGGACGTGGCAGTAGGAGACCAGGCAATGAAGACAAGGATATCCCAATCAGGCGTGACTTCGGAGGCAGCCCGCTTGCAAGGGCCAACGGCAGTCAGGATCGAGGCAAGCAGCCCCGAGTTGATACAGATGACGACGATGCTTATTGAGAATACGACACCTTAGACTTGAATAGTTCGTCTTGGGTGAGCAACGGCACGGAAGCACTAAGAACGTCGGTCAACATTTGCAGACCAATCATTGCATTGCGTAGAAGCAAACCTTCTTTTTTTGGGTGCATCATGTTTCGCCCATAAGTCGATCATCCCAGCGTAATTCAGACGCCCTGTTTCGCGTGGTTGGGAGTTGGCAATGAAACATGTCGATCCGCGGGCGCGGACGCACCCCTCTCGTTGCTGTGGCAGGGGCGGGGTTGGATTGACTGGCAAATGCAGGCTGCAGCGGTGCCGAGAACGTGCAGGATCGGGCTTGCTCAAGCTTGGCTGCATTTCTACATGGCCAACCTCATTGTTGGCACGACCCGCGTTAACAATATCGGTGCGCCTTGTCAGCTTCTGCTTGAAGACAGGTTGAGGCGTTGGACTAGCTTTTGAGTGTTGGGCAGCCACAACTCATGCAGCTGCAGCTCGATAGGGCCCGTATTGGGCACCACAATATAATGATAGCAAAGCATTGTCCCTCGCAAAAGACGAATGACGAGAGTGGCATGCAGCACTGGCAAGCAAGAACATGCGCGAAACAAGTCGTCATTTAGATGTTATGATTCGTTATGTGGGCTAACCTTCTAGGATGAGCCATGTGGAATTTATCGCAATGTCGCATGGCAACCGCCATGCAACCAAAATGGATCTCTCGTAAGACCGCCGTCATGATGACATGGGCGTGTATGAGATCTATCATAGGATTATGTCCATTCCAGTAGATCTTCCCGATCTGTGAGTGTAGATGCCTACATGAATGAATACCAACCGACCAACTCCTCGCTTGTAACGCACAGGAAGTTAAGCAGAAACCAGGGGAAATGAAACTTCAAGGAAATGGGAAAGAAAAGGAAGTTTGTGGTTGTGCTGTGCCAAGTCGCGTGACTGATGCGCTCACTGAACCATCTCAAGAGACTGGTTCGAGGAGAACCACCCCACTAGCCTCTATGGGGCGCACCAGCCGAGTCCGGTGGTGGCAAGACCGGCGGCGCTTGCAAGGCGCTTGCCGCGTTCGTTGAGACTAAGGATCAGCAGCTTCTTCTCGGCCCAGAAGTTCTCGAAAGCATTGATGTCGTCGGAGGAGAGGGCACCCTTAGCACGCTTAGCCTCCTGCCACTCTGTATCGACCTTGTAAGACTTGTGACGTAGACGGGGGAGGGCCTCAGTTCGCAGGTGCGACAGCTCAGCAGCATACTTGGCGTCGTGCGACCTAAGCGGCGTAGAGAAGGAGCGCTCACGTGAGCGAGAGAGCTCTGGTGGACCTAGGCAAATGGGTGAACCAGGGCACATGATTTGAGATCCAGATACGCCAGAAAAAGCCGGAGTCGTAGGCGAGGCACTTCCTGACTGAGAGGCTGTTGACGCAGTAGTGAGAGGCGAGGAAGAGTCAGACTGGAATACGCTGCTAGCGTTGCTGATTGTGCGGAATTTGGGAGGAGGGAGTTCGTCGAGGTGAACCAGAAGCTCGTCTCCAGCAGCCTTGGGGTCGACTTCGAAGCTGTCGAAGTGCTGGTCAAGACGCGCGAAGCCTGATCTAGTTAGCATCAAACCAAGTGTACGGAGAATGGTTAGACTTACCAGTCAGAACAGCGGCGCCTGCACGCTGAACATCGGTTAGGCTAGACTGGACTTGCTTGGGAAGGCAATCCCAGAGTTGCTGAGGACAGTTCCAATGGCGTAAGTGAATAGGGTCGTAGCTGAATGCATCACCGTCCTTGGGGCAGACGGTGCGAGCAGCTTCCACATTGGAGGCAGTGCGTGAGAGGCAAGCAATGGTCTTGCGACTTGAGTTGCGGCGCGATGTTGGGATAGGGTCATGATAGACAGGGTGGGGAGATAGTGGAGCAGCCATAGCGGCAGTGTAGTATGTCGGATAGGTCTGTGTGGAGTTGTGGTCGACAAACAGTGGAGGTTGAGAGTGGGTAGTGGATTGCGGGGTGCACAGCAATGAGTGATGCTTGTAAAGACTCAAAGGAGCGTGAGTGGTATTTGTAGAGAGCGACGGGAATCTTCTAGACAAATATTCAGTGTGTGAGGTGGTGGAGGTGGAAGGGTAAAAGATCGCGGAAGCGCTGGTGATCGAAGGTCTTAGCGGAGTAAACAGGGCGAGGTGTGGAGTCGGGCAGGGGTGTGCGGGCACTTTGCGGGCGGCGTTGGTGCGTGTTGATGGTTATGGGAATCTACGGCCCAGGGCACTTTCCCATATAGCTTGACGGAGCGACTACGTCAATTCACGGTGCGAGGAGCTGCACGGGCTGAGGAATCGGGGATGCCGCAGGTGTAAGGGTACAAGGCCTGGACGGATGGTGAAGGGGTGAAGGGGCGGGAAGGCTGTGCCACTGTGGTTGGTGAGCCCAAATGCCCAGGAGCTTGACAGTGAAATTGCGGGCTACTGTGACGCAGGGAAAAACGCTGTGCGTGCGCGGACAACGAAAAAGGTGCTAGGGCGAGATTCCCAGACTTTCGGGATCATGGCTGCCCACCTGCAGTTGCTGCTGCACGGCATGCCCGCCACGCTATCGCGACGCAAGAGCATCCCAAAACGAACCTCTCGGCATGTTCAGATCCAGCGCCGAATATTGCTGCTGCTCGTCTGCTGAGGTGGGCTGACGCCAAAAAAGAAAAATTGCCAGCCAACTTACATGATACGTCACTGGGCCGTCGCTTCCTTGCGGTCTCGGGCTGATCCGGAACCGGGTTGTCTTGGGGGCGAGGCGCAGGCTGCAGGAATGCCGAAACCAGCCACACACACTGAAACCGCTCGAGTGTGAGGAGAGACGTGTGCAAACGGCTCGAGGAATGCTCTAAGGCGTCTTTAGTACTCGCGTTTCAAGTTTGAACATCAGCTGACTGAGGTACATATGTACATGGAGGCTGGCGCCTACTTACTGCAGTAGCGTAGCTATAGCTTTGGCGGGGGAAGTCGCGTTAGCCGAAGTCTCTGTCAAAGCGCAGGAGTGATACGGAGAGATGGATTGAACAACTTGTCTTGTCCAACTGCGCGCTTTTGTAGCAGACCCCGACTTTGGTCCTGGGCTGTGTGCGGGCGATTGCGAGAATTTTCATCTTGACGTCTCTGGTTCCGGCCCCACAAACTCTATCTCCATCTGGATTGTGGTCTGCTTGTCGTCAGCACGCGTTCAACGACGTATAGTCTCTGACCAATGCCTGGTCGATCTAATGAGCATGCCAGACGACGTAATCATGTAAATTGACACACGACACGACACCTCGAACGTGCTGCCTCCTGAGACGTTATTCACATGCATGTCTTATGATAGTAGTATTACTTAGTACTACCATCACTGTTTGCTCTTAGGTGGTCATCGACGACGCGTCTGAGCCACATTCCCGAACTCTTCCAGTCTGGCATAGCCCGCACGCGTCCCAGTAAGCCCCTCATCACGGTACATCACGCTTTCATGCTTTAGCTTTCGCGCGACTAGTTGACTACTCGAGCCTGTGTTGCGCACTGTTAGCACCATACTGAGACATGTGAAAACCGTCCCACCTTTGGATCAAGTGCACACCCGAAGCCGTCTCGACCATGCCGCTCACCTGGCCCTTCTCCAGGTCAAAGGCAGCCTGCTCGAACTCTTTCTGCATGTCGCCCCTGCCAAAGAAGCCCCTGGTGACGTTAGTGTTTCTCCCGACATCTCCAGCGTCGCAACTTCTTACAGGTCTCCTCCCTTGCGAGCGCTGCTGCAATCTGACTCGGTGGTTGCAAGCTCCGACAGAGATTTGGCGTTGGGGTCCTCCTTTCCCTCCTCATAGGCCTGGATCTGCTTGTGGTAATTCTCGATCATCGTCCGCGCATCTTCCACTGAGCGCGTAATCTTGGGTTCCCGCCAACTAGCCGGGCGTCTGCTGTCGCGATGCTTGACAAGGAGATGGGCGCATCGGATCTTGCCCTCAGTACCTGCGACGGCTGCCGGTGCGACGCCCTTGGAGCTGTGGTTGGCAGCCATGTACGCCTTCAGCTTATCTGGGTTTGTTCCCTGTGGTGGTTCCCATCGCGAGTCTTTTGTCTGGGCGTGGAAGTAGTATGGGAGGTTCTTTGTGTTGGAGCGGCGCACCTCCCACCCTTCAGGGAGTCCAGTCTCGGCGGACGACTGCGACGCGTGAGTTGGTGCATAAGGTGGGCTGGATTGCGAGGCGCGATGCTTACCATTTCTGCTGATGTTGTTTCTGGAAAAGTAGAATGGAGTATGCTATGGTAGAGCGCAAGTAGTGCAGAGCTTGAAAGGAGTCTCCGCACGGTTGTTATACGGGCAGCGTGGAGCGACGTCTAGAATTGCAGGCGGTGGACAAGGCGATCGGCGCTTCAAGGTCATAATGCGGGGGCGCCTTACAAACAAAGAGCGCGGCTCTGCACCACAGCAACAGCAGCCGAATCAAGACGGGTGGTCCGCGCTCACAAACGTGACTCTGCGCCGACTCTGACATCGACGTCTGTTTCGGCATACACTTTTTCTCGACTTTTCTCGACACGCGCAATAATACGACCGACACGACTGCACTCGCTACACGAGCACACACGAATTACGACCTTTGCACCCACCACATCCGCACTCAACATGGCGTCTCCAGCAGCACAAATGGGAGGCTCCAAGGGCGGCAAGGAGCCCATTCTCTTCCGCTTCTGCTCAGAATGGTGAACAGCCTGTCGGGGTCCCCTGCGACAAACATCATCGCTGACCAAGTATAGTTCCAACTTGCTGTTCCCCCGTGAAGACAAGTCCGAGAACAAGCTGCTTTTCGCCTGTCGCACATGCAGCTTCACCGAAGAAGCGCCCTCATCCTGCGTTATGCGCCACGAAATCGCGTCCACAGTCGGAGCCACAGCCGGTGTCACAGCCGAGGTTGCTCAGGATCCCACGGTTGGTTACTCCCTGTCCGATGCCCAAGCTGCCCAGGCCGCTCTTTCTGAGGAGATGCCCTGCTGCACCATGTGTGGCATGCCCATCATGTGCCAGGAGTGCGGCGAGGAATCGGCTCCTGGCTTCGCGCTGGAGGCCGAGGACGAGGACCCGCAGGCAGAGCGTCCCCAGCAGGAGATGCGTGAGGAGGATGAGATGTTTGAAGATTACGACGACGATTACGATGAAGACATGTGGGACGAACCCACGTCTTGAAAGCGGCCCCTGCGTCTCCCACCAGTACAGTTGCTTGCTTGCTCTTGAGCGTGCTCGCTGACTGTACCCGTGTCTAGTTACCGCGTATCCAGAAGCAATGCACAGAGTGCGGCGAGAACGAAGCCGTCTTCTTCCAGTCGCAGCAGCGGACCGCCGAGACGGGCATGGTAAGTACTCTGGACAAGTTCACGAGCTATTCTGACTCTCTTAGGCCCTTTACTACGTGTGCGCCGGATGCGGTCACGTCTCGCGCCCGTCCGATAGCTAGGAGGACGAAGATATGAATGCATGTAGCTGGCGTTTATTCTCACAACATTTACTGCGAGGAGTTCAGGAAAAAGCGGTCTTCAGATACCCGTGGGTATAGTTTAGTGGCATACACATAATGTTACATTCCAAAGCGCTCCATAGACTCCCAAAAATGCATCTTTCACCCCACGGCCATGCCGTCATACGTGTATGGGACCAACCATATGTCATTACACGTGCATGGGCGCCAGCGACAAGATCTTTGACCACTGTTTCTGCCTCAGTTCCGCCGCAACGACACCACTGACTCTGGATCCAATAGGTTCGCCAGCCTTGTTGATCAGCACGCAGGCATTGTCGTCGAACTTGACTACACTGCCGTCCGGTCTCTGCCACTTCTTCGCTGTCCGTACTACGACCGCGTGTCGTACATCTCCTCGTCGTACTTTGTTCGCTGCGCTGATGGAGACGCTGTTACCGGTTTCCGGACCGAAATTTCGCTGCTTCTTTACGACTACTACTATGCGGTCGCCTGCTTCCATCAGCCTTTGTTGCGAGCATGACTCCCCTGCCACGGTGCACTAGACGTACCGACTTTGGCGGGCCGTTTGGATCGGAGGACGTTGACACATTCGACTATGGCGGCGCCTGAGTTGTCGATGCAATTTACGAGGGTCTAGAAGGGCGGATATCAGTCCTTGCTCTGCCGCCTTGATCGCCGGATTCGGCACACCTTTAATTGAATCATCTTGAGTGCCTTGCTGTGGAATTGCGATTACGACTGCCTACCACGATGCGCGCTGTTTGTGGTTGTGCAGTGGGGTGGTTGTCTAGGTCGGCAGCATCAAAGTTGCAGTCGTAGTGTCGGGCTTTCTCTGGCAGTTCGGCGGCTTGCGCCGTCACCCCAGTCTTCTCGCTTATGCTTTCACCCCAGCGCAAGTGCCTATGCGCGTCTCCATAAGCAGGGCGGCTGAGTACAGGGGCATTGAGCGCCGCGAGCCTTGTCGAGGTCACTTACTCCCGCACATACTCGTCGGGTGAGCGGTTGCGCGCGTCGCTCTGTCCTCTCCTTGCGCGCATCGCTGCTATTGTCTGGGGCGTTCCCTCTCCTTTTCGCGTCCCTGCTATTGTACTTTGACGGTGAATGCGTTGTCGCTGCGTTCCTGGCTACAAGAACGTCAGTCAGCCCTACCAACCACCCCTTTAATCACGAAGCCCGACGACTCTTCACGACCTCCATGACCCACGGCCGCTGGCGCATACACTCTCGACCTCATTTCACCACCGCGTCACGCCATCATGGCGCCTTCAACGAAACTCACGCTGGACAAGCTTGCCACCTTCGACGACATCATCACTGACGCGCTTGTCGACAAGCTGTACTTCTGGGCTAAGATTCGCAAGAACAGAGGCGGCCGATTCACGGGATCAAGGGGGCTACACGAGGAAGACGTTGCCGACATCATCCGGCAACACGTTGTCTGGGAGAAGGACCCAGCCGAGGCAGTGCACAAGTTATTGCAGTTGCCAGGACTGCGCAGGTTCGTCAACAGTCTGAAGGATGAGCGGGATCAGGACCAATTCAGACGACATCTCCGGAGATATGTCAACATCTACATGTCAGATTGCCAGTTCGAGGTCACTACCACCAACCGCTATATGATTACCGAACACGAGGCTTCCATCACCGCGCGAAGAGACATCAACCCCCGCGAGGAGATCAAGTACTTGACCGGAGTGCAAGTGGCAATGACAGAGGAGCAAGAGAAGGTCTTGGAGCTGGCGCGCAAGGACTTCAGTCTGGTGATCTCCAGTAGGAAGAAAACGCGCTCGTTGTTCCTAGGCCCCGCGCGCTTCGCCAACCACGATTGCGACGCCAACGCAAAGCTCACAACCAAGGGCTATGATGGCATGCAGATTGTTGCAGTGAAGCCCATTCTTGAAGGAGAGGAGATTACAGTCTCCTATGGCGAGGATTATTTTGGTGACGATAACGAAGAGTGCTTGTGTAATACTTGCGAAAGTCTCCAGCAAAACGGCTGGGCGCCCATGAAGCGAGTTGAACTCAACAACGGCGAGAATGAAGATCAGATGCAGGTCACAGACGAAGTACATACAGACGACACCGCCTCCGAAACTATCTCTTCTTCCGCCAAGAGGCCACGAGTTGACTCTACAGAAGAGGATCCTTCGCGCGACTCGACACCAGCCCCGAAACGTGCAAGATTCGAGCAAAAGAGTTCACCAAACAAGCAGCACACATCCAATCTCCTTCGGAAAACGACGCTCAAGAAGGCACACAGCACATCGTCGTTGCGCCAGGAACTCCCAGTGTCGAGTGTCGAAGACCCGGCGACCAGCTTGGAGGAATCGCCAGGAAAATCGCACGAGAATCGCAACCAGCAGCATGAGGGCCTTGTGACAGTAAACACGGATTTGATCAGCTCGTCACGGGAACCGTCCCCACAGTCATCTATAGCGGCGGCCTCACCCAAGTCGACTCATTCGTCTACAGATGCTACATCGATAGACGAAGATCATGCACATGAAGTTAGCGATCACAAGGAGAAGGTCGATCCTCAGACGATACAAGATCGCCCAGCGCTTGGGGTGGCCATAGTGAAGGAGGAAATTACTACGACAACGGTAAACGCCCCGTGGCCCTCCCCGCCTGCAGACGAAGACGCATACATGTCCGATCTCAGCGAACTTTCTGAGAGCTTCGAATTTGACGACGTGAACCAGCAGATTGTCAAGCGCAAGCCTCGACCTACTCTACGCACGACACGTTCCAAGTCGCGCTTCGACGTTCAGAACCGCGTCGGGACGCCGATTACGATCGAAGAGGGGGACGAAGCCGATTATGTCGAGAATACACGAAAGCCAGGTGACTACATGACATCAAACGCTCTTCTCTCAGCCAAATACTCCAAGTGGGTTAATTGCCAAACATGCGACACAGATTTCGTTCAGCAGGACGGCTACAACACGCGTAAAGAGTGCCCACGATGCGAGCGCCATTCGAAGCTCTATGGCTTTCCCTGGCCCAAGACTGAAAGAGAAGGCAAGCACGACAAAGAGGAGCGCATTCGCGACCACCGCACTGTTCATCGCTTCGTCGACCCGGATCAAGAGCGCCAACTGAAGCGCGATAAGACTAAGAAGGTCATCCGAGAGCATATCCGCGAACGCTTTTCAACACCGAGGAGTGCGAGGGATACCATGAGCTCAAGTATAGAGGTTGATAGTGGGAGAAAGAGGAGGCGTGTGAGGAAGACAATGTAAACTCGTTCATCTTCCAGGCAGCATACATTTGGTCATAAGACAAGAGAGTAGATAAAGAGGAATCTTGTACACTACAAGACTTCGACATGCGTTCAGGCATAGGCTTTGTGCACACACGATTGCGCTGAAGAGAGGGATATAGCGACTCCTTCAGAAGAGGAGTATGTGTGCATTGTCTTCATTGTTTTGGTCTTTACTGTTGCATCAGGCGTGTACCGTCTTCGCGTTCTATACTTCTTTATCATATCTACTGCATTCCGGGGGCATACACTTGCATACAAGCAGCGGCGTTATATTCAACATTCAGCATTCGGGGTAGTTGCGATGTACGATACCATAGGATACGAGAATCACGCTATAGAATGAGACAACTCCTGATACTTCGATGCATTCTTTTGCAGCTTATCAAATCGTACCGTGAAAGGATAATAGTAGGAGGAGAACCGCAATCGTTTTTTGCGTTTGTCTGTTTGCTTCCTTCTCTCAACACCAGTGACCTAGTTTATTGCAAAGTCTCATTCACTTCCTCACCCTCTTGTTTCGCTCAACACCTAGCCAATGTAAGTGCGCCTGACGATGTGGATGTGAGATGTACACTTACTTCTTACACCCACACTTAGTATCCAACAGTATGCCAGAGCAACCACGACCCAAACTTTACATAATCTTCTACGAAAAACCAGACGATCCTTTACCGACTATACTATACCAGTCCAACAGTTTGACCGAAGCAGACCGTTACCTGGATGAGTACGTTGGGGAATTTTTGAAATTCAATCGTGTTACAGGCGGGGCGACGAGTGCTGATTGGCTAAGAAGATTTCATATAGGAGATTGGGGAGGTCGCCTCATCAGTGAGAGGGATATGGTTATCTGGGTCGAATGTGCGGACATTGTAGACGGATGCTTCGAGAACATCAAAAGTGGTGCAAACGGAACAGACGGAATAAGCAAGTTGATTGCTCAGCATGGTAGAGATAGGGAAGCTCCTGATTCATCCTAACTTGAGGGTCAAATCAACAACTATCTAATCACAAGCTTAGAAGACGACGTCTAGTCAGTTTGCTATTATCCTCATGCTTCGTGCCGCTATTTAAGGTCATATTTACTTGGTCTTTGTTGTGATCTTCTGACCACATCTTTGTTCTCATTCTTTACTCCCTCATGTCTGTTCAACCACCTAAAGGCTTCCTCATCCTTCGGAAACTAGATCAACAAGCAGATATGGATGTGCTCTAGATGTTCCATGACTTGAATCTAGCATACCAATATCTAGGAGTGAACGTGGTAGGCGAGAGATACGACGTTTTGAGCAGGACTATAGATGATGGGCTACAACGGCTCCACCTTCATGATCGGTATACCTTTCGTGAGATGGATGTTTGGGTGGAGACTGTGAATATCATGGACGGGTGTTTGATGAATAATTTTGTTGGTGCAGACGGGATCAATGGCCGGGTAGAAGATTTCTGGACGCCAGTTGATCGTGAAACGTTTCAAATTAGGTTTGCAGGTTGATTGTCGTCAGCAAGTGTGACGGATATCAAGAAGAGCTTGAAGATTGATAGCAGGAATCGTGCTTAAACTATCTGACCTTGTCATAAAAGATCTTGTCTGCTTCCAGATTGTCGTACGTGCTCTCCGTTCCTTCGAACTTGTTCCTTAAATATACGCTCCTAAATCTGCCAATACGCTCATCTTTGGCTTCGAAAACCAAGTCATCTGGATCGTGTATTTCGATCTTCTGATCTACATGAACATTTCGATCATGAGAGTGAACGTTGATGAGGCCTGGTATAGCCATTATGTGCTTCATACGCTCCTGGACTGTGGCATCGTCGGGGGAATGGAATATGAAGTAGAGTAGCTGGGTATCTGGATGGCGATAGAAGGTAAAGCTGGGCCTATCATTCGGGAGTGTCGCTGCGACATGTTCGGGGATGATGCCGTTCCTGATGTAGCTCAGTTCGAGAGTTTCGGTGGCGACGTCAACGAACTGGAATAGGTTAGCGCTCATAATGAATGCGCGTACTGAAAAGGGGTATCATACCGTCTGCACGGCTGTACATGGAGTCTGTAGCTCCCTCAGTGCCTCCAGAGCTTCAGAAGAGATCTTGTTCTTCATGCGACGATCACAAAGCCGACATTTGTTCTTCCTGTATTCCACGTCTTCCAGATCACTCTTACTATGCTCAGAGCAACCACATGACTGCGTTTTATCGCATTGGATCCTTTTAGTACTCAATGAGAGAGCTTCTGCGTCTCGTTCTACCCAGGATCGAGCATCTGTGATCTCCGCAATTTCCTTACATATAATTGAGTATGATATATACCTTGCGCCGAGTTGTTGTACGACACTGTGTCTGCGTTCGAGAAAAAGGTTTCGAAGTTTTTCCTTGGCACGGTATGGCACATATGTGATGAATGTGAGCGAGTCGCCACGGCGGAGAACGATATAGGCTGGCTTCGATGTATCGAGGTTGCTTTCAAGCTCATTCAGCTCTAGTTGAAAAGACTCATGATATTGACGTATAGGGGCATGAGCTTCGATTCTGTTGTCCACGAGATCAAGGGGAAGGGCGAAGCAGAACTTGTCCTCTATAAAGGCCCTAAAAACCAACTCTGGGGTCATTGTTAGCAGGAATTGTTGTACGGGTTGTGATTCCTTACCAGCTGAAGTGTTTTGCATCGCTGGAATTGTGTGTTGCGTCAAGTCAGTATTGATTCGATTCAACAATAGAAGTACTGCTAGTTGAAAGGTGAGGTTGCATGGCTGCCTATTGCGGATGTCCGCCATGAATCGCTACCAACACGACACGCGTCTCTCATTGCGCCAGTGACTAAAACTATTCGCGGCTGGTCAAGGTGTCACGAACCAACGGATCAAGTCGATGGAGAGAGGCGCACACAAGCCCCTTGTCGAAAGGATGCCAAACGTGCGGAATTCCGCTGAGTGCGGAGCTAGTAGATCATTGCCGGCTATATTTGTTTAAGGCTTGTTTAGTAAGTGCAATATTAGTGTTTAACAGACTTCGCAACCTAGATGTTGTTGTGGGCGATGTGAAGTGGATGATAATGCAGGTGGTTGGTATCTTGGTCGCAATACCTATGATGACGTCGGTCCGCTGGTCCATGATCAAATCGCGCTAGACGCGTCGGTCGTGAACAGTCACGCCGCGTTCAACCACCGCTCCAGCTATTGCCATACTATCGCAAGGCTATCTTTGCGTGCTTTGAATACGGGACAGGGACGCGACATCCAATCTGAGTGAGATGCTGGACTATTGCATGTGCTGATCTCCTGTTAGGCCTTCCGCAAACTGGGGCACTGGAAGATGCGCCAATCGAGACTGGTTCTGGAGACACTGATTTCTCTCTCCCGGATTGAGTTTGCAATACTGATGAACAGGGAGAGTTCAGATGCGGTCGGAAGAACGAAAAACAAGAGTTGCATCAATGTGTCCTATCGTTACATTTTGCTTTAGAAACACCACACTATCTATATACATTCCTATGTTTCTTCTCATGCGCAACCTGTCCGACTCTTTAGCATTTCCGCCACTCTAGCTTCCAAGCAGCGTGTTTGAAATCATACGTCCCAAAGTCACCTTGGATGACCGGTCTGAAATTGACATTTAAGATACCGGGGTTTCCGTCCGTACCAGTGCACTTCGACCACTTAAGGTCTGCAGTGCTGCTTCGTACAGTGATGTAGTCTTTGATCTCAGGACCTGCGCATGTAAGACCGCCGGTAAGTACGCCCTACAGATGATCAACATGTTATATGTGCTGCCGAAATCAACAAACTTACAGTATTCCCAGCATTCTCACTCCAGAAGACCTGCGTGTACGTATCCAGCCCACTGTTTCCCTTCAAGTTGACATCGCCGACATAATCAACCTGTCGGACAGCGACCTGCCAGCCGGAACTAGCCCCGGCCGACTCAATGTGCACAGCACAGTTGTCTGTTGAGTCGCCCTTGAGTTGCGTGAAGGAGACGCCGGCGGTGTCACTGAGAGTTGCGCTATCTGTCTTGACGGAACCCGAGTCATTAGGACATCCTGAGCCAGAGAAGACGATGCGCGTTATTGTTGGAGAAGAAGGTGGGGCGGCGAGGGCTAAGAGCGGAAGGGTGGCGAGTGAGAGTAGAGACCGCATTGGTGGCGATGGGGTGAAATCTAAATTGTTATACTGATGATGCAGCGATGTTCGAAGCGCGATACGGGTCTCTAAGTCAAATGATGATGAGCTTGATGGGAGGTCATGTGTATGTACTCGATGTGTTCTTGCAACGATCGTGATTCTGTTCTCTTCTTATATGTCCTGCGCCTAGTCTAGCTTCGCTGCTGCCGTCTCAAGCTTCTTCACGAGATCTGCATCATATCTAGATCAACACGAATTCTGGTCACCGTATAGCACTCTGCCATCCCTTTACTACTAATATCCAATAGCCGTTTCGTCCACTCTCGACCGCATACTATGCATATTTACCCATATTAAGCGAGCCGCAACCCAGGCCTAATGACCCTCGTCTCCGGTATCACTAGCATCAAGGACAGCGTGTTTGATATTCGGTTGGACTATTCTGGGCTTCCCCGCAATATCGTAAAATGAGGATGGTTGGGCTTCTGGAAGGGCGAGATCTGTGGTGCATTTGGCCGGGTGGCGATCATGGTCGCGATTGACTGTATTAGGAGCCGAGAAATAGATTATATGAGCGGAGGGTTTCCTTGTGTAAAAAAGGTCTTCGTATTAGACATTTGAGGGCTGATCTTGAGGTTTGCAAGCAATGTGACGCTCGATGTTTATTTACCAAACTCACTGTGGTTTTGTAATGTGATTGGTGTGCTCAACAGGAAATCTGTTTGAAAGCTATCGAGCTATCGACGGATGATTAGGACCATGCGATGCGCTTGCATCTGGACAATGGCTTGCTTGGAAACTGAGTAAGATAATTCGAAGCTTTACGAGGCGTTTCACTGCTCGTATTTAGCAGGACTATTGCGCATTCGTGTCTTCGGGCCAAAATCTCTCTCATTCACCTAAGGCCTCACGCTCCTACACTGTCCAATTCCTATAGGTTCAGAATTGATAGAGGTAATCGACTTCATCATCTTCGGAATACGAACGTTGCACGAGCCAGGAAGAGTGCGCGTGTCAGATGTTGGACAATCGGCGTGATGGGCACGGGGACACCGTCTCATCAATCCTTGTCGACGCTAACATAAGCGAGCGACCCGCGACTTCCCGCTGCGCTGGGCCCCGTCTCTCCTCCATGCCCAGAAGTCATGCTTGAACCTCGGAATCTCATCTCGATATGCGCAGGACGCTCAGAAGATCCTGCGATGCGTGTGCGAGATCCAAGTTGAGCTGCGATCTTCGCACACCTCAATGCTCACGATGTTTCAAGAAGAAAACCAACTGTGTCTATGCCAACGAGCCGCTTACCTTGTCGCCCCCCGAGACGACATACTCTCATAACGCAGATGTCGTCCAGAAAGAATCTTTCTCCTCCCCAGTACTATGGGTTGATCCCGGAAGTCAAGCTTTCGATCCGTTCGACGCCCATCCAGCAACAAGACTACCTCGGGCTCGTGTGCAGCAATTGATCATGCACTGTAAGTAATGAAGTCATGCTGGCGCAGCTACCATACTCGCGCTATAACGATGCTGCATTCAATCTTGTGCATCTTCTATCATGACTGACCAAGGCTAGTCTTGTCAAACATCGCCTTCCAGTACTATCCATTGGATCTCAAACCAACGTCCAACCCGTTCGTTGTGTCGTGGTGGCCTCTTGCATTGCAAGACCCAGCTCTCTTCCATGTCAGCCTCCAGACTGCATCCTTAGATATTGAGCTGAGAGCTCAGAAAGGCTTCGAGAACTCAGAAGTCCTCATGGCAGATTCTATCTCGTTGGTTCGGCGACGGGTCAACGACCCGCTATTGGCTTCTCAAGACGAAACTATGGATTCGGTTGTGACACTTGCAGCTATAGAGGTATGCTGGCTTTCTGGACCCAGATACTCATTGCATGTGATCGGCTGACATCTGGCAATATAGTATGGTAAAGGTAACACGACAGTCGGTAGTATGCACATTGATGGCGTTAAGGAGATGGTACGATTGCGAGGAGGAATACATCTTTTGAAGATTACAAGCCCTCTTACGGCACGCATGGTTGCTTGGTAAGTTATTCAGCTGCTTTCCCTCCCTCCGTGCATACTATACTGATCCTCACTGCTAGGGTTTCCATGATACTTAAGCAAACTCCGCAGTTCAAGGTACAGGATAACTTACACCTTGGTGACGGAATAGCACCAATACCTCAGTGGCTCGACTTACAAGCCATCTCTCGAGATCAGCCTCCATCCGGCTTTCTTAATCTCGAGCTGGATCCTTCTATCAAGGACGTATTCCTGCGACTGCACCATCTATTTCACGTAACACATGAGCACAAGCTCTCAACTACGGATCTCCATGATTTGACATGCTACATCCTACACAAGCTTTTGGCCTGGTCTCCGGACACATCACCACCTGGGAACCCAAGCTTGATTTCGACATCTCACTGCATTCAATATGCTACAGCACTGTATATGCTCATCGTTCACGGACCAACTTACTTCTCGCACATGCATCTGCAGTCCTCCTTGGTCATGGAACTCAAAAGCAATCTCGGAAGTCTTCCACCCACATCGGCGATTCTACATGGACCTCTGGCTTTGTGGATTTTGACCGTTGGAATGGTCGCATCACAGGACGCGTTGACGTGTGCCTGGTTCACTACGAAAGCTATGCCTATTGCTCGTGACTTAGAGTTGTATTCATGGGATGGAATTTCTCAATGCATCAAAGGCGTGCTTTGGTACAAGACACAGCATGCGGAAGAACAATTTCGACGGCTATGGGAGGAGGCTTTGAGTATCATATGATAACGCTGCTAGCGAGGCCTCTGGAGTACAGTGCATAGCCGAAAATCGACACGCCCTTCTTCGCCATCTGTATACCAACTTACGGTTGCTGCACCATGGGAAAGCACACATGGCACTCCTCACGATGAACGCCAGAGTGTACGTAACGGTCAGAGCTAAGGGCGCGGAATTTCCTCATTACATGTGGTACTCATCCCTGTTAGATCAAAAGGAGATTAGCTGTGGGCCTTACTATTCGGAGACTAAGCCCCTTTCGTCGATCGTCCTTCTACGGTAGCGATTCATTTCTGTGAGCATGTCAGATGCGGGACTTCCTCGCAGTCGGCACTTCTGTCCTTCTCCGGCTAACAATCTAGGGAAGTGCAGCAGCTTCCACCGGCCTAAGAACATGAAGGGAGCGGTCAGTCGAGGATAATACCATTGGTGTGAATACATGAGCAATTGTGATTGTTTGGCGCTGACTTTTAACAAGAAGCAATGAGAAGTGAGACTAGCTCAAAGCGTTATACTACATCTTGTATATAGTTCATTGGTGTTTCTTTAGCAAGCTTGACATTGGTACGGAATACACATTCAAAGCTTGCCGCTAATCATGCCATTCAGTGCCTGTTGAAGCAAAACGCTAATCATCTAATCCGAATCAGTGTATCGATGAGATAACTGCCGTTGCAATATTGTACAATACAATAGGTCTATATACTCGCTTCCCAATCCATCACATGATTCATTGAGTGACCCGAATGTCAAAACCCCACGTGAACTTCGTTCGGAGCCGTCTCATGTAAGCACGTGCATACAGAAGTAAGATTGATGATCCCATTGTGAGCATCGCCATCGTTACCGCCGTGCGTGGTACACTAGTTGCACGTTGTTCCGTGATGTTGAGCGACGGGAGATAGGCAGCTATCAAGGGGATTCTAATGGGCCGATGTCTACCGTTCCATGACGTAAGCATTCCCAAGTTTGTCTTGCATCAGCTCTCGGCATGCTCTCACAGTCGCGATCCACAAGGAAAATGTATCTTTTATGAAGTCGCACCTAGATAGCGACCGTGCTTTGTCGCAATGATGCGCAAATCCGCGAAGTAGCCCATACAATCTACTGCATGATTGTCGCCTGAATTTTGTACCACGTAGTGTGCTTTAACCAATGGGTGTTCCCTGTGTCCATGGCTTGACATGCCGCCCAGCGAGCGTAATTGCGCTACTTAGGTAAGAAAGGTCTTCAAGCACATGGAAAAAGCACGCGGGTGATTACTACTCGGTACATTATTAAATCTCGCGCGACAACGGATCAGGAAATAGGCACGATCTATTTACCATAAGCACGTCCGTAAGTTAAAGAATAGGCACCACAGTAATCGGACCCCCGCGAATACTGGGTAGATTTCCAATCTGTTTTAAGGCGCATAGTCGGGGCTAGATACAGGGCGGCGCGTTGATCCTCCGACTCTCGTGGCCGTACCCAACGGCCCGAATAGCGCGAAAAAGTACATTTGTCACTTCAACCTTAGCCTTACGGCCGTACCCTCCAAATACTGTCCACGCAACAAAGATATGCGGTTTGACGTCCCTCCGGCCAAGCGATTCGCAAGATGGCGCACGGAGTATTTTCAGATCCATGACAGAGATAATGTAGATAGTACAATCTGGCATTTGGCTATATGGATGGGCAGTTCTGACCTCTCTCCAGTTTCAAGCATCAACTTTTCACTATCTCGTCTTTCATACCACCGTTTTTAGACTTTCTGTATTATAATATCAGTTCATTCTGATCAAATATCTCACATACCTCATATTGTACAATACCGAATACCCGATGCAGTCAGAAACTCCCCTTTCTGGGTCGAGTACCGAGCGTGTCGACGACGACCAAAATTCCATAACCCCCTACAAGAGTTCTCCGAACGACAGCGAAACATGGCCAATCACTCGGGAAGTCGAGATACTCAGGGAGCGTAACGAGGCAAATGGCGGAAAGCTCCGAAAGCTGGGTGTGACATGGAAGAACCTCACAGTCAAGGGCATCAGCAACGATGCCCTCTTCAACGAGAATGTACTTTCGCAACTGAACCCGTTCGGAAAGAGCGGAAAGAATGCTCCAATGAAGACTATCATCGATAATTCATATGGATGCGTGAAGCCTGGAGGTATGTCGCATATACATTGAGAATATGGAAGGAAGAGCAGTGCTAATGCATCTCAGAGATGCTGCTTGTTCTTGGTAATCCGGGAGCCGGTTGTACAACACTGCTCAATATCCTATCAAATCACCGGTTAGGTTACGCGGAGATCGGGGGCGACGTCTCCTTCGGTTCCATGTCCAGCAACGAAGCTAAAGCTTATCGTGGTCAAATAAGTACGTATCATCCAAGCGATGCGACACTGCGGATGCTAACCTGAACGCAGTAATGAACACGGAGGACGAGATCTTCTTCCCTACCATGTCTGTGGGCGCTACCCTTGACTTCGCGACGCGTATGAAGGTCCCCTACAACCTTCCACCTGACATCGCAACCCACGAAGAATACGCCAAAGTGTACAAAGAGTTCCTACTGAAATCTCTCGGTATTGAGCACACGCATGATACTAAGGTTGGAGACGAGTACATTCGTGGTGTGTCCGGTGGTGAGCGAAAGCGGGTTTCTATCCTGGAATGTCTTGCTACGCGCGGCAGCGTCTTTTGCTGGGACAACTCCACCAGAGGTCTCGATGCTGGAACAGCATTGGATTGGACAAAGGCTATGCGTGCCATGACCGACATTCTCGGATTGACTACTATTGCAACCTTGTATCAAGCTGGCAATGGCATCTATGAGCAGTTCGACAAGGTACTCATCCTCGATGAGGGTAAGCAGATCTACTATGGCCCGCGGGAAGAGGCTGTCCCGTTCATGCAAGATCTTGGGTTCCTCTGCGATCCAGCGGCGAACCAAGCCGACTTCCTCACCAGCGTCACAACTCCGGACGTGCGTGCCATCGCTGAAGGCTTCGAGAAGAGGTTTCCGCGGAACGGCGAAGAAGTACGAGCAGCGTACGAACAGTCATCCATCAAGGCCACAATGGTGGCGGAACTCGATTACCCCGAAAGTGACGAAGCGAAGCAGAACACGATCGATTTCAAGGAGATGGAAGCTCGGGACAAGCACAAGGGCCTTCCAAAGAACACCACAGTAACCACAAGCTTCTACTCTCAGGTCAAGACGGCAGTCACTCGGCAGTATCAGATATTGTGGGGTGATAAGCCTGTGCTCATCGTCAAGCAAGTCTCTACTCTCATCCAAGCTCTCGTCGCTGGATCGTTGTTCTACCAAGCGCCAGACCACTCGGCTGGTCTCTTCCTCAAAGGTGGCGCATTATTCTTCTGTCTTCTGTATCCTGCCTATATGGGACTTTCGGAGGTGACCGACTCTTTTACCGGAAGACCTGTCCTGGCTAAGCATCGATCATTCGCCATGCACTACCCTGCCGCTTTCGTCATCGCCCAGATTGCTACTGACATACCATTAATGCTGTTCCAAATGACGCACTTTGGAATCGTCATATACTTTATGGTCGGACTCGAGACTACTGCATCAGCTTTCTTCACATTCTGGATCATCATCTTCGCATCAGCCATGGCCATGACTGCGTGTTTCCGGATGATAGGCTCTGCTTTCCCGACATTCGACGCAGCGACTAAAGCTTCAGGCCTTCTCGTTTCAGCACTCTTCATGTATATGGGATACATGATCATCAAACCAGAGATGAAGGATTGGTTCGTGTGGATCTTTTGGATCAACCCGATGTCTTATGGATTCGAAGCTTTGCTTGGTAACGAGTTCCACAACACACAGGTACCGTGTGTGGGCCCTAATCTGGTCCCTAATGGACCAGGATATGTACCTGGTGAAGGCGGCCAGTCATGCATGGGTGTCAACGGCGCCCAACCCGGAGCGAGCACACTTACAGGAGATCAGTATCTTGCATCCATGTCCTTCAGCCATAGCCATCTCTGGCGCAACGTCGGCATCATCTTCGCATGGTGGGTATTCTTCGTCGCAGTCACTATTGTGTTCACCTCCAGGTGGAAGGAGATGGGCGAAGGTGGCCGTGGACTCCTCATTCCCAGGGAGAAGCAGAAGAAGAACAAGCATATCCAAGCTAACGATGAGGAGTCGCAAGCTGTTGAGAAGCCACAAGCCAGCTTCGAGTCTTCCAGCTCCGACGGATCACTCGCCAACCAACTCATCCGCAACACTTCTATCTTCACCTGGAAGAACCTTACCTACACCGTCAAGACCCCTTCGGGTGATCGCGTCCTCCTCGACAACGTCCAAGGTTTTGTGAAGCCAGGCACTCTCGGGGCCTTGATGGGATCGTCAGGCGTAAGTAACAACCTAGAATCCCTCGTATGCGTCTTGATACTAACACCTTTCTCAAGGCTGGCAAAACAACACTACTGGACGTTCTCGCCCAACGCAAGACCGACGGCACAATCCGTGGATCTATCATGGTCGATGGGCGCGACCTTCCCGTCTCATTCCAGCGATCGGCAGGCTATGTTGAACAGATGGACGTACACGAGTCGTTGTCCACAGTGCGTGAGGCCTTGGAATTCTCAGCTCTCCTCCGACAGTCTCGTGAAACCCCACGAGAGGAGAAGCTTCGCTATGTTGACACCATTATTGACCTCTTACAACTCCATGACATTGAGCATACCCTAATCGGCCAACCTGGTGCTGGTCTCTCCATAGAGCAGCGTAAGCGGTTGACAATCGGCGTAGAGCTAGTTTCGAAGCCTAGCATTCTGATCTTCCTTGACGAGCCGACGTCTGGTCTGGATGGAGAAGCTGCTTTCACCACTGTGCGCTTCTTACGCAAGCTCGCAGAGGTCGGACAGGCGATCCTTGTCACGATCCATCAGCCGTCAGCTCAGCTTTTTGCGCAGTTCGATACCCTCCTTTTGCTCGCAAAGGGCGGCAAGACGGTTTATTTTGGCGACATTGGTGACGATGCAAATACAGTCAAGTCTTACTTTGCCAGCCACGGAGCGCCTTGTCCACGCGAGGCCAACCCTGCCGAGCACATGATCGAGGTTGTCTCCGGTAGTCTGTCCAAAGACACTGACTGGAACAAGGTTTGGCTTGAGTCGCCCCAGCATGAGAAGATGACCGAAGAGCTCGACAACATCGTCGCGGAGGCCGCCGCTAAGCCGCCAGGTACCGTCGATGATGGCCATCAATTCGCAGCTCCCATGTGGGAGCAAGTCAAGATCGTGACCCACCGTATGAACGTCTCGTTGTTCCGGAATACTGAGTACGTCAACAATAAAGTGCTCATGCACATCCTGCTGGCCTTGCTGAACGGCTTCACCTTCTGGATGATTGGCGATAGTCTCCAAGACCTCCAGCTGCGACTGTTCACTGTCTTCAGTTTCATCTTTGTTGCTCCTGGTGTCATCTCCCAGCTGCAGCCGCTGTTCATCCAGCGTCGCGATGTTTACGAGACACGTGAGAAGAAGAGCAAGACATACCACTGGGCACCGTTCGTAACAGGTCTGATCGTTTCAGAACTTCCGTATCTGGTAGTATGTGCGGTCATGTACTATGTGTGCTGGTACTTCACTGCTGGCCTTCCTGGCGCCGCGAAGTACGCTGGCAGCACATTCTTCGTTGTGGTAAGCAAATTCCCTATTCTGTATTTTCTGATGCGGACACTGACCAATCACAGCTTGTTTACGAGTTCCTCTACACCGGCATTGGACAGATGATTGCCGCCTACTCTCCCAACGCGGTGTTCGCTTCACTTGTTAATCCTCTTTTCGTCACAACTCTCGTGTCATTCTGCGGAGTCCTCGTTCCTTACAGCCAGATTGAGCCATTCTGGAGGTACTGGCTCTACTACCTCGACCCCTTCAACTACCTCATGTCTTCTCTGCTCGTCTTCACCACTTGGTCTGCCGACGTCGACTGCAAGACAAGCGAACTCGCCATCTTCGATCCGGCTGCGAACCAGACCTGTGGCGAGTACCTCTCCGTCTACCAGCAGGGTATGGGCGTCGGTATCAACTTGCTCAACCCAGAAGCCACCGCCGATTGCCGCGTGTGCCAGTACAAGACTGGAGCAGACTACCTGCGGACACTGAACCTAGCGGAGGAATACTATGGTTGGAGAAACGCTGCTATCGTCGTATTGTTCTCGGTGAGCAGTTACACACTGGTGTACTTGATGATGAAATTGAGAACCAAGGCTACAAAGAAGGCGGCGTAAAGCTTTGGCGGGGAATGCGACGCATGGGAGCCGATACGAGGCGGCTTACAAGCCGGCGAGGCTGCGGTGGAGGTGGACGAGAATGTGATCAGAGAGATTTCCTAGCGTTGCATAGTTGGTGTTATTTAGACCTGGACCCCCCTTTTGACATATTGTAATACTACCACTGCTTCTCGACAAGCGCATAGTGTTGTCGAAATGTGAAGTTGCGAAACTACCTGGATGAGAGGAGCTGTCAAACAGGGGGATTGATGACTAACCACAGCTCGGAGCTAGTGTTGGAGATCCAGCCTCGGCGGGCCCACACGTGTGCAATCTGCCATCTCCAATCTCCACACCTACCAAGTTTGCCAGGTTTCCATCGACGCCCTGTGCACCTCTCAGTTCGCAATCTACCTAGTTGCCCAGAGTACGAGACACAGCTCATCATATATTCTTGGCGCCTAGTTACGCGTCCCCCAATGGAGATGCAAAAAGCATGAGAAAGATGGACTAATCCGACTGATAGCGCCGCGGCGTGGGATTGGCGTCTTCGACGTTGGCCCGCTGCACCGACGTCATGGCTCAGGAACGCGCAGATGTCGCGTGCGCGACGACGATGATGATGCTAAACTCCACGTCCCTAGCCTTTTGCTTAAGAACTAGCTGAGCGTTGCATCATTCTGACCTGGAACCGAGATCGTGCCGATTTTCCGTTCCTCACCACACAATCGCTGCGGAACCCCCTCCAGCATCCTACCACTACAGTCAATCCAATCATGGGTGTGGCTGCAGGCGAACTTATTGTACCTTTCACGGGCGCTATCCAAGCTGCCGTCTCAGTCCTTCTGACCATCGCCTTCGGTGTTGTTGCAGCACAATGCAATTTACTATCGCCCAAAGCGGCGAAGGAAGTTTCGAAGCTATGTGTGCGCATGTTTCTACCAGCGCTGTTGATCTATAAGATTGGCTCCAATCTGCATCAAGACACTGGCGTAAGATATGTGCCCGTCCTTAGTAAGTTCAATCCTACCATACGGCTGATACAATCAAAGCTTACGCGAATCCGCAGTATGGTCAATATCATATACTTTGCTTTCTGTCCTCGTCGGTCGCCTCCTCACGCGCATCTTCAAGTTACCAGCCTGGGTCGCACCAGCCATCGCTTTCAACAACACAACTTCGCTTCCACTTCTTCTCATCCAGTCGCTCAAACAAACCCAAATACTTGATGCTATACTCATTGGTGGCGAGTCTGGCAGTCAGGCTATGGATCGTGCCGAGTCATACTTTCTGGTGAATGCCATGGTCAGCAACTCGCTGACGTTTGCTATTGGACCTGGTCTGCTAAGGCCAGGAGATGAGGATGCATCCGAGGGACAAGAAGGAGAAGACGATGAAGACAACGGTCAGGCAAACGAGGACGGCGAGAGCAGTGATATGGAGCGAGGCCCTGACGGAATCATCGACGAGGAGACTTCGCTACTCCCACAGCGCATAACCAAGCCCGCGAATCGCATTGAGAAGAAGGGGTATCTCAAAACACAAAAGTGGTACAATGATTTGTCGCCATGGCTGCAAGAGACTTTGAACATCACATGGCAGTTTGCCAATGCTCCATTGCTAGGCGCCATTGTGGGCGCAGTCATTGGGCTCACACCGGCTCTCCATAAGCTTTTCTTCAGTCCTAGCAACGAGGGCGGATACCTCAATGCTTGGCTTACGACCGCTATAAAGAACATTGGTGAGCTCTTTGCTACGACCCAGATCATCGTTGTTGGAGTAAAGCTCAGCAAGAGCATGCTGCAAATGAAGCGCGGTGAGGATAGTGGTGAAGTCCGCAAAGGAAGTTTGGCAATTGTCACCTTGATCAGGTTCATCATTTGGCCCTTGCAAGTTTCGCCGTAGCCATAGCAAGATCATCCGGCTAATTACCAATAGGATAAGCATACCCTTGATCTGGGTAGTCGCATCGAAAACAAAACTCCTCGATGCAGACCCCATGCTTTGGTTTTCGATGATGTTGATGCCCACCGGTCCTCCCGCTATGATCTTAGTAGCCCTGACCGATGTCACGGGCGCAGCTGAGTCGATGAAGATGACTGTCGCCAAGTTCCTCACCATTAGCTACGCAATAACGCCAATGATTTGCTTCGCTGTCGTCGGAGCTCTGAAAGCTACAGAGGCCGCGATTGAGCACATGTAAAAATGCTCTTCTTCAAAACCTTTCGTCCGTTCGGTTTTAAATTGCAATACATCAAGCCTACTTATCATCTGATTTTTTTGCTGTCGTCGTAAGCTTTGCGTAAGCCATGATCTTTGATTTCCTGGATTGGTCCGAAGAAGATAGGATGGTATCGACCCTGTGGATGTGCACAGCCTTCGTATAGCGTTCACTAGATCCTTCTAACTGGGACGTGCACGTATACGGTAGATACGGTATGCTGACCTTTGATTCGGGCCGTTCTAATCTGCATGAATGAGAAATAGTGGGCACGGAAAACGAAGAATCACAGGACGGACAAAAGTAATGATTTATGAAGATATGAGGTGTTCTCACACTTCTGACATGCCCTTTCGTTGTAGAAGGCCTAAACTATGGAGTACCAAATTATCCGAATCATGTGACTGTTTGTATAATCTTGCTGAAGCATAGAGCTGCAGCTTGCTCGGTTGGGAATAAGCTGCTCAGTTGTTGTTGCGCCTTTTCATCATATCCAAGGCTTCTGCCAGGCTAGTCGTCACGAACGGTTCCACGCCCTGTTCGCTATTCGTCGCTGAATGCTGGGCCGTTGTTCGCTTTCGACGATGATCTACCACACTATAGTACGAGTGTAGAAATGCCTGCCAGAGGTCTTTGAAACTCAAAACGTGTATGATGGCCTTTGTCCAATGCATCTTCCTTGGCAAGATGACCGGGTCTTCCTGCGGTGAAAGTTCCATCGCTTCGTCGTCTCCGTTGCGACTCTCGCGGATGCCACTCCCTTCTGAGTTATCGACTGCCTTGTACGTCTGGAATACACCATTTGGGTATGCATACAGATGGAGCATCGAGACCAGTGCCATTTCGAAGCACAGCACAGTTTTTGGGATACCGACAGCGAGGGAAGGATATGAGATCTTGTCAGTCGGACTCATTGCACCGCCTTTCTTCGTGAGGTGGCTAAATATAAACTATATATGTCAGGGCATTCTGTGCTATCAGACTGCGCGGTCAAGGAACTTACGCTCTGTACGTAGAAGAGGAAGACCACAAGCTTGATCGCTACGAATTTCAACAATGGTCGGTGAACAGCGAGCTCGAGCTTAGTTTGCTTGTAAAATTGCAAAAGGCAGATCATAGCAGTGATAAGTGAGATGATCTCGGTGACCTGTATCTGTGTCATAGGCGTATTAGTATCGATCTAGAGATAGCTCGTTGGCTACACACCCATATCCTAGCATGAGTTGGATCGGTAGAAGTCTTGCAGTAAACGTCGAGAGCTTCTGTGATGCATTTCGTAAGAGCGCCAAAGAATTTTATGACACAAAACTGGAGTATGCAAATCCAGATGATCTGTTACGTAGTGGAATAACGTGTCAGAAATACTCCACACCGGGTGACCATCTGGACAAGACTTACACTGAAGTACTTGGAGCCATTAGGCGTATTGGTCGTCCTGCGTCGAAGCACGTATCTCCTAAACATCCTTACCGGGAGCACCCATGGCTGGGGCTCAACGATGGAGAAGAGTTGTCGCACTGAATGCAGGTCTGTATGAAGATATCTGCAGAGCAGCAGGAAGAATGAAGCGATGACGAGTGACTCGTAAAATTCGTATATAGCGCCTAGGTAGACGCTAGACTCGTAGAAAGGAATGCTCAAGGTGCAGCAAATGGTATATATCGGTACCATGAGCACGATGCGGATGATTCTATGAAGCTGTGTCAATTTCTCCCGCATAGGGTAGGGGAGGGCAGATTAGAACGCACAGTTTCTGCACCTTCGGCTGCGTGTAGTTTGTCAGGTGGCGATAGACTAGATATAGCGAAAGAGATATTGCGATGATCGAGCTTGCGGTAGCTATCGTGATAAGAAGCTCATGCGCCGTCATTTTCCCAAACAGTGGCTTCTCATGAACTACTTGAGATCAGTTGACAGTTGATGAATGGAGAGTTTTGGTGGGCATACCTCCTACGTCTAGAGGGTTATCGCACTTTGCCATCTTGTGTGATATGCAGTCAAGGTTGGTCGGTACTTGCAAGTGGGTGATTGCAGTCAATGGTTTGATGTAAGATGGGGAACTGTGAAGGCATTTGTTGCTCAAGTCATACGTTCCCAGCGTGCCAGAAAAGTGCTATTAAACCCCCTTGGAAGCTTTCCTGCATGTACAGCCATTGTGGCCTCACGCGTACTTGCTTGGCTACTGGGGCTGAAGTGCACCAAGCGAAGTGATTTTAGTATCCCTGTTGCGACATAGTTTAGCTACGCTTTCCCGTGGAATTCGGCCGAAACGATGTTTTCGAGCCTCCACGATTTTACCCTATCAGAAGGGCTTCTGGGCCCCTTGTCGGAAGTACGGTCAGTGCGCAATACGGGCCGTTCCTGACATGCTCTTGGAACGCCAAGCCATGAATACCAAGTTGTGCCTTAGGGTCGCGCTCTTCTGGTGCTTGGAGTGCCAAAGTATCCTGGGGTTGACAACGATGTCAGCGCTACGTGCTCGGCCGAGGGCTTCTGCCTAACTGTGAGCTACACCGGAAAAGCTTGGAAGCCGGACGAATAGTCGGTATCGACTCGAATAGATAGCATCATGTCATGGTGTTACAAAGCTGCGAGGTCTCACATCGGATCGAACAAACTTACCGCTCAATGTCACTTCAACGGTGCTATCGAGGAAACTAACCGAAGAGCGATCTGATGTCGTACTTGTTTGATGTCCCTCGATAGCTTTCCTGGACGAATACTATGTGTACGCAGCTTTGATTCCATTGCATTGAGTCCCGATGAATGCTTCAAACGAGACGCATTCGGTCGCTTTTCTGCATGCAATGGAGCTTCGCAAGCAAGCTACATTCCATCTCTCAAAGCGAATGAAGACCAGTTCGCATCATTCCGTCTCTTGCTGGAGTAAGGATAGAAAAAGGTCCATCGAAATCTGGCTAGAGATAATCGATATGCCATCTAGCCAGTGCTTTCGGCCGGCTTCGGTCTGAAAAGTGGATTACAGCGCAAGCCTGACAAGAGACAAAAGACTTGGCGCAAACATAGATTCGGATGTTTGTAACCTTACATTCAGAGCCAAATACACGTTGCATTATCGATAGGCACCCGGTCGAGGTCTTTGGACGTTCAAGTCGATCAGTCTCCTTCTGGTGGCGAATGTCGCACCTTCCTATCGAGGCTAAAGGCCGTTGCGGGGTACCCTATGGATATGGTGCTAATAAAGATAGCTACCTTTGATGGTACTTCATTTCCCGAATATAAACTTCTTTTTTCTGAACAATTGCTACTGGATACCTCCTCGTTTCTTAGTGCTCTCGTCATGAAGATACTTGCTGTCCTGCTCCCCATCGCGTCATTCACGCTTGCGCATCCGTCATCCCCAAAGCCTCTTTCATGGGAGATTACACCTACCAACAGTACACAGCAGTTTCGCGGCCTCTCACCTGTTAACGAAAAGGTTGTCTGGATTTCAGGGACCAACGGAACTGTTCTGCGGACCACCGACTCAGGTTCGACATGGACGAATGTGTCTCCGAAATTTGCCGCGACGGAGAATGCATCCGACTTCCAGTTCCGCGATATCCAAGCCTTTTCTAGGACCACTGCTGTAACATTGTCAATCGGTGAAGGGAATCTTTCCCGCATCTATATTACGAGTGATGGCGGAAAGAATTGGAAACACACGTTCGTCAATGAAGAGGAAACGGCCTTCTACAACTGCATGTCATTCGAGACGATGAAAGGAAGGGAAAGTCATGGTGTCGCAATGAGCGATCCTGTCCAAGGCAAGTTCCGCTTACTGGAGACGTGGGATGGTGGCGTGCATTGGGCTATCGTTTCAAACAATACAATGCCGCCAGCACTGGAGGGCGAGTTTGGTTTCGCGGCCAGTGGTACGTGTATTGAGGCTGCGGCGGGTCGATGGTATTTGGCGACGGGAGGGGTTGACCCGGGACGTATCTTTTACACTACCTCCTCCAGCGCCAGTCACGGCTGGCAAGTCGCAAACTCGTCCATCGCTGGTGGCGCAGCAGCTGGAGTGTTCTCTGTACGTTTTCGCGACACACGACACGGTATCGCAGTCGGGGGCGACTACGAACAACCTACAGCCAGCAACAATACGGCCGCTTGGTCAAGCGATGGCGGAGCGAATTGGCACAAAGCTGACTCATTCCCGCGCGGTTATAGGTCCGGCGTCAGTTGGATACCTGGTAGGAGACAGGTAGCAGTAGCGGTCGGCACCAGCGGCTCCGACTTTACTATCGATGGAGGAAGAAATTGGGCGGGCGTCGCTAACGGGACATTCGATGCTGTAGAGTGCGTTGGGAAGGATATTTGCTGGGCTAGCGGGTCTGGCGGACGCGTCGCAAGGTTGCATCTACGGGGGTTATAAGCAACTCCCGAAGGAGAAGGGCATGCTGAGCTGGATAGGCTGACGTTGCTGTCCGCCAACTTGATCTCACCGTTGCCTGCTGTGGCGCCGATGGGCTGCATGCGGGGATGGACCCTCGCAGACTCTTTGTGTATATGGCGGCATGTGCGGGCATTGGCCGATTCTTGGAGACCAGCTTCGAATCAGGATACATGGAGTTTGTTACAAACGGGGCGTAGATAGCGTATTGTGCCACCAAGGCGATCGGTCGTGGAGCATGCGAAGACTGATGGGGCCGAAGTTGATCGAATCTTAGCATAGCTAAGTAGCGGGCCGGTAGTCTCTGCCGCTGCAGGTTTGAGGCGTCTTCGCGTTTTCGCACTATTGTACGATCCTTACCGCCTCGCTTCTTACCTTCCGATCGGGAGACTCCATCAAAGAACATGTCTTATAGTGCATCCTTCAATTCGCTTATCGCCGAACACTTTCCCCTCCCCGTTGCGCGACTAGATGAATCGTGCATTTGCATCGTCTCAGCATGGTAGCATTACACTTGCGTTAGACGACTTTGATCAGCATGGGACTTGCCTGCATCAAGGAAATACCCCGATTAGACTGATGGCAATAGCCTGAGATGCTACCTGGACATGCCCTGTGCCAAAGGGCGTAAATGCAGAGGACTTTTTATTTTGCGTCCCACAGCGCAGCACCCGAGAACGCTAAGATTTCTCCGACCTCTAGGAGAGCGCGGGGAGTGCGAATTGGTGATTCAGTTATCGTGTTCATTGGTCAGACACTCTACACGCGGGTGGCCCTTAAGCCATCACTGCTCAGCGCACTAAGCTACTGACCTTTACAGCGGCGAGATGCCTCCGAGACGTATTGAGCTAAAATTCTCGATTCACTTGATGCCTGTCAATTTACATTCCTTGCCGTGGGCATTCCCAGTATTTCTTCCCTGTCCCAAGAACTGACCCGTAGATCTGGTTGTTCTTCCAACAAGCTTGTGCATAATCTTAAGCTTCGGTGTACTTTGTCAAGCAATTCATAACTGTGGAGTTATAAATCTGACGTGTTTTTCCGCGTCGCCGGGCATTGTGTTCACAACTCTCTGGTTCGCTTCTTGCAATGAGGTTAGCACTCGTCCTAGCAGGCCTGCTGGCCGTCGCCAGTGCTGCACCGAAGGCAAAGTTCATGGAGAATGACAAGCTGGCTCATCAGGGTCTAGCCAACTTGAAGGCATATGTTGCTGAACACGGCTATCCAAATGCGGACAAGTGTACCCTAGAGACTGCACATGTCAGGAAGGAATGGTATGCTAGAAGAGACATCATTCGAGAAAGCTTTGACTAACTGTTTCCTCTAGGGCGTCCCTTTCGACATCGGAGAAATGTGATTACATCAAAGCAGTACAGTGCATTGGAAAGAAGCCAGCGAGAACCCCAGCTGCTATTGCTGCGGGGGCAAAGAGTCGATACGACGATTTAGTGGTGACACATATCCAGCAATCGCTCTCCATCCATGGAACGGCAAACTTCCTGTCATGGCATCGGTACTTCACCTGGACATTCGAGCAGATGCTCCGTAATGAGTGTGGCTACAAAGGCTATCAACCCTACTACAACTGGGCTCACTGGTCGCACGACCCAAAAAGCGGACCATTCTTCGACGGCAGCAGATACAGTATGTCTGGTGACGGCGAGTACATTCCTGGAAGGAACTATTCTTGCTTTCCATATGAAGAACCATGTCTCATGAAGCTGCAACCCGGTACAGGAGGTGGTTGCGTCACTTCCGGTCCGTTCAAAGAGTAAGTATCTTTAGACGACCGAGTAGCGCAGGATCGCTACGCTTTTTTGCTGTCTGTACTGACGGAACCGTAGTTGGAAGATTAACATGGGCCCGCTGCAAACAATGCTGAAAGTCCCTGGTGGTATACCACCAAACCCACAAGCCAACGGTCTAGGCTACAATCCGCGCTGCCTTTCTCGTGACATCAATTTACAGGCTGCAAATTCTACGAGTGATTTCGAAGTCTCTTCTCTGATCCAAATCAAAGACATTGCACGGTTCCAAACAGTGTACCAGGGAGAGTTTGCGAAGAACTTTATGGGTGTACACACTGTAGGTTCACCCAGCAATACTTGTCACGCGAAGATACTAATCTATATACAGGGCGGACATTACACCATCGGAGGAGATGCCGGCTCAGACTTCTACAACTCGCCCGCCGATCCAGCATTCTTTCCTCATCACGGCATGATCGACAGAGTATGGTGGTGAGTTGATGTCCGTAGAACCCAGCTTTGATACATATGCTGACCGATATCCCATCATCTAGGACGTGGCAAAACCAAGATATTGTAAACAGACAATATGCCATCAGCGGAGGCACGATCATCGGAGATCAAGGACCTAATGGCACGCTCAACGATACAATCACAATGGGAGAATACGTTGGGTCGCCAAATATCACTATCGGGGATGCGTTGAATACTCTCGCTGGGCCATTTTGCTACATATACGCATAGGGTATATAGCTGTCTTGCGGTCGAACTGCAGTAGCTAGTCGCATGCGGGTATTCTGATACAAGGCAAGGTGGTTCAAAGATGTGGTATGATGTTCGATTAAGCACAAACATTCACACGTGTATCAGTCTTATACAATGTCTTACTACTAGGAAGCATGATCCAGACAAAATTGAAATTCATCACTTCTCTATTTCGTCAGCCAACACACTTTTAGCATGAAATACGTAAAGACTCGTGGCAAGACATTAGCATTTGGGGGAGGGAGGCGAGAGCGACTGTGGCAAGTTTGGAATGTAACAATGCTAGAGTGTCCTTCTACCGTGAAGTCGTTCTAGGATCTTCCATGGGACGATGACTTGCCTACTTTCTGCTCTCGATACTGCACTTCCACTTTTCTCTCCCCTGCTTGTCAACTCCTGTTTTCACCGCATCCGCCCCATTGAACACCACGCTCCTCGTATCACCTCTTGGCAAGATGATCTCCAGCTCCTCCCAATATGGTCTGAACCCTTCTTGCAGTTTCTCTTCGTACTGGACCAGTACTTGAGTTTCAGTCGTCTCGTACTTGACCGTGAAGACTGAGATCTTGGCTGGTGGCGGCGAAACACCATCGTCTTCAAACCAAACAGATTCATACGCCTTGCCTTTCGAAGAAGCCTTTGGAGGGAAGATTTCCACTGCGCGGTAGTCGTCATGTGGTAGATTCGCTGGATTGCTCGTCTCGCCCACGGAGAGGACTTGTTCGGCACGTCCAACAGGAATTGCACTTCCCACTTTCGCTAGCACTGGAATGCTCGATTCCCAACGCGCTGGAATATCGACCCACTGACCAGCGTCATAGTATGTCTGTGGCTCATTGTTGAGATCCAGAAACGCGTCATCCGGGTCTGCTAAGTCCTTGGGAAGATACATGCTAGAAATCTCAGCACCAGGTGTGAAAACACCACCGACCAGCAATGCATCGCCAAGCCAGTACTGTGTTTCGCCGTCGGTCAGTACCTTGTTCGCCCAGATTTCCTGATCGTTCTCATATCCCCAACCAGTCCAACGCTGTGGCGGAGTTGCACACAGATGAGAGTGCAAGGCCAGCGAGTACAGGTAAGGAATAAGCTCGTAACGGCGCTTGATAGTATCCCGTATCAAACCTGTAACCTCCGGATACATCCAGGGTTCAATCACATCGCCGACACTGTTGTCTTTGCCGGTCTTGAAGCAATTGATGGCGAAGCGCGGACTGTAGATACCCTGTTGGCACCAACGGACAAGGAGTTCGGGGCTGGGCTGTGGGCCTTCGAAACCGCCTATGTCATGGCCGTAGCATTGCATCAGACACACTCCAGCTGTGAGAGATAATGCGTTCGCTCCCTTCATGCCCGGCCAAGATGTTACGTTGTCGCCGCTCCAGGCACTAGCACAATAGCGAAGCGTTCCGGCTGTAGCGCTACGGGTCAGGATGAACGGACGTTGCGAGGGCTCTATGTCAAGGGAGGCGTCATGTGAGGATTTGCCCATCAGTTCTGTGTTCAGTGCGCGGCCCCAAAACCCGATATCTTTGCCGTAACCGCCGCTCTTGGGCTCTTGGGTAACTGTCGGTTCGTCCAACGCGCACTGCCAGCCATCGTGCGGGATAGTGTATTCGTTGTTATCATTCCAGATACAATCGATACCTTCTCGCTTCAATTGGCGGATTCCGTCATACCACCACTTGTATCCCGCTTTGGAAGTGAAGTCAATATGACCGCCGACACCACTCTCGCCACCACCCGCACTCCACAGTCTCGCCTCAGCAGACGCCAACGTCAAAGAATCCGTGAAGAATGCCCCAGCTTCCTTGAGCTTCTGATACTCTGGGTGTGTGCCCAACACATACGGCTTTACGTTAGCGATAAGCCTGATACCCTCCTTGTGGTAAGCATCAATCCAGCCTTTTGGATCAGGAAACCGGTGTTTGTTCCATGTAAAGACATTGCGCGTCTTCGGCTCCGTCTCTGCAACCGTATAGCCAGATGACATCTGCATACCAGAGCAAGGGATATCGTGTTCTTTTAGCTTAGCAGCAAATTCCATCAAACTCTGACTCGCTGGTGGGTCGTCCGTCATGGAGTACTTCATACCGCCGGCTAGATATCCAAACGCCCACCGCGGTACTAGTAGCGGGTGACCAACAAGGTCAGCGTAAATGCGTACGATATCTGGTAGCGTCTTTCCAACTAGTAGATACTCCTCTAGGCCGCCATAGTCCTGACGGTAGACCTTGAAACGCCCCCACATGCCGTCCATCTCCGAGCCTACAGAATAGAAGCCACGGGCATGCGATGTTGAGAAGATACCGACACAGCCTTCCGGAGTAGCATTGATGAGAAGCGGAATGTGCTTATACATGGGATCTGTGCGATATACGTCGTAGCCGAAAGAATCGGTGGCGGAAAGAACGAAGTGACGGTTCGATAGATCCATGGGTGCTGGCTTCTCGCCGAGACCAAGATGAAGGGTTCCATTGTTGTAACGCGTGTAATGAGATATTCCAGGTCCATCAGCAACGTACGAACGGTTAGGAAGGTCGGTGTGAATAGGTGTTTTTTGGCCAGGAAGTGTGATTGAAACGATGGGTACGCCACTTTCCCAGTCCACATTCGCGATTACGCCATCAACGGCTAATGTCTTTGAACTAGCGTTTGATGTGACCAGGCCTGCATCCGCATGGTCCAGGGCCTTGTCTGGCACCGGCGTAGCTCGGTGCGGCGGCAACAGATGCTTTGGTGAGGTGAACGTTGTTCGGAAAAGGCCAGGTCGTAATGCATCGAACGTAAACGTGAAGTCACCCGAGTTAGACTGCAATTGAACACCCGAGTTTGATGTTTCTGTTGCGGCGGCAGCTTGATAGCCGCTGATGACATGCTCAAGCATTGGCATGATGAAGAATGAATGTAAACCCGGTCGTCAGTGCCTGTCCTCTTTCCAAGTATCGTGACTTGAGTCATTTATACTTATAGCAAGACAATGTATGTTACTTCGCACGAAAGTGCCATTTTCCGATGCCGAAAAGGCCAAGCCGGCTTCTTCGGCCGCGCGCGAGCAATGCATCTACCCCCAAAAGAGTTAAGATCGGAGTCTGGGGTCCCCGTGGGGATGCGTATAAGTTTAGTCGGGCCATATCCACTGACTATTGCTGCAGCATTACAGACATTTCTGGGTTCGCTCCACCTCACTTCTTCTTGCGATGTCGAAACCAGAGATGTCGGACGCTACTGTAGCAACAACAACGGCAACAGATATCGATAAGAACCATGTCGAAAATGTCGAAACCACAGAATCTATCCATAAGCCTAGCAACGCTGCTAATGGTAAAGGCAAAGACAAAGCGGCTGCGCTCCTCGCATCGAACGAACGCATCGTGGTAACATCGTGAGTACTCCCACATGAATTCACGTGGAACGTATACTGAACTGATACAATGCAGTGCCGAGAACAAACGCGTCTTGAAGAAGATCGATCTTGTCATATTACCCATCCTCCTCAGTGTCTACTTTTTGCAGTCTCTCGACAAGACCACTCTTTCCTACGCTTCCGTATTCGGGCTCATCGAGGATGCCAACCTTGACCCAAACAGCCAGCAATACTCATGGCTGGGCAGTATTGTATACATTGCTCAGCTAGTGGCGCAGCCAGTCGTTGCTGTACTGCTAGTCAAGCTGAAGATGGGAAAGTTCATGGGCGTGATGGTCTTCACCTGGGGTGTCATTCGTGAGTGTCTCTGTAAGGAATCGCATGTGACGCATACACTGACTTCATACACCTACACTAAGTGTGTGGCATGGCGGGTGCAAGAAACTTCGCTGGGCTTATGGCAACACGGTTCCTACTAGGTGCTTTCGAAGCTGCCATAGGTAAGTTAGACCCTCATTCTGGCGCCATAGCAACTACTAACGTACCATAGCACCTGCGTTCATTGCTGTCGTTCAGATGTGGTACAAGCGCGGAGAGCAAACGAACCGCAACGCAGCTTGGTACGCCATGCTAGGTATCGTCAACATTCTTGGAAGCTTGCTCTCGTATGGCTTGGGACATATCAAGTCGGACCTCCTGCACTCATACCAGATCATCTTCCTCTTCTGTGGCCTGCTTACAGTCGTCGTGTCGGTCTTCGTTTGGTTCTTCATGCCTGACTCCCCCGTCGAAGCAAAGTTCCTAAATGATCACGAGAAGCTGATTGCGGTCGAGCGTCTGCGTATGAATCAAATGGGTGTCGCGTCCCGCGTCTGGAAGTGGGATCACGTATTGGAGGCTTTCATGGATCCCAAGACTTGGCTTTGGTTTTCCATGTTGACGGCTGTCAGCATTCCTAGTGGTGGTATTACTACATTCGGACCTTTGATCATCCAGAGTGAGCAATCCCCTTACACAAGCCACATGTGACGCTTGTACTGACCGCGTATTCAGGTTTCGGATTTGGTCAATTTGCAACCATTCTCTTCAACATGCCGTTCGGCGTCGTCCAGATTGTGGCAACTATAGGGGGCGCTTGGCTAGCAACATGGCTCAAGAAAAAGAGCCCGGTCTTGATCCTATTGTGTATCCCGCCAATCATTGGCATCATTATCCTCATGGTCGTTGGACGCGGCGATTCGAACAAAGGTGTCTTGCTTTTTGGATATTACCTCGTAAGTCATTCTTCTTCGAAACAGAACGATCAACACTAATAAGCCTAGACGTCATTTTATCCTGGAATATCTCCGCTCATCTATTCCTGGTCCGGCCAGAATACTGGAGGCGACACGAAGCGTAAAGTAACGACTAGTATCCTCTTTGTCGGCGCTAGTGCGGGTAACATCATCGGACCCCAACTTTTCAAGCCATCCGAGAAGCCACACTACTACAGAGGATTGCGCGCCAATCTGGCATTGTTCATTGCAATCATTGTTCTGATCTTGCTTGCAATGTTCTGGATCAAGCTGCTGAACCGGAAGCATGCAGCAACAAGGGAGAGCATGGGCAAATCGGCGATCGTTGTTGATACGAGTATGGGAACTGCGCGTGAAGGTGACGCCGAGGAAGCTGACAACGCACAAGCCAGTGGCGTGGGTGACAAGGCGTTCGACGATCTGACTGATATCAAGAACGAAGATTTCGTTTATGTTTTATAAGTAACGCAGAGTGGAGATCGTCCTTTCAGACGACATCTGGGCAGCATGTATCGCGATGGAATGGATAGTCGTATGTCTTGTTGGCCTCCGCACATAACGTATATGCTTGGCTACTGGGCCCAATCATCCGAAAACGACTTCCGTATATATTTCCGCTTCTTGTTGGAATTCTCATTTCAAAACAAGCTGTCTATGTTGACAAATAGATCTTGCCATCCGAGAGGCATGTGTTTGAGATTTAACCCAGGAAAATCCCACTCGAACACAAACTCGCTTGGCACGTAGCCCTGGAACTCGTCTTCAGCCGCCCCATTTCTTGCTCCAGCCATCGAATTTTCTTGATCTGAATTTTGTTCCGCTGCATACTCCCGGAGAGCGGCTTCGCATTTCTCGATGCTGGTTTGCAAGATCTGGAAATATGCGATATGGCCGACGGTCACTGTCTTCAACTCTTCTAGCACGCGGTGCGCGTCACGAAGCAGCGCCATGACAGAGGGGACTGGGTCGCGGAGAAGAATGGCTAGCCTAAGAACGAGTAGAACTGATACGGCGCATTTAGCCCAAACGTAATCAAGCGTCCAGCGGAAAGTACTGAGATATGCTGAGCCAGAGGTGGTAGTGTGAGATGCAGGCGACGAGGTTGGTGTTAGCGATGACTGAAGCATGTAATGTAGATGGCAGCTTGCCGCCTCCTTGGCTTTACGTATGAAGTCGCGTTGGAAGTCAGTCATGATTGCAATGTTCTCGATCCCTGACGAGGATACAGCTTTAAGATAGAGCGTCATCATCGCCCACTCCCGTTGGATTTGCAAATTTTGTAATGCTATTGCACGTTGGTGTGGTGCTGGCTCCGTCATGGCGATAGTGGTCCACTCATCTAGCCACAGTGACAGCTCAACTCTAGCGTCATCTACTGTGGTTCGGAGCTGATCTTCGCTGAGTTGGATCATGAAGTCGCTGTTCCGACCCATGATCTTGGTATAAGCTTCGGTACGGATGATATTGAGCTCGACTTGCGAAAGAAGTCGGATATCTATCGCTGTTCGTTCCGGATGAACGAGCAGGCTCCTAATCTTCCTGGACGACATTTGAAGAGTCAGGCCTGGTAGTTTGCCTCCATCGAGAGAGAAACTGGAACATCTTCAGCGGAAATCTTCGACTTGGCATATGGCATACTCACAAAAGCTCAAGGTTGCAGATGCCGTGCCAAACTCTGGATAAACGGTAAAGATTTTGCTCATCGGTGGTAATAACCCTTGGCCGCGCATGACTTTTCGCGATGAGTTGATCAACAGCAAGAGGTAGCCCGATCTGTATGGCGAAGCGAAGGGCTGTTGCTATTAGTACAAATCCGTTCTCCGAGTATGCCGCGACTAATGCAATCGCTTGTACATCCTCTACTGTAGGAACGCTTGTGTTAATAAGCATGTTGGTGATATGGTCGCGAACTCTGGATTGCAACCGACGATAAATCGTTGTGTTGAACCCCTCGTTGGCACGACAGCCAATGCTAACAATGGCATCGAACAGAATTCTTTCTCAAAGTCAGTGTATGTCACACTCTCGAGTAGGACTGGAGAATTTCTCACGGATTCCGTGAAGACACTGATGCAATGGTATCTGTCTTCTCGCAAAATATGGGTACAAGATATTGCTATGCCATTTAGTGTGGTTCAAACGATAAATCGGTGCCTTCATACACTACCAGAAAAGAAGCTGCCGCTAATCAGTGATATGAGGATTTACAGAGAATTTGGTTCTAGCTACCTTTGATACCAACTCGCTGCTTGTTCCCATGTGACTATACCTGCATCAACGGCATTGCGTATTGGCATGGCAGGTGCGTTGCATCGAGGTAGGGAATGAAGCGCAAAGTCGGGAACTGTTGTATTCGCATTCTCCGCGAGTGACTGTAGCCACGGACATGATCAGCGAGATGTCTCATGATGGTCCACGAAGTGGGGCTGAAGTCTGTTGTGCCTCTAGCTGGCTCAGGTGTAGTCCTGCCTGGCTTATTTGCAGATGCCTACGTACGCTTTTGTCCCGACCTTGTTGGACACGCATGTGCTCGCGAATCATGGCCATTTCTTCCTCGAGCTTTTCGATACGCAACACGTTCTCATCCTTGACTGCGTCATGGTACTGACAGGTTGTACTATTCCTGTCACATCGTTGACAGGGACGGTTTCCATCGCAGCGGACCTTGGACGTTCGGCAACTGATGCATGCATTGATAGCACGGCGTTTGCGTGGACGCGCTGGAAGAGGTGGATCCATCTAATGGGAAGTTCGTGCGAGATGTACAGCTGTACATCTCGCGTGAGGACCCGTTTTTTAATGATGGTGGGCCGATGCGGGGAAGCTGTACATGAGTCGTGGTCGCTATGGCGGATGTCACTACCGGCAATAAAGAGAGCGGCCGAAATCTTTTGCTGCTAACAAAGCCACTAAAATCTTGCCTACACCGCATACAAGGAAAGTGTAACAGGTACAGAGACCTTGTGCCTTACCTTAAAGCCTACGTTAACTTCTAATAAATAACCTTGTAGAGACTACAAGCATTGTAGGCTTTTAGATTCTTCTTGTCTATACTATAACTCTTGACATACATTATTGTAGTAGTGTGAGGTAGGATGTAATCCTAGCTCCAGCCTTAATTCGGCGCTATGTATTCGTTTATCGTGGGTGTCGTCTCGAGGTCAAGGTCGATACCGAACATCCCTGTAGCCTGCCCGTAACTAGCCTTAACAGCCTCAGATGCGTATATGCGCATTTCCTTCTCGTATGCCTCTGTCACACCCGTCCATTTATCGCCATCGCCTCTTTCCCAAGCTTCGGCAATCAATCGACCAAGCAAAGCTGAATCACGCACAGCCGTGTTGGCACCGTTACCGCCCGCCGGCGTCATGGCATGGACAGCGTCGCCAACAAGAGTAACTCGAGGATCGTTGGGCCATTCCGGAACACCCCTTGGGTCAGAGCATGTGATCTTCCAGAAAGCCGCTTCAGATTCTTTCATGTTTTCGAACAGTGGTTTGACACGCTCGTGGTAGTGTGAAGTAAGGGCTTTGGCAATTCTTGCAACAGGCTGTCCGGTAATGGTGTAGTTGTCATTAGGTGCCTTGATGACACCTGGCGAGCCAATCATGGTCCAGCCAAAGTCGATATCGGGGTTATCCATATCACCAGCGCGTACATTTGTGATGACGAAGACCCTGCCGCCGTTTGGTTGCGACGTGTCGTCGGCGAATCGGAAGACGCCTTCGCCCAGGGCCCTGAAAGCGGATGTCGGAGCTTGCCCATGGATTCCTCTCGATCCAAGGTCGTAAACTTTGATGGCGCCGTTGGACAGCTGAGCGCCTACTGCGCTCTTGACGCCCTCGCCTCCAACCAGCATGGACCCTTCTTCCGACTTGGAGCCATCGGCAAAAATCAATCGCACACCATTGTCCGTCCTCTCGTATGCTGTGGCGTGGTGATTCCAGCGCACCTTGTCCTCTAGGCCTTCGATGAACAGCTTGCGCATGTCACCGCGCGAGATGCCCACCACCTTGCCGTCCTTGCTTGTCAAAGGCTCGCTCCGTACGCTCGGAGCATCTCCACCCACTGTCTCGCCCGTCAGCGGGTTGATGGCTGCAAAGCCGGCCCCACCTGTTTTCCCACAAGCATCGTAGAACTTCTGAAAGCCCGTGGGGCCGAGGACTGCCTCAATGGCATCGAGCCCCTGGGCTGAAAGTCGCAGGCGGTAGCCTTGGGCTCTGAAAATGATGGACGCGTCGCGTTCAAAGACGAGGAATGGGATTTTGGACCGGTGCAGCGAACGGGCGAGGAGGAGCGAGGCAAGGCCGCCGCCGGAGATGAGGATTGGCTTGGGGGCGCTCATGGTGGGCGATGGGTTGATTCCGAGTGTGGAGGGCGCTTGACATGAGACGCCATGGCTCCTATTATAGCAGTCGCGCTTGGTGTTGAGGAAGACGCGAGATGTATTGCGTCAAGTACATCATTGGGCAAGTGGGGGCCGCGTCGGAGCTCCGGGGCACCCAAAGGGGCGTGATTTCTAATAAGCCGTCGCGCTGTCAGTAAGCACCGGTTCATCTGTTTCCGCACCTCGATGCCTTCAATTACCAAGCCTCGCACACAGTTGCGTGCTTCGCCATGCAGCAGAGTTGGTCGACGTTAGTCTTCATGGTTAATGATGAAAGATATCATACGTGATCGCAGCATCCGCTACGCAAAGCTGAAGACCGCCTGGATGCACCACGATGAAGACATCGCTACCCACATGTTCGTGGACCTGGGCGCGTGTATTGGCTTCCCAGCCGTACGAGTAGATGCGAGGCATGTTCTCGGCCGCAATACCCAGGCGTTCGCATAAGCGCACAAATCTGCTGCCGCCAAGCAGCCAGAGAGGATTCATAGGTGAGATCCATCGTTCGAGGTAAGGGAGGCCAATTGCTCTCGCTTTTGCGCGATTTTGGGCGAGAGATTGCGCAGACCAGATAGTCAAAGTGACTGGCAACGCGAGCAATGTGAGCAGTATTGTCAAAAGGACCATTGAACGGCCTTTGCAGACACAATAGAGCGATTGTATCGCTTTTCTAGCCATGGCATGTACTGCGCGTTAAGTATCGTCGAGTGAATTCTTCGGACGTATCTCAACGCGCGCTTTGCCTGAATGAGCTTCTGTGGCTGGAGCGTGGTCACATTTCAGGTTCATTCCGCTTCCACACAGCCGCATGTCAATTCCTGCCACGATCAGATGGTGATGTTTGGGGATCATCTACATCGGTATGATAACGAACGATTGCATTGCACATACACGCAATGTCAACCTCTGATAGTCTCAGATCGACGTGAAATGAGCATAATTTCACAGCTACCACACATTTCATGTATTCCTTCAACGCCGTTGGCATCCCGCACATGGCCAGATCCGGCGATGTCCGAATCGCGTAACTGCAGTAGTGGTTGCAAAAGAATTGAACTGGATGATAGAGCAGGACTGAACGACTTGGATGTTCAGGCGTGAAGTATAGCAACGCAGTGGCTGTAACGGACGTGTACAGACATCCTGTCATGGTCGGTCAAGATGTATAATTGAGGCTAAGTGCTATATGACACCATGCACTCTATGATGTAGTCAACCTTCGGCTTCATCAACAGCATGTAGTCTTCTTCCAGCATGATCGGTTTAGGCTGCTGGGCCACAAAGATAGCCTGGCTGAGGTCGTCGCTGTAACTCCAGTCCCACCACGAATATTCCAGATTCGGAGCGTTCGGAGCATCGTATCTTTGGTAATGGTCTTCCTTAAGCATTTCACCGAGTAGTTTAACGAATTCATGAGATCCCCATGATGCCAGACCACTCCCTTGGGCGAGGAGCCTGATCTCTTTGACATTCTGCAATCGTCTGAACAAGCCTACCAGGGCTTTTCGGCTTTTGGAATCTTCGAGCATGATCACAAGTTCCAGCTGATCAAGGTACATGCATGGCTTGTTCAAGGGGAACATCTCCCATCTTTTGATATCGCTGGGGTTATAGTGGACTCTCAACTTCTTTACGTCGCGTAGAAGCGCGTCGGATTGCTGGTGAACAACCCAAGTAGAGTCTTTGGGGAGCACGAAGAGCGTCTTTTGAATGGCAAGACGAAAAAACTCGGCGTTGAATCGTCGGCAGACCAGCCTTATGGCGAGGTTGTTGCTGGCTTTGTATCTGCTGTCAACCCCAAAATGATCCCTTTTTTCTCCAGGCCTGTGCTGTCTGGTGAGTCCAGCGTCGGGCTGCTCAAGCGCATAGGCGGCAATCTCCAAGCGAAGCTCGGTTGGTAAAGTGAAAAAGGTCGTCTTCTCGTTGACTTGTGGCATAGTCTGGTATGCTGTGAGCCTGCAGGCTTGATTGTACGAAATGATTGGCCGACTTCACCTGGGTAGGCTCGAACAACGACCCAGCTGACGCGAACGAGGAGCGCCCAATCTTAGCGCAAGTCCGTGCATAGCCATCTGATAAGATTTCTCCAACCCCGCCAATCTCCGAGGTTGCATCGTCCTTCTTGTACCTCATCGCGTCCACCCATGCGCGCTTTGTCGATATCTATTATTCTTTACACGCTGGCAAATGTAGCACAGTCTCTGTACTCGGGCAAGTTCTGCCCTTTGGCTTGCGAGACCACCATCAACTATGTAACCTTTAACGACACCGACCCTTCGCTTTCGCGGAAGTTCCGAGCCTGTCAAAGTGATTTGCGCGTCACGTCACTGTACCTGTGTTTCGAGGAATTCTGTAAGCGAGATGGTCATATAGAAGAGCAGATTGAGAGTCGGAATCTCTGGTGCGAAGCATACGCGAATATCACATTACCTTCATTTCACGATGTTGTGAATCGATGGACGCCGGATGAAAGGGGCAAAATAAGACGGCTACAGGCGGAAGAGGCACTGGAGTTTCCGAGCATTGATGAAGTTGTGATACCCAGTGATATGCTCGTGAAGCGAGCTTTTACGACTATGGTACCGTTATCATCTGTCATGACCTGATGGGAAATGCAATGCTAATCGCAGCATACAGGACGCAGCAGATTGGGAATACAAGATCCATCTTGTATATGGGTGAGCATAATCTGGATTCTATCAAACGCACAATCGCTAAGAAAAGATTTGCAGATGGTACATGTACTACTTTTGGATCGCCGTAGTGATTGTTGGTATCACAACGCGTCTCTTATCACTGATGCGCGGTAGACGACACTACAATAAGTCGTATGAGGTGATCTCAGAGGTTGATTCTAGCACAGATTCTGTGTCACTCGGTCCTGTAATTCGTTTTCAGACATGGCTAAAGCGATACCTCACCACACCTGCCGCGTTTGGTGACCGCTGTTCTCGACCTTATGGCTGGTGCACCATACCACCACGGATCCAATCGCTTACCATCTTCTTCTTCGTCGCGCTCAACATCGCCCTCTGTACTTGCTCTTACCGTCTTACCGAAGGCAACCTCTACTGGCCAGAGAAGTCAGCACAACTTCTCCGCTATGTATCGGATCGTACTGGGATCATTTCGCTGGCAAACTTTCCTCTTGTCTGGCTTTTTGGTATGCGAAACAATGTTTTAATCTGGATAACTGGATGGGGATTCGGCACATACAACGCTTTCCATCGATGGGTTGCTAGGGTCGCCACGGTACAAGCTGTGGTGCACAGTCTGGGCTATACGCTGATGATACTGGAAAGCGGAGGATGGTCACACTTTCTCAAGTACTGGACGAAACACTACTTCTGGAATGGCGAAGTAGCGACTATCGCTATGTGTGGCCTTTTAGCGTTTTCGTTCTATGGTATTCGCCGTGCGCACTACGAGTTCTTTCTCGTCACGCACGTAGCGTTGTCCATTGCCGCACTCTGGTCCATGTACTACCATGTCGAAATCTTCATTAACGGCGAGTGGAATATATTTATCTGGCCATGTGTCGTTGTCTGGATCTTCGATCGGGCCATGCGCCTCGTTCGGATCATAGTGTTCAACCGCAATCCTTTTGGTACCAAGGCTAAGGTCACTTATGACCCTAATAGTAACCTTGTCAGAATGGATGTTGACGGGAAGAAGAGCTTGGTCGCACCGAAGCCTGGCACATATTATTATATCCACGTATTGGATGACACGTTGTATGCCCACCAGAGTCATCCTTTCACGTTGGCATACACCTCGACAGATACCGATCAGCCTCCGTCTACGCCTTTGTCGCCACTTTCGCTCAGACCCGAACCCGTTCGTACGCCATCAGCCTCATCAGCCTCATCCACCGAGTCTGATGCGCTCCTGCCGTCTGAAGGCGTACTGAACATGGTGTTCCTTATCCGACCATACGACGGTTTCACATCCCGGTTAAAATCACATTGTCTTTTGCATCCCAAAAGACTCAACGTCCTCATCGAAGGACCCTATGGACATAGTGTCCCTCTCCGAAGTTTCACCAACATCCTGTTTATAGTTGGTGGGACTGGTATTGCAGTGCCTCTGTCACATCTGGCTCACATACTCTCCACGTCCTCGCGTGTCCAGAATGTGAAGATTGTTTGGGCGGTTCGCGAGTATGCATTCCTTGCGTCAGTACTGCGTGACTTCAGAGGGTTGTTAAGCGATGAGAGAATGGAGATGGAAGTACATGTCACTCGCGATGACGAAGCAAAGGATGACGTCTTGGGCGAGGCGTTAAAGAGTGTGAGGATGATGGCGCACAGGCCTAGTGTACATACCACAATAGTGGAAGCTGCAAGAGATGCGGGACAACAACCGCTAGCGATTGTGGCCTGCGGACCAGCTTTGATGGCTGATCAGGCCAGACGAGCAAGTGTACAGATGCTGGGTAAGGGACATGGGGGTGTTGAGTACTTTGAAGAAAGCTTTAAATGGTAAGGCACACCAGACTAGACCGAAATGGTGATATTTGGTCAGTGCTATGCCTCGCTGCGGTTTATAAATTCCCTTTGTCTTCTTTCTTCTTCAATTCGATATACCATTGCGCGACTTCCTTTACGCTGTCCTTTAGGCCCCTGATCTTGTCTCCGCTCAAGAGCATGTTCTCTGTCACACTCGAATCGGCGCGAAACGGCATGTTGATAGGAACCTTGCCTCGTCCCACTCTGAAGGCTCCTGTCTTGACTTCATTTCCGAAGTCATGTTCAATCATGTCTGCCGCGTCGTTCCATAGCTTTTCTCCGTCTATACCCGGTTCTACCGTGCCAGCAGCAACATACCACGCAGGCAAGTCTTCGCTCCTGATTCTCTCGTCTAGCGCCTCAATGTGAATTCGAGCGCAGTCCTCTACGTGTATGAAGCCGAATGCATATCGTGGTGTCATGTCGTCGAAGAGCAACGCCTTGCTTTGTCGATCGACATGTGCGAGCGCTTGCTCAGACGTTGTGCAGAATTCCGAAGGCCCGATGACGGTGCCTGGTATAATTTGCGCGATAGAGAAGGGGAGCTTGTGGGAAGCTTGGAGGTGGGCAAGGTTGGTCATGCATTGAGCTTTTGCGGAGCAATATGCGTTGTGAGGAGACTTTAGAGGGGGTCGGTATTCGAGAGACGTTTGCGAGACTTGGACCTGCTCTGTGTAGGTCAGCACAAGACATGAGCTGGAATGGAGAGCACGATGGGAGAGACGTACCGTTTAGAACGCGATGCATACGCCTGCCTAATGTATCTCCGTCCTCCGAGTCAACGAGCCCAGCCCCGGCTTGTGTGAAAACCATTCTCTTCACAGTCTGTGATTTGTTCCCAGCTTCAATCAAGCCCTTGGTAGAGTTGATGTACGGCCAGTAGATGTCCTTATCGGGATCCAGATTCGGCATCGGCCATGCCCCTGCTATGTGGACAACATAATCGGCACCTGCAACAGCTTCGTCGTAAGCTCCTTCAGCAGCATTGTTTGGCACGACGGCGTGTTCGATCAGGTCAAGGTATGGCTGGACCGAGGGCCCGGATTTGATCAAGTCAATGGCGGCGGAACGGCGCACGATGCAGCGTACTCGATAGCCAGTCTGCAGTGCATACACGACGCAAGCGTAGCCGATTGTGCCATTTGCACCGGTAATCTGGTTGGCGTATCAGTCTTGTTGTGTCGAATGTCATGGACGGGGTTTGGCGTACAGCGACAAGGCCACGAGCTCCGCGATTCGCTGTCATGTTTCAATGTCGCGACGGAGGGCGAGATGCTGGGGGTTCCGATTAGCGTTGCAGGTTCCGACATGCCTCGGATCGCATCTTCCCCAATCCACCCTCCCCGCTGACCATTGACGCGCGAACGAGGCTCACTATGGCTGCTTCACTCTCACCTTACGTGAAGCCCGATGAGGATACTGGCTGAAGATACCAACAATGGCAGACGGCACCACACAATCCCAGGGCTTTCCTCACGCCGCCAGTGAGAGACTCAACATCATCATCGTACGTCCCAGCACGCGCACGCGCTTCCCATGCTGAGCACAAACTGACTTCACTACCTAGGCAGGCGCATCCTTGGGTGGCCTCGCGACAGCTCTTGCTCTAAAACGTCTTCCAGCACCACATGCACACACCATCACCCTTCTCGAACGGAATCCGACCGCCCTCCTCCACAATCAAGGCGCGGGCATCGTCGCCGGTGAGCACTTGTCCTGTACGAACCACATCTGAGGCATACACTAACATCGTACCCGCATCTTACAGGTGGTGATACCCTGGCATTCTTCAAGCGCTACGACAAGTGCAAGCGCGACTTGGCTGTTACCTCGACTCGAAGGCAATACCTGAGCAAGCATGGTGAGGTCATACACAAGGAAGACATGCAGCAGAACATGACCAGCTGGGATCTTGCATACTATATGCTCAGGGCTAACGTTGATGGAATCGAGAGCAAGTATTGCGCCGCGCCGCGCGACCAAGACAGTGGTTGCAAGGTTGCACATCTCCATGGACACAAGGTGGTTGAACTGCAAGACAAGGGAAACAAAGTGGTTGTAAAGTACGAGACAAGCGAAGGAGGTACGGGCGACATGGAAGCTGACCTGGTCATTGGCGCTGATGGACCGAGTTCTACCATCCGCTCCCTCCTCACTACCGGCGTCGAGCGCACGTACGCGGGCTATGTCGCTCTTCGCGGGACCGTTCCTGAAAACTCAGTCAGCCCCCAAACACTGGAAGCTTTCAGGCAACGCTTTACCTTCTTCCATACAAAAGGGATCCAGATCCTGGCATACTTGATACCTGGCGAGAACGGTACCCTCGAGCCGGGCAAGCGCCTCATCAATTTCGTCTACTACACTAATGTTCCGTCACCTTCTCTAAGTGATCCTTCTCCCGACTTCCGTGAGTTGATGACAGATGTGGACGGCCAGTATCATCGCATCACCATGCCACCTGGCAAAATGGACCCGCAAGCATGGGAGAAACAACGCGAGATTGCAAGTGAGCGTCTGCCTCCTCAGTTCGCTGAGATAGTCAGAGCGACTGAGAAGCCATTTGTACAAGCAGTTACCGACGTTGTTGCTCCGACAAATGAGTTCATGGACGGTCGTGTCATCCTCATCGGCGATGCTCTGGCTGGCTTCCGACCGCACACTGTTGCAAGTACTAGCCAAGCGTGCTTCGATGCCATGATCCTGGCAGACATGATCGAGGGCACAGTGAGCCGGAGTACGTGGAAGAAGGAGACACTAGGATATGCGAGAACACTGCAGAAGAGAGGTGTTGATATGGGAGAGCGCAGTCAGCATCAAGACCTGCCGTTGGAGGAGCATATCCACGATCGGAACTTGGCAAGCAAACCAAGAGTGGAAGAGGTATGGCCAGAGTGGGCAGTCGAGGGTCTATAATAGCTACAATTACAATCCACGAGTCAAACAAGTGCCCTTTGCGATAGGCTTCGATGGCGCAAGTGAGACCACCGATACCGCCTCCTACTACAAGGACGTCGACACCAGTCGGTAGCTCTCTTTCCATCTGGGTGTGTTGGACGCCAGGCATGTTTGATTCTGTGGGCTCTGTTCAATGATTTGTTCAGTTGTGTTTAGATATCACTTTGCCAGACTTCTTCACTCCAATATCTACATACTAGCCCAACGCACGTAAGTCAACCAACACTCCATTGTTTACGGCACAAAAATATACCGACGATCGAAAGTCTACGGATGGAAGAGACGCTTGGCCTGTACCCAAAGTTACAGATGTGCAGATCAGCGTGGATCTGCTCAGGAGCATGCGGTGTTGTATTGGATCGCAGATGTTGCTTGCGGCATTCCGACGGTATCACTCCGATTGCTTGTTAAGCATGAGGCTATTTGTGTCCTCCAAGACTAGTAGCGGAATTTTACCGGTGGTGGTGACGGTTTTTGCATTGGGCACCAAGAGCTCATGAACATCATGTACGAAAGATTGTACGAGTGCGGGCTTGCATAATATCGTAGAAGCTTCACACTTCACTAACCCTACCGATGAACAATAGTACAAACCATGATGATGTTGTAATATTAGATTCGAGCCAAGCGCCCAGATATGACAAAGAATTTTGAGAAGATGAGACTGCTAACTTACGACAACAACGTACTCGGCAAAGCTTGGCTCAACTGTATATGCTAGGGTGAGCTGTGAGCCTGCTTCTGCATGTCTTGAGCAACGATCGCCTTGATTTCGCGCATATGCTTGCCCACTACCGCACCGCCAAACCCTCCCTCTAAATCATCATGAATATCTTCATTACCCCTTGGGAAGATACCCACACTCCTGCCACAAAGGTTTTGAGTCGACGAAAACCTCATCACGGCATCAACTACCCTGTTCATAGATGCATACCCTACAATTTCAAGCACGGCACCATTGTCCGCGACAAAATCGTCTTGCTTGGTAATGCCAGTATCGACGAACCATGGCGCAACGAGGTTAAGACGGATTGAAGAGCGCATAGCACGCTCGCGGAGACTATAGAAGAGTCCTCGAACGCCGAACTTGGACATGCTGTACGTAGTACTGTAAGGGTAGCCGATGTAGGCTGCCAGTGAGGCGATGAGAACGATGCTAGGCGTGAACGTTGTTGCGGCTGTGCGCGGGAGTCGGAAGTAGTGTAACGCGAGATAACAGGTATTGTATACGGCGTCAAGATTGACCGACAAGCAAGCGGAGCCTGGGACCGGAGGTGGCGAATCTCCTAGTTTTGGTAAAGTGGTTGGTACCATATCGAACATGTTCTTCTCGGCCAGGATGCCTGCATTAGGGATGACAATGTCAATCTGCCCGTCGCCAAACTGTATCGCGGACTGAAACATAGAGGCTTGTGCTTCGTAAGATGTTACGTCGCAATGTACGAACTGCGCTCTGAGCCCTCGAGCTGTTAGCTCTGCAATTACTGCCCCCGCTGTATTCTGCCGGTCGGCCATCGTGACAATCGCGCCTTCTTCAGCCATCTTGATTGCGCATGCCAGACCGATACCAGATGCCGCGCCAGTTATTAGAACTGAGCGGTCTTTGAGATTGGTCGTATCCAAGGAATCACGGAAGCTTATGGGCGTTGCCATGGTTGAAGTAATGTGATTCGCCATACTGATGGCAGGAAGAATGTGTAGCCCCTACGGTTGTGAAAGATGACATTTGTCTCGAGGGGATCATCTTGTATTAACAATGACATGATCGCTGCGCAAGCGCTGCGCCTGACATTCCAGCAGGAAGTAGTGTGAGGCTATGAGGCGGGGAAAGAAAGCCAACGTACAAGTGGCGTTGGACTGTAGTCGAAGAGCCCACTCACTGTAGTAGTGTCTGCGAAAAAACAGGCGCGGTACACGACATCTCGATGCGTGCTGCAGAGCAGGCGCGGGGTCAGCCAAGCAGTCGTGCGGGGAAAGGAGTAGCCGACCACCATATATATCCAACTCATGGAGTATAATACCCCTGCTGACGTGAGAAACCCTTGCAGTCGTCAGATGTGTTACGGGCGGCGATTGTATTCATAACGAGGAATCTGGATCAAGGTTCCAACGTGGCCAAAGCATCGCGCCAGATGCTCGACGTGTCACGAGTGCGATAAGGTTGAATCAGACTCAAGAAGAGCCCCATCCAAGAAGCTTTAACCCAGAGTGAAAGACCAGTTCCACTCTCTCACAACCTCTTCCCAGTCCCTTCTTTGTCCACCTTCAAGTTTGGGTCGCCATACTTCCTTCAGCACCTTTTGCACACATTCGACGTTCTCGTAGCGATTCCTGTTCTGAATGTCCTCCAACCTTCGAAAGCATTTCTCAATGGCAGCTTCGTCGTCCAGCTCAGCGCCTGCTAGAAATATGGGGTAGAGCAGGCTCGACTCCGCAGCGCTTCCGGGTGGTATCCGAGCAATGAACTCCATCGCACGTGCGGCACAACCTGCAATATTCGTAGAGTGGCTTGGTGAGGTACGATAGAGCTGAATGAGTGCCGCTAGACGGTAAGCCTCTGCCAAGGCGATGAGATCGAGAGCTATGGGGGTATCGACACCAAGTGCAAATGGATTGTCGTAAGTCCAGCTTTGGATGCCCTGCTCGATAACGTTGAAAGAAGCTTCGGTAGCAAGTGGGAACGCTGGATTTGAGGAAGTTACGTACTGTATCCGAGAGATGAGATCGCATAGCTGGTATGAGATGCCCATGAGCGGATCAATTGTGCCTGGCATTAGAGCGGCGCTGATTGGTATCAAGCCTTGCTCTGTTGAGCACGGCTTTCCTGCGTTGGATACCCGTGCCATGAGAGACGCAGAAGCAAAATGATAGGTGAAGTGGCGATGTAGAGAATCGACCTCAACACAGTCCATGATGCTCTGTTCTGGAGTGAGTGCGCTAAGTATACGTTGAACGCTTTTCAACTGCGATATCCACCTCGTGGTCTTGACGCCGTTGAGCGCCTCAAGCCCTACTAGAATCAGGATCACCGCAGTGACCTGGTAAGTGTCTTCTGGAAGTCCACCCGAAGGATGTAGGCGTTCCTTGATAAATTGATAGCACTTCCTCTCATGGCGAGAGGACACGGCCCGAAGATGCTTAGCGCGGTCTGCGTCCTGGCTCCGCCGTGCCAACTGAGCTGAAGAAATGGCCAGAATGGCGTCAAGCATTCCTTCGATCTGGAAAGACCAAGGCATGTATAGGCTAGTGTAGAAACTTGTTGCAATAGGCGCTACTTGAACACTGGGTACAAAGGCCTCGATATAGTACTGTAATAGATGCATCCTCTCCGCTTCTCCATCGCCCGGTAGCGCATCCCAAGGATCGAGAGAATTTCGCAGCGGAACTGCGACCTGAAGCTCGGGGCTCTTGGAGCTTGATTGTGATGAAGTCGGCTCCGTGACGATACTTCGTGGACTCTGCCACTCGCATAACAGGTTGAGGCGTTTGCAATTTGCACATCGAGGTTGGGCGTTATCGCACCTCTTTCTCCTGGTTCGGCAGGTCAGGCAGCCTGTACGCGATCTTGGCGCGAACTTGCGCTGGCGTGGCTTCGTCTCAGCCATGATCTGAAGGGTAGAGGTACAGAAAAGAGCTTGATTCGGATAGTCACCGAGGAGACATGAAGACGTGCATCGTTGCGGGAGCGTTATTGGCAAAGATAGCTGGAGATTGAGTCAGATTCCGCGATCGCGGGTGCAGTATCGATAAGCAGCGTGACTAATCGGGGATTGCACCTCCGAAGGGCGACAGTTGCGTCGACTCGCATCACCATCAACCAGCATTCAACCGTAGTCTACGCCTTGTCTTGCTTGGATCCCACAACGGCATTCTCTCCCAGGTGCGCGAAGGATCACATCCCATAACGGGCTTACTTGGCCGTTGGGGCTGACCGCGCCGCATTGCGAGTGAACCATCCATGATGTCCCAGCTCCCACGTGCGGTTTGTTCCTGAGAATCTTTACCGTCTTAGGAAGCATCGCCTATGTTCATCTCCGAGGCTAAGCAGGTGCTGCACTTGACAACACCACAATAGATGAAGATACTGGGGTATAAAGATGAGGGCCACACGCCTTATCGTCGTCTGTAGCTCGAAACATCTCACAATCCCAATCAACGACCATGAGGCTTCTTGTTGTTTCCCTCGCTATCAGCAGTACTGCTGTCGCGGCTCAAGATAATTTCAACATTTTCCAGCATATTGGTGGAAACGGACAATGGTTCCCTGGCGAAGAAACGACAGGCATCTCTTCTGAGATACCCACTGGATGTAAAGTCGATTTGGCTGGTGAGAACACTTCAGTTGAAGACTGACCAAACCCATACTAAATCTACACAGCTTTCTTCTCTCGCCACGGTTCACGGTACCCTGACAGAGGCGCGTACAACGGATGGGTTGAATTCGCCGAATACATTCAAGCAGCAGGTAACTTCACCGTCAATGACGAGAAGCTCGCTTTTCTCAAGTCCTGGAAGCCAGTACTCTCAGATCCCGATGCTCAGATCGCCAATATAAGCCCCACTGGATGGAGAGAGCTTCACGATATGGGTACCACGTGGCGGCTCCGCTATCCTGATCTGTACGATTACAACACTGCCTTTACTATGTGGGCAAATTACTACACTTCAGGTCCCCGTGTACGGGATAGCGCACGCTTGTTTGCTCAAGGTTTCGTGGGACCCAACGCTACGGATCTTACCACCATCTATGCCCTCAACGCGAGCGATCCTGCCAGTTGGGGCAATACGCTTGCACCCAGTGATCTCTGCAAGGCCTACAATGACGCAGGTGGTGGCCCTGCAAAGGACACATGGGACTCCATATATCTTCCTCCGATCGCGTCCAGGCTCAACGCCAAGATTCAGGGTGGTTTGAATCTCACGACAAATCAAGTCGACCAGATACCCTACCTATGTGGTTTCGAGACCCAGATCACTGGCCGACGCAGCCCTTTTTGCGACATCTTCACTGATGAAGAAATCCTGCAGTACGAGTATGCGCAGGACTTGCGTTACTGGTACGGCACTGGCCTAGGGTCTGATATCGAAAAGTATCAGATGCTGCCAGTCGTCGACATGACTGTACAACGCTTTGTTGATGGTCCAAATGCGACTTACCCAACGGGCAATGGGACCTTTGTTCCCCCAAAGATCATGGCCAATTTCGCGAACGATGGTCAAATCAATCAGCTCGCCGCTGCAATTGGTGTTTTCGACGGCCAACAGCAACTTCCTGGCAATATGTCGCTACCGAACCGCATCTTCCGTTCATCCCAGGTTGTGAAGATGCGCGGAACGATTGCATTCGAACGCCTCTCCTGTCCTGCTGCTGCCCATGATGGCAGCTACGGTTACAGTGCCCATAGCGACTACAACAGTACTGCATCCGAAGAGGCCTTTGTACGAATCCGCATCAACGAAGTCGTATATCCTGTGGTGGGCTGTACCAGCGGTCCTGGCTCTTCATGCCCGTTGTCGCAATATCAAAGCATCATCAACGCGAAGCGTGCAGAAGCCGGCGACGTGACCAAGCTATGCAATATGACTGGTGAAGGTCTCGCACCTAAGCCAGAGGCAACTTTCTTCTTCGACAACACACTACCCTGGCAGTCAGTTGTGAAGCCGTAGTGAACATACCAGGTAGTGTTGGATCACGTTTATTGATGAAATCCTTCGCTTGTGTCTCTGGATGTGTTTCTGTGCCGTTCCATTGATCTCTGTGCCGCAACAAAGCAGCGTCCTATATCATACGACTGATACATGCTGCGCCCTATGCCTGCAAATATGAGTAATATTTCTTTAAAATCGCAACATCTAACGTGCTCGTTGTTGCTTTGACAAGGCGTCCTCGGCTGCCGACAATTGACATGTACAGGGCGCGCGCACTGCTCACTAAGTCGCACTAACCCCACCTCCATCTCATTGGACAAGGGCGTGTGGGCACAAGGCGCACGCCCTACCCAAATTGTCATACTTTACATGCTCTCTCCGCTCTTCCCACAAGCCATACCAGACAAAGATCGGTTGTTAATGAAGCAGTCAATTGCGCGGTGTCTTCGACATGTGTCCATGTGACCTCGCTATAGTACGACTGAGCAGATTTTCCGAATTCAAGTTGTACGAGAGGCTCGCACTGTTCACCGTACATCTCTACCCGTCGGGAAATCGACATGGAACTAGTCACTTCCGGAAGCGTGTGGCTGCGGAACGGGCTACCCATTGGACGCAGTCCGTACATTGATGGCGTAAATTTGTCTCCACTTGCGCTCCAAGCGGGTGGTCAGCTTTGCGACATGGGAAGCTACTGAAACAAGCCTCCCACGCCTTTCAGGTCAATTACCAGCGCAGGAAGTGCCGCGACGGCAAAGTCATGTTGCACCTTGGAGTCATAGGGTGTGCGATTCTCGGATGTCCAGATCGGTACAGTGGACTGAGCTTTTCTAGGGATATAAAGGTAGGAAAGTGTCTAGCTGTAGCAATCTACACAATTACGAATATACAAAACGACAAATCATCTCAGGGTCCAGATTTTGGTACGGTTTCACGCAGAAGTAGCAAGGCACCCTGAAGAGAACAAGAAGCAAACAAAAACATCTATCATCAACAAAAACAACGCGTCAAGTCTGAACAACAACACACGCATCCATCATCTCTTTCGCCAGTCAAACAGAAGAAACAAGTTCGAGAATACGCTTAGATTATTCACACATCGCACATCCTCTCATCTGCCTAAAGATGTCGACCTCCTCCGCCTCCACTCCGCGCACCTCTTTCGAGTACCTTAAATCGCCAGCTAAAGCCTCCTCATCCTCTTCTCTATCTATCACATCCTCATCGGCATCCACGTTGAGGGCTTCGAAGACAGCGCACGGCGTATGGAGCTCTATAAAAAGACATGCGAAAGAACACCACGAGAGCGTGAACGCAGCTTATGCTGCATACTACGGTCGGGGTGGAAATGCAACTGAGAGAGGGCAAGAAGTTTGGGAATACCGTAGTGTTAGCAGACGGTAGGTGGAATGTTCGAGGCGGCCGTCGTTGTGGCCTATGAGGTTGATAATGTGATCATCTTGCTATGGACTTGTATGGAGTTTGGTGGCTGTTTGAACTTGGCGAGCTTTTCTCTCTGGGTTGGTGGCGCATAGACTTGTGCTTGAAGAACCTGTATGTCTAATTGGGTTTTTTTAACATTGGAAATAATCAAATTTTACACTATTTATCACCAACGTGTGCGTGAGTTGAGCGCTTTGTGGTATGAATGTGGTACAACTTGGTAGGAATCAGCTCTCCCATATACCCAATTCTGTTCGTCGACTTTTAGAAGCAATCCACCAGTGACGTTATCGGCAACAATGTGATTTGATCTGATCGGAAACAAAAGTATTCATATGTGGTGGTATGCTCGGAGCTTTATATCAGTGGTGAGATCTGTATGGAGGCAGGGATTGGCGATCGTAACTAAGGAATCGCTGGTGTCACAACCTGCATACACTTCAGTCATGCATCATGTCCAGCCACCAAACCTTCAATGGCGCCTTTTACTCCTTCAATGACCTTCCATACGAACTCATCCTCTACAGCGTCCTGTATCCAGCAATAGTTCAAGGTCGCATTACCATCGCCACCAGTCACGACGCTGATGGCCAAAGGACTTGTTACAACATTAGGTGACTGGCTGAACACCATCCTTCCGATAGCCCAGTTTCCCGGCTTTTGCTTGTTCTTCCATACACCTACATTGGACAGCTCCGCAGAAGGATATCGAGCCTTGCCCAGCTTATCGAGGAAGAATTGTGGCATCGAAGACACATACTTCAGCAGCGCAATAGAGTTATCCGTACCAGCTTTGGCGACTTCTGCAGAGATGGCGGACTTGACTGCTCGTGCAATGTCCCATGAAAACTGATCCAGGATGCTAGACTTTGCTAGGCCCTGGAAATTTTGCGACGCAAGGCGCTCATGGTGATATCCGTACTGTGTCATCGCAAGTGTCATTTGCTTTTCCTCGACGTCCAAAAATCTCTTCATAGCTATCGGTCCCTCGATCTTGAGCTTCTCATAGTCTTGGGCCGGAAGATGTGTGAAGAGCGATGCCGCGATGAGACATTGCAACGTTGCTGTCATGCTTGTTTTCTCCGCTCGACTGAGCTGTACCAATTTATCTGTGGTTGGTTTCGACAGAACAAGCGTGTGATATCGAGGCTGCGGAAGTGGTTCTGCGTCTTGCTGCACAGGGTTACCTGTCCAGAGCTTCGGAGGTCGCTTTGCGAACACTGAAGGCAGCAAGGCTCCAAGTATGGCTTGGATGAAATATGGCCATGAGACCGTCATTGGGTGCAGCTCCTCTAGCGGTGGTGGTAGAGCCAAAGTCGAAGACTTGACGACTGGCTCTACATTGCTTTCCGTTTCTGGAGAATTCAGGCCACCCAGGAATGACTCGTGGAACAGGAAAGCTGACCCTCCATCTGCCAAAGCATGATGCCACATCCATGTCGCAGTGAATCTAGTCACATCGGTTGGTGACTTGAAAACGAGTAAACGCCAGTAAGGCTTCGATCTCAATCCTTCCTTGTAGCCGCGGCTATGTTGTTGTGCTAACATCTCGTCGAGTTCTTCATCCGTCTTGCCATCGTTCGGAAACGGCTTCTTGCGCTCACATATCTCCACGCAGGTACGCAAGTCAATTTCGGGTAGGTGCGCAAAGTATACATTAGGGTAAGATTGGTTCTCGTTCACAACGATAGCGCTCAAGATTGGATGCTCGGCGATAACGTGTCGAAGCGCAAAGTAGACCCGATCCTCGAGAGACAGTTCAGGAATTCCGGATGTCACGTATTCTGCAGTAAAGCCAACACTCTTGTAAAATCCTAGATGATGCCGCGCGGTGCTGTAAGTTTCGAGTCTGCCGCATGGACGCAGTCTGTTGAGGTCAGTCATTCTGTGCGGGTGTAAGTTTCTTTGAACGAGATTTGAAGAAGTCGTTAGTGTCGCATCGCTATAGTTATATCGGATAGAGCTGTGAAAACCGCATACTCGCAACGATGGCCATCTGGGGAAGGAAGAGATTGACCGTATGAAGCGGCAAGGGGCTACCCTCTTAACCTCGTGCTGACTCGTGTCGCAGCCCGAACGGCAACATGTGAAGAACCCCACTCAAGATTGCGCATGTTCGCCTGAGATCTATTGTGGAGGTCGGCGTGCCAAGCAACATGTGTGTGTATGTAGTTACTGTTCGCAAGGTGTTGTGTCGGTGTTGTTGTTGCGGCATTGAACGTTGCCGAGACCGGGCAAGTGCTTGTCCCGAGATCGATGACGGGATCGTTCCCGGTTCTCCTGCGGTCGTGCAGCAGGGAACCTGCGTCGCCAACACTGGCGATAACCCATCACAACACAGTCGCGAGGTGTGCTTGGATACTAGAGAGAGTATGTCGTAGCTTACTTGTATCCTCCTACCACGGGGCTAGAAGGATCATCGCAACCCCAGAAATGGGGCACGAGGTGCGCAAGCGTGCACCAAACGGCGCGGCCCCAACATTAACCGGGGGCGGAAATGGACATTTTAAGAAACTGCCATACCCATAGCAGTATAACGCTAGATGAGCAGGTTCTGGAAGCTCCTCGTATCTGCCAACATTTAAACGGTACGACCTGTTGCCCAATCATGGCAGGTCTACAAACGATGTATGCCTCCCAGATTCAGCCTCAAATCGTCAGGGCTTCATGCGACAGTGAGGTAGTGAATGCGATGTCGAGACAACGATTAAAGCTACGCTGCGCACGACAAGTGAATCGTCATCTTGCCTCCGCTCGCCATAATGGCCCCAAACGTGGCGCTGCCAACGGTAACATCGAAGCTGGGTCCGCCACGATTATTGGACCTATTGCATGTCCCGAAACTGGAAGAGAGGATGTCGCCCGACGCAAACAACCTGCCAAAGGAAAAGGCTCCCACGTCGATGTTTGTAGGCATATGTCTAGCTATCACATTCGTTCTTGCGGCCCCCATGGTAGGGATATGGCTCGCTGATCGAATCAGAAGGCGGAAATTAGACCCTTTCAGGAGGCTCCGAGATCTCGAGCGCAAGGGACAACGTCCTGGCATAGATCCACCTCCGTACGAAAAGGCACCGCCTCAGGATTCAATATGGGCTCGACAGGAGAGGCATAGGACTAAGAAACCACCAAGAGCCATCACAGCAGATCAGGTTCTGGGTATTGATAAAACATCGTATCTACAACGCATCGTACCTCAGAGTGGTTCGTCAGCCTTCAATCCTAACTTGGAGCGTCTGCTGATGAATCGTAATAGAAGGGTCTGCGCAGCTACTTACAGTCGCGCCCGCACATATCGGATGGGCTAGGCAAAGGGTGACGTCAACGGAGGACGAAGAACAGTGCATCAGCCCCTGGGCCGTGGAGCACACTCCCAATCCAGTCATTTTCCCATGGCTTCAACGGCAACAGCTGCCCAGAGACAACATCAACGACGAAAATTGCGAGACATTGCAAGTGATGACAATGTCAAGTACCACATCGCCATTGCTAGCCGTCCCGACAGGGGAAGGCTCGACACCTGGGCATGCCGAAAATCCTTTCCTTGATTCTCCAGCAGAATATACAAGCTCTCCACCTGATAGCGACAAGTCCTATGCATCTTCTGAAACTACCTCAAGAAAGCATGCAGCGCCCGATCAACCCAACGACGCTGCACAGCCGCCTGTGCATCCATCAAGCACATATCGATGCGATACGTGTCAGACAACGTACCATTCACAAGGGCAACTGAAGTAAGTCGCCAATCTATACCAATTTCCATATACTCCGAATGTATCCAGCACTAATAAAACCTCAGTGTACATCTCAATCGCAAACACCGTAGGAGGTATCGCTGCGAGCACTGCGACTCAGCCTTCGCGCTCAAAGCGGACCTCAAGCGTCATGAGCGCGGCGTTCACAAAGACATGTACACAGTACAAGTGTTCTATTGTCTCAATCCAACCTGCACAATCCCCGATAAGAAGTTCACCCGCAGGGACAATTTCGAAAGACATGTGCGAAGATGTCGCAATCGCAAAATTACATGATGTCAACTGTTCAGGACAAGAGAAAAATAATCACGAGGACATGGAACGAGGAACCTACCATCCGAACAAGGCACGGCTATGTACGCGGCTAACACTTCTGAGCGGCTTATCATGGAAGGCATTGCGAGTAATGCTCACTACTCTCCTTGCACATTCCTTGGGCGCAAGTTGTTGGTCCAGTCCATGTTTTACCGCCGCACTGTGCATACAACGCTGCTCCTGCAGCCGGCGCTTCGGGCACTGGCGCTGGCTCCTGTGTCGAAGGTGTCGAACCACTACCTCCTTCTTGTCCAGCCGCACAAGTGAGGGGCGCAGGCCCTGGTACCGAGTATGCCTTACCACCCATGTATGGCTTTCCAGTGGCATCGTAAATATTAACCTGGATACCGGCATCATTGGCTTTGTAGGCACCAGGGAACGATACGAAGTTTGAACCTTTGTTTGTTCCGCTTCCGGTGACGTGAATCTGTGCGCACTCCATGTAGAACTGTGCACCACCTGTTTTTCCGGTCAGCAATGTTATGGGAAGGCAAATCGAAGTTGTTACCTTGGTTTTGAGCACCGTGAAGGGCGATGAGTCTGTATGTGAATGTACAAAGTAAGTTCATGTCTCACATGTGATATGTAATTGGGAAGTACTGACTCAACTCGCATGAGGTAGTCACCTGTAGCCACACAAGTAGGCATGTCGAAGTAATGCCAACCTCCATTCGCAATCATAGTATCCACGGCCCATTTTCCGTTGCTCAAGCCATCTCCAGCCACTTTAAACCATTGCAGACCAGTGGTTCCAGTCGTGGCAGCATTATTCACCTTAGCAAGATAGTATTGTATCGGACCTACCATGTATCCATCAGCTCCTGCTGTCTATGCGATCATAACAGTTCTCGGTAGTTCTACTGACCTTTGTGACTCGCAGCAATAGGATGATCGGGATCATTGGCGCCCTGCTTACCGCCAATAACGTGGCCTGCAGATAGGACGAAGTCAGTGTATACGTCTTGTGCATCCACGACAGTCATGGCTTACCCCACCAAGCTCCGACTCTTGCTCCCGCCGGAATACTTATTACAGTACTGTCCTTGTGTTTGATGTCTTTGTTGCAGGCGAAGGCCGAATCGGTGACGCTCGTGATGGGGTAGTCAGAATCAGGAGCGCGGATCCCCTTGAGCTGGCCTTGGTCCACACCGTTTACCGATACCTTCTGGAAGATGGTGTGAGCTGTGGCTGTGCCTGCCAGGGCGGCGAGTAGGAAGGCTTTCATGGTCGCTGTAAAGATTGGTAATTGGGAATCGAGTCGCTCAGTGCAAGTTGGCGATTATGTAGTCAAGTGGGAGCATACGCAAGAGACATCACAAACAGCGCGCGATTAATCACACATAATGCGTCAGTCTTCATCATGATCATATATATGAACAAAAAAAAATGAAATAGTATAGCTCAAGCCGATAGAGACAGTTGATGCTCCAAACCGCGGTCACTTTGGTTGTGTTCGGCAGTGGTATATTGCCACACCAATGTTCCGGCGATTTTGTGCAACCTTACACTATGTATTAGATTATACGTGGCTGGGCTGTCTCTGGATACTGATCGGTCCGCGTGCTCCGTGCCTGATCAAACTAGACTTGAATGCTTCATAGTATGCCAAGTCGTGTACAACATTGCACTCATGCATGACTTACTCGGAAGACTGAATTTCGTTCTCTGGGTGCACTGGCCTGACTATACCCTCGATCGGAACTAGGAATTTGCAGACGTAACAATACTTGTATGCTTTCTCGTCTAGATGATCCAGATACAACTTCGCAGGCATCACTTGATTACAGGTCTCGTGTATCGCGTGTGCGTTGGAACAGCAGCACTACCCCAGGATGAACCCTATCATCTTCGCCATGGTCTATAGTACAATACAGTCGGGCTTACAACACATGCCACAGCTCTATCAACATCTCTCGAGTCTCCCACAAACTTATCACCACAAGCATGGTAGAGATCCTAGCAAACCTCGAACGTCCAAGGTCTCCTTATCTCTCATCTCAGCGTAAGAGAATTGTTGTCCTAGCCAACACGTACTAGCAGCGTTTCATTCAAAGCGGTGCATCGCCTTGCCCGTTCGCGATACTGAGAATGATGCGTATGCGAAGCCGAACCTTTGTAGCGGATGATCTTCTCTTCCTTGTCCATGTTTCTTGCGTTGCAAAGCTAGGAATTTCCGGATCACATCTTCCTGCTAACCTTTGTTAACTGCCAAAGTCATTCAGTCCACCCAGAGAATCGGCATGCACTTTGTTATCCAACGCAGTTGCAATGAAAGCGCGCATGCGGGTAATAGATGGATGGTTGTTGCGGATTCGTCGCTTGGTGAAAGATGATAGGGTTTTCAAGAGGGCGTGTAGTTATAGAACGTAAGCCACAGAGATGTCGAGTCCGCGTCGTACCACAACCCGAAAGAAGTAAAGAGAGGCAAAGGCTACGCTTCTCCCACTATCTGCCATAGCTTGTCGAGCTATTTCTCGTTTGAATTTGCTCCCTTTATTCCTTCGATCTTGGGACTGAGAGTTGGGTAGAGCTTCTTGATACCGATGGTCGTGAAGCAGTTTCCTCTCGTGTAGGAGTTGTGTCTTTCTTTAACATCGACTGCCATTTTGATGTCGTAATTTTGAGTAGGTCGTTGAATAAAGATTGATCGGATGGGGCCGGGTTGCCGTCTAGGTGATACATCGTGAGGAACGAATGCGAACGGAGATATCTCGAAGAGACGTGTAAAAGTGGGAAATCGAGTGGATGGAGGCAAACGGGGCCCCGCTGCCGGTAAATACACAATACTCCGGGGTAAATACGGACCGACATCGCACTATTGGTACCTGGTGCTACCTGCAGGCCGCGTCTTACAGCTCCCAACGGTACAGTCCAGCCCCGCGCATTTTCGACGATCACCTGCAGCCCCATGGTGGGATTCTGGGCTAGGCCTTACAGTTACCCCGAGCGTTACTCGTCTTGGCCACACCGATCGACATTGCGTTCGAGAACATGTATTCCAACTTTCTGTGAGCCACACATGTTCAGAGACATTCCTCAACCGTCTCCGGTCCTTGATGTTGCTTCTGGCCTACCAGTTTTGGTCACACGTCTACTGCGATGCAAGTGACACATTGAGAAATACCCGCGTCACGATTTTACTGGTCGGAGTACTCACCGCCACTGAAGTCAAAAAAAGAAAAGGGCCTTTTGCAGCAGATCAGTAGATCGTAGTGAAGCATGCGACGATGGCGCAGTCATCTGGAGTTGATGCTGCAACAAACGCATATGCTCTGTCGGTACAGCGCCGTAACACCCTGTGCGACTGATGTCGAAAGACTTTGACTCAGCCGTATTTCCGTGTAGAGTTTGTGCTACAGCCATGTTGTGTTTGATCGGCCCCATGGAAGCTTGATATGGTGTTATGCATGGAAATGAAGCGGTGTAAAGTTGCAAGACAAGCAGGTACGCGGTTGCTGACAGGGAGACTTTGCGAAACGTAATGACGACAAGAAGCCACGCATAAGACGTTAGCTGTAGTGGCTGGGAGATGACTCCGTATTCCGAACCGTGCCGAATTTAGATCTGCTGATGTAATCGAAACATCCAGGTACCGAAACTTGGACGCGCATTTTCAAGTTCCCAGTGTCTACCGACGTTACTCAACCGCACCACAGAATACACGTTTCCTCCACTTTGAACCCTCTATTGTTGCTCGGCAGCGGGACGAGCAGCGCACGATTAGGCTACTGAATCCGACGGGTGGTACCTGGTATTGTCGAACCATCTGCATCTGCTCATGGTGCCGGCTCATGACATAACGCTGCGGATACACGCATGCAAAGAAGATAGATATTCGCCTGTGCCTTTTAGCACATTTGATGAGATTTTATGGTCGTCAAGCGCATTGGTTGCGTAAAGGTCTACTGGTAAACAAGGAATCTTTTCAAACTTAACTGGAAACCTAAATCTAGGGAGTGTTTGTGCATTCATGGGTGATGACTGCAATATTTACCCCAGTTTCTTTGAGCAAACTCTTAGCCTCGCGCGTACGGCGGACTAGGCCATGGTTTTACAGCTCTTGACTCTGTGCGCCTGGTTACTGGGTCCTTCTCGGTGGTACCTTGGTCCACGTCCCGAGCACCTGTAACCAGAATTGGCCCTAATGAAGCCCTTACCGATTCTTGGCATGCGGCAGCGATATGTGTGCAACTTGGGCGTCACCAGTTGTGGTTATCATATCAATGCGTCTTGTTGGGTGACATCAATCGCGCCTCATGGAGCGGAGAGTCGTTTGTTCTTGAAGTATAGCGAGTCTTGCTGGGTCTTTCTTTCCGATCGTGGTCGGTGTACACGCTAGGAGATGGTGGCTGGCGGAGTAGAAATCCAGGCCAAAGTCAGCCGCGGCTGAGAGCAATACCTGGTGTAAGATATTAGGGAACTGGCATACGGAAGCGTCCATCAAACGGCTACCAAACATTCAAGAGGCGATTACTTTTGCATGATCCCTCTCCCGCACGGGCTGCTGCATGGACAAGAGCCGACGAATCGTGCACGTTTTCACCGCAATGTTGGTTGAATTAGTGAAGGAAAGGTCTACTGCGACCGACTCAGTAGGCAGTGGCTACCGCTCTCCCCTACTAACAAAAGTCCTGTGCCTCGCTTGCCGTACATCGGTTCAACCTCCACCCCTAGCGTGATTCAATCGCTCTCCCTACGAATTCACAACTATTCCTCCTTTCCTTATCACTCCCGTATCAAACAACGGTGGGAGAACGCAGTGTTCGAGCATCTGAGCCACCTGCAACCATGGACGGGTCAGTACTTGCAACAACACAGCAACCACCGTCGTTGACTTTGATAACAGTACATCTCGGAAGCGAGTGTCACAAGCCTTATCGATTTCGAGTGTCACAAGTTCCAAGCATGATGCTCCTGAACCGCGACGTGTCAGGGATAGCATACCATGGAAGCTATGGGTCGTCGCTATGATCGGGTTCTGGGAGAGAGCAACGTTCTGGGGGCGTAAGTGTCACCACCTGTAGCAAAATGTTTGACATGACACTGACACTACACTGGAAAGTCACCGCCCCTTGGCAAAACTACATGGAACACCCTCAGCATCATGAAAAGGACCAAACTCCCGGTGCTCTCAACCTTGGGCAGACCACGGCAACACGAATGTACTGCGGATTTTTCATCGTCTACTTTACCAGCCCGATTCTCATAGCGCCATTGGCAGACAATCATCTAGGCCAATACAGGACTTTGCTGATCAGCTTGGCGATTTATACTATAGGATGCATCGCCCTGGTGATCAGCTCGCTCCCGGTGATGCTTGATCGAGGAGCGGGTTTGCCTGGTCTGATCATTGCGATGTTGCTGATTGCTATGGGTGGCGGAGGTGTGAGTATCATAATCAGTGCCGCTTGCTGCGAATCCTGACCTCTCTCAGACCCAAGTTACCATGAGGTCGTTCATTGCCAACCAGTATACGGATAGGAATTCCAAGAAGATAACACTATTGGCGCCTCAGAATCGTTTCCTGAAATTGATTTGTCTCGCGAAATATTTTACAACCTCACTAAAAGAAGAACTAGTAGTGATCGACAGCGATATCACTCTACAATATATTTACAACCTATACTTCTGGATCGGCAACGTAGGCGCTTTGTCAGCATTCCCTTGCGTCTACATTGAGAAACACCACGGATTCGCTTCCGCATATGCTCTTGGTCTTGGTTGTATCGTTATTGCGCTCTTGATGTTGGTATTTGGCAGGAAACGTTTCGGTATGCAGCATCCTACGTTTCAGCGCTAGCTACGCTAACCTCCAGGTAGTCAATCCACCGCAGGAAGCAGACGTGGTAGTACCCGCAGCTAGGGTTCTCAGCTGCGCTATCCGAAATGGCTTTCGGATGAAACGCGCAGATCCAATTTATCAGCATACCGAGAAAGGTAAAGAGGTCTCATGGACCGGTCAGTTCGTCGATGAGATTACTCGTGCGTTGGGCGCATGTCGGGTGCTGTAAGTGTGACTGGATCCATGTGCTTGTATATGCTAATCTATAATCGAGTCTGGCATTTATTGTCTTCTACATCTGCTTCGATCAAATGCAGAACAACCTTATATCTCAAGCCAGCGACATGAACACCGGAGACACGCCAAACGACATCCTCCCTGGCATGAACCAAGTGGCTTGCATACTCATCAGTCCGTTTGTAGAATACGTCCTCAACCCCCTGCTGGCAAAAAGATGCATATATTTGAAGGCGATCACTCGCATCGCTATCGGCTTTTGCTTTGTCACACTTTCGATGCTGTATGCAACCTTGGTACAACACTACATCTATAAGTCTCCACCATGCTTCGACCACCCATCATACTGTGGAAATAGTGTGTCCGCCGCACGATACCGGCCCAATGTCTGGATTCAAGCGCCTCTCTACTTTCTAATGGCGACAGGCGAGGTGTTCGCTATGACGACAGCCATGGAGTATGCAGAGAAGCACGCGCCAAAAGAGATGAAGGTCCTTGTGCAGGCTATCAACATGCTCATCACGGGTATAGGCTCGGCCATCGCTCTGGTGATCGCCGAGGCAGCTCGCGATCCTTACCTTACCTCGTTCTATGGCAGTCTTACAGGTGCTATGGCCCTCACAACCGTCATGTTTTACGTTACGTTCCGGAATAAGGATAAAGATGATACCAGAGCAGATATAGAGGAGGGCAGCAGAGGAATGGCGCTACCACCACCAGACTCACGCTTGGGATCACGCCAACTCGATACGATTGTGACAAGTGGATCTACGGATACAGACAAGGACATGGAGTTGACGCCAATTACATCATCCTCACGGACAATACATATCGAGCGAAATAGCACAGTTGTAGCTGGATCATATTAGGGAGCCCTTGTTTCTCTGCTCCGGTGCGACATCTGAGCGAGCGTCAAGTATCGCGCTAGTGTCGTTACTACTGTACATATGTCAATTCTATAGTGCCATCACGATAGGGCATGTGATCATTCATTACGACCATGCTACGGTAACAGTCTATAGTCCGTGTATAGGGACTGGGATGTGACTTTATGATGCTCTTCTTCGCATTGTTAAAGGCGTGATTTATCCGTTTTTGGCGTCTCCAGGTACCACCGTTTAGCTAGAAGATGGGGCATACGCATAATCATAGCATCAACAACCTCAACAGCATGAGCAATTGTCACCGTCTCATGTCCAAGTCTGAATCTCTTTCTCTACAACTGACAGTCGCGACTCGGTCGCTATGAGGTTGCGATGTACGCTATGGAAGATTTTCAAAATTGATCGCTTATGCCACGATATACCAATTCATCCCCACATAGCAGCAAAAAAAGCTGATATAGCAACTATACGGCCATCATAAGCAAAAAGATGATTTGGATTGCCTTCCGCCAGAATTGAACTGACGACCTCGTCATTACTAGTGACGCGCTCTACCACTGAGCTAGGAAGGCTGCTTAACTTTGATGACCTAAAATTCCACATCAACGATTATATTTCCCAAATTTCACTGCTGGTCTGGCTGACGACTGAACGCGCCGGTGGACGAGTATTGTTGTGCTAAGTCTTGTAGCATGACTCGCGGGGTAAGCCGACAGTAGCACTAGTACAAGACTGGTGGGGCTGGACTCCTTAACCCTGTAATTATCCATGTATGCGACAACATGGGCTTGGAGAAGATGGGCCTTTGATAATACCCCGTTCATACCAGCTCCTCCTGTCTTTTGCAATAATTGCTACTTCATCCAATATTTCCACAAGATTTGTTCTACATCCGGTCGTCTTGTGACCGTTCCACCTCCGTTGACGCGAACACGCTACACACTGACCGCTTTGTGATTCCCTTCTTCTCTTTTGCGCTTAACACTACTGCTGGTCATAGTCAAAGGCCCCTGAGCATGTGATTGCAGCGACTCACAGCAGAAAGAAGGAAAACGAGCTTCAAGGGCATTTTGGAGAGAAAGGTCCATGTATATTCTACTCTTATCATGTGCTGCCACGTTGTCTACGAAGACATGCTATATGCAACGCCAGTTCTAGATGCAGTGTACGGCCTAGGAAACGGCCTGGAGATGGAAAGAAAACCACCGGAAAATAATGAGGGTATGACGCTATTCAGAACGAGATGAACAAAATTTAAAACGCCGATGACTCAAATCTGGTGCGATGTCTTCTCCTGGTGCTCGAGTTCTTTGACATATTTGACGAAAGTCTTTTTGTGAACCTGTTTACAGTTAGTATTGCTCAGCCTCTACTCATTATGCATTACGTACCAGACCAGCGTACTTGCCGTCCCTAAGCACGCATATATACCGCAAACCAAGCTTCACGAAGCACTCGTACACCAGATCCATCGGTGAGTGAACGTCCAGTGCAACAGGTGCCGGATCAATATATGGTGTAAAGTCGCTAGGATCGTACGCGTCTTGCTCTTCTTCATCTTGCGGCTCCCGCCCCGCAGCCCAGTCTACTCGTGGTGACATGAGGCAAAGTGTATTCTCCTCATTTTCTAGCTTATCAAGGGCGAATTCCAGATCTGGTGCAGGAATGAGACCAACAAGAACGCCATTTTTAATAATTGATAGGCCACCATCAAGTTCGCCTATCATTTGTAGTCCACGTTGCTTTGCACGAAGTTCGACGGCGGGGATAAGTGCATCTTCCGAGATGTCTATGATGTGATCTTGTCTTTTTCCAGTGGTGATGTCGCCAAGCTCAGATGTGAAAATCGGCCGCACCTTATTGTCGAGGAAGGGATATGAGTTCATGTCTGTCAGCAGATCGTAGATACTTAGTGGCTCGATGGCATCGGCTACCCATTTGGAGACAAGGATGCCGAGAGAGAAGGGTAAAACGTGATCCAAGCTGCCTGTGAGCTCAAAGAGGATGACTGCCAAGGTGATACTCAGACGGGTAACACCTGTCATTGTGGCGCCAGCAGCTACCAGAGCGTAGACTCCAGGAACAACACATTGGCCAGGTGTCCCATCGGCGGAGCATTCTCCAAAAAGACCAAAGTGGTTGAAACGTAGGGCAACAAGTTGCACGGTGTGACCAATGAAGCGTCCAGCAAGACCGCCTACAACCATGGAAGGTACATAGATACCAGCTGGCACTTTGATGCCAAAGGTGACGACGGTCAGGAGCGCCTTGATGACGAATGCGAAGAACAAAACTTTGAGTACGCTTGGGATGTGTTCGACTGTAGGACAAAGACCGTCACCGCTGTCCGTGTAAATATCACATGGACTAGCCAACTCGAACAAAAGCTCCGTGACTGGGAGCTTGGTGTAACGGTTCCAGAAGCTGATCAGACCGGTGACAAGCGCAACAAGAAATACTTCCAGAAGCGGGTGTTTTTTGATGATGGGGATACGACGGAATGTTCGTGCCCAGATGCGAGATGCCTTGATGAACAATGCGCCGAGGACACCACCGACGGCACCGGTGAAGACGAAGGTCGCAAGCTCGAAGAACTTCCAATCCAAATGGTATCGAACCTCGAAAAGAACAATCTTCTTGGTGCCGTATGGATCCAGGAATTTGAGAGACAGAGCAGCCGCCTATTAACAAATTAGCCTAGCCAGTGTGGGAAAGAAGTGACTTACGATGCAGCAGAAGAAGGTTCTGAAGAGCGTCTTGGACGGGAAGTAGTAGCTGACTTCTTCCAAGCTGAAGAGCACTCCACCAATGGGAGCACCGAAAGCAACGGCGACACCACTAGCAGCACTAGCGCTGAGGATCTCCCTGCGCTTTCCATCGTTGTTACTGTACTTGGAGAAGATACGGCACGCGATGTTTCCTATGCAAGTCGCGATGTGCACATATGGACCTTCCTTACCAAGACTGAGACCTGATGCGACACTTAGGATCAGTGCCAGCGTCTTGACGAGCAGAGTCCGCACACCCAAATAACCGTGGAGAACAAAGCCGCTAAGAATGACCTTGACTTCAGCTACACCACTGCCTGCAGCAGAATAGTAAACCATGGGCGGCCGGGCCTGAACCTCCTGGAACCTCGACTCTGGACTGATACTGCGACTGCGCTTGCCATCTTCTTCTTCAGCTTGATCAGAGTATCTCCGCACTTCTGCACCCAAGTTCTCGTCGAGTGTGGAGAGTGATATGGCCGAGGGGATGACTGTCTTGGTGGTGAGGGTGAGCAGACACGAGGCCATGGACAACAAGACGACGGAGAGCACGAAGAAGCCATATTGGGTTTGGACCACATCCAACCTGTCATTTCGGACGGCCTCGGACCATTTTACCCAGCTATCGCATACTGATGCACCATCGCAGCACGTCTTGCGGCTCTTGTTCCAGCCTTTAGTGCAGTATCCTTGCTTCAGGTCGAACAGCGTGGTCTCGGTGGTGTTGACCAAGTAGGCGCAGACAGCAGTCAGGACGCCAATGAGGGCCACCAGTATCCAGCCCTGGGCTCCGTCGAACCACGCGGCCAAGCGCCCCCTGATGTCTTTTCGACTCCGCAGTGCCTTGACGCGATACGCGTCGGCGATGTTATCATGAACCCAATCAGTGGATGTGAACTGATCGTACCACACGCGGTTGTCCTGGAGGAACGAGGCCTTTGCTGAGTGCATACTCTGCTCCAGGCTGGCGCCTCGCTCACCCAGGGCATTCACCAGCCGCTGACTAAACGTGTGTCCGCCTGTGAGAGAACCTCTCCGGCTCCGCATGCGCGAGCTGGTGGGCAGTTGGCTGTTGTTACGCGTCATGCCCGGTCGAGGCGTGCCCGGACCGGTGGCAGGAAGGCTCTTGTAGGATCTGGCGCCCCGCAGGTGAGGGACTCCTAGCAGGGCGGTCCGCTCGTTGACGCTGCCTGTGGAGCGGGTGAGATCCGTGTCCGAGGCACGCATCGGTCTCTGGGCGCTGAAGGTGAGCGTGGGCGACGTGGGCGTGGTGCTACTGAAGGTATCATCGCGCTCGCGCTGCTCGGCAGCGTAGTCATCGTCGACGTCGTCGTAGTCGTCGACACTGCGGTACGACTGCATCGACTTGGGCATGGCGAGCGAGTGTATAAGGGAGGCAGCTACAATCTGGGCAAGGGCAGTCTATTAGTATCGAGGTCGGTCAGAGACATGTCGCCGAGCAGAAGCCGCTATCGTGGTCATTCGGAAAACGATGGCGGTGTCACGATGGATATGTTATGGCTGGGCACCATGGCTCATCCCCACTACGCCGCGGATCCCTCCAGGATGCGTTGTTGTCCTTGGTCCGGGGAGGGATACGCACCGACGCGGGTAAGCCGACCGTTTCAGACTTGCTTGCGTACGCATCGCAGCGATCCGCACAAAGCAGCACAAAGCAGCAAAAAGCAGCAGCGCTCTGCAGGCAGCACTCTGAGGCTGATCTCAGGCGACTCGCCAGGGAAATGGCGGTAGGCGCGTCCCATGTGATTATCAGGGTTGCACGCGATAGTGACGAAACGCAGGGCAAACGGAACCTGCTAACCACACACGGCCAAGGCGCGATGCCGTAGCCGCCAATCGCAGCCCCCAGCCCCACCACCACACACTGACTTGCGTCTGCAACTCGGGAGAATTGGGGGGTTACATGCTGGCAAACTTGTCGTTTCCTATCTGCTCGTGCATTCGTCTGCTGCTGAGCCGCTGATCTGAGGATTCCAAAGGAACAACTCGGAAAGCCGGTTTCGGAAGACCGGGAATTCGCCGAGTAGCATCCCTCGAGTTGCTAGCAAGACATTGTGGAAGGTCTGACGACGATCAAACCTACACCCCTCTGTAGCATTCGAGATGGTGAGTTCTGCTGGACCTTGGTGGCGTTCCAACAAACACACACTGATAACCATAGCCTGCTCTCTACGAACAATTCCTGCTGTTCGGAGACAGCATAACCCAAGATTCCTTCTCCCAAGAGCGCGGTTTCGGTTTCTCTGCAGCCCTCCAAGCTGGTCAGTCGACATGTCGTCATCTTCCCCCGGGTCGCTCTTTCTTGCCTGATGCAGTTCTTCGTGAAGCTTCCATGCTGATCACTGGCTCGGACCGCTGCAAACGGACGCTGATACCCTACTAGCATACATACGACGACTCGATGTAGTCAATCGCGGCTTTAGGTTATGACGTCCTATTCTTGCAGCTGTAGCCAGGACTAATACTACGGCAGTGGGTACAACACCCGCCAAGCTCTCCAGATACTCCCCGCGATCGTGCCTCCGCCAGATCAGGCTAAGATCCGGTTCATGGTAAGACTCGCCCATGTCGGACACTACCCCAACTAATAACGCAGACCGTCTTCTTCGGTGCCAACGACTCGTCCCTACCAGATGCGCCCAACAAGCAGCACATTTCGCTCAACGAGTTTATTCAGAACTTGAAGGACATCATTTTCCATCCAAAGATCAAAGCTCACAACCCTCGTATCATCCTGGTTGCTCCGCCCCCAATCAACGAGCATCTCTGGTGGCCAAGAGACCAGTCGAACGGGTATACTATCGTCTCGCGTCTAGCCAGTACGACCAAAGCATATGCCGATGCAGTTGTCGAGCTTGGCGCCGAGCTCAATCTTCCCGTCGTGAATCTTTGGAAAGCCTTCATGGCGAAGACGGACTTCAAGGCAGACGCATGGAAGCTCGGTGATCAGCTGCCTGGGTCTCTGGATGTTGCGCAGAATGATGCCTTGGTGGACCTCATGTACGATGGTATGACATCTGCCTGGCATTTTCGCCTTCAGTCCCGTGCTAACTTGACCTGTAGGCCTCCATTTCAACCCGGCAGGCTACGATATCTTGTACCAAGAATTGATGAAGGTAATTGAACAGCAGTGGCCGGATCAGATGCCCGAAAAGCTGTCCATGGTACTGCCGCCTTGGAATGATCAAGAAGCATGGAAGGCATGGGAAGCCACTCAGACAGCTTAGACTATGCATCAGAAGGGTAAAATCGCGTACACGAGCAGGTTTAATTATATGTGTTGAAGGTCCGACAAAGCGGGGCTCTGGGGAAGGCCCCTGGCCGCACCAATCAGACAGGGGTGCATAACTCCGGCAGCATGTGGTTAGTGGCGGCGTCGTTCCCCATGAGCCTCAGAATAGCATCGCGACGACAATACGCATCATCGTTCCTACAGTCGACTGTTCTCGTTCCTGTTCTTGTACCAAATTTTTCTGAGGTCTTGTACAATACTTTGCCCATTTTCTTAGGGCCACTTCGGAAACCGCCTGATCTTCGGTAAAGAGCGTTGTTGCAAGATCGCACCTTCTGCTTCCAACACCCCAACTGACTACATCGACCAACGCCTGGCGCTTGCCCTCCGAGGCCCCAAAACTGTCGCAGATTCTTCGCGCATCTTAGTTACACCTCCAAATCAAACGCGTTGCCATTCGATAGCCGCCTTCAAACATACCCTTGCCGCTTCTTCGTTACCACCGATCGAGACGTTCGCACAGGACAAACCCTCAGATTGCCAACCCGGAACAAGTACATATAGAGCAAGCTGAGGTCGGTTCCAGTCGTTTTTCGGTGTTCGTTGGTTGGGGAACCCCCCGAGGGAAGGCTGGTGTCTCTTTGTTGAGCACGTCACCAAGGGATGAGAGAGTAACGGCAATGGATCCCCAGAGCGTAGCCTTCCAGCCGCGCGACGATCTCTGGCGCTTCCAAAGCGAGATGCTCCGAGTGCAAGAGAACCAAGCCGACCTCGCTGATCGCGTCGCTCGCTTGGAGCGCAAGCACGAAGACGACTCGCGTCTGAAGAACGTCTGGGGGACATCATCGCCCTTCCCTTCGGTGTTGGGGGGAACCCCTCAACAGGGTGAGAAAGTATAGATCGGAACGTGAAAGCCTGGCTGACACATATCAGTGCCCCTGCAGCAGCCGACCGCCGAGCACTTCACAAACTTTGACGACCAGTCCAGCAATCTCATCGGCAACCTGCAACTGGACGCTGATGAAGAGCCTCGTCGCGTAGGCGCCACGTCCCGTGCGAATAGTGTTCGCTTCGACGAGACGGCCAACCACGGTCACTGGGCACATGCATCGAGGTCGTCGTTGGACCTGATACCCCGCACTGGCAGTGGCATGGGCGGCCATGTCATGAGCGAGCGCAGCTACTCTCACAAATCAGATGGAAGGCAGAGCTCTGCCGGGCACTCGGTACACTCCATGGCCTCTGGTCGCGCGAATAGTCTTACTAGCTTTGGACCGACAACGCCTCAAGACGCCCCAGGACTGGCTCCTGGCTTGTTCATTCTCGGCTCCGTTCCTGCCATAATACGTTGCTGGCTCAACACTAACTTCAGGCACGATACCCTGTTGTACGCAGCAGTGTGTTCAGGCTCATACACATCCTATCTGGACTCTTACATGGTCCACCACCTAGGCTTCCAGGATCGCGTCGTTATGGGCGAGGATGGTGTTCGCAGAATCAAGCTCTCTGTATATCTCCCAGAGGCTGTGCCTATCTCAGCGTCTTCGCGATCCGACAGTCCAGCTCCGCAGCTCCCTTTGGTGGGGGTGGATTTCACTGTCACTGAGGAGCACAATGCTGAAGTCAATCCAAAAGCTATTCAAATTTTCCTTGGCAGCGATATGCTTCGAGAGCATAACGCCGATCTTCTTTTCTCTTCTAGCCAACTAACACTGTATGATGATGACCGCAGCAAGCTTCAGATACCACTCGTGCGCCCTGAAGATGATCGCGCTTTCAAATTCTTGCACACTAGCGGTGCTTCCACGGCGCATCTAAACCGCACAACTTCAGCTCTTGCTTCAACGCAGTCGGGCCACATGATCGAGAGTTCCGCCGCTTCAGCAACTCGTGAGCCTTATTCATCGACTGAGAAGTCGAATGACCAAGGACCAGCGACTGGTTCTGATGACGGCGGGTCCAATGGACATGGGAGTCTTGAACAGCGACCTCAACTCGGACTCTCCACATCGAATCGCTCTGACACCAAAGATGCTCCAGACTCAGGCCTCGCTAGTGGAGTGCCGCGCACGGGTGCATCTCCAGCTATCTGGAGCAATTGGCGCCGTGACCAAGCAGAGAAGGCAAACACGGGCTCTTTGGATTGGGCTAATGTGGGTAAAACTACCAGCTCAAATCCTAGTTATCAGCGACGTGATACAGGCATCAAAGTTCTGAAGCCCTCTAGATCGACACGTACGTTATCCACGTCAAACTCATCGCCAGTCACAGGACAGTCGCGCTTTTTTGATGACGGAAAGCGAAGGGGCGAGGGCGAGGCGACCAGTGACCTTGCGCCTCCTCAGGTGAAGAGGACTGTGTCTGGAGAAAAGGGCAGGGAAAACGTGCCTGCATTGTCGAAACCTCGATCCGCGAATCCAGTTGGCGGCGCTTCTGCTTTTGCATGGCTGAACAGCAGCGGGTCGAAATGAAACTTGACAGATTTACCTAGTCTCTGTATCATAAATACCCAATAGACTGCTGCGCTAACAGTATAATGACTGCTGAGCGGGGCTCAATCACTGTTACGTATGATTGCAATACGCTTCACATGTCTTTGTTCATGACTTGGGCAAGGAAAATTGCCACGGTCACGGTCTGATGATGTGGCCAAGTAGTGTTTGGAGATGTAGGCTGTAAGGCAGAGCTCTGTAAGTCAACTTGTTAGTTGTGCACCTGCTCGGGGTTTGCTTTGTATGGACGGTGACCAACAAGTGTTCAGTCCTGTCAGATACGCGACAGGGGTGGAGCATTCACCGCATCGCCAAGCTCGCTTACTCCGCAAGGCTGAGCGATTCGAAGCCGATAGTGACGACGGCGTAGAGCACGGCGCTGCTCTCATTTTTGCGGACATTGCGCTTTAACCCCACGTTTGCTTCACCGCCGTGTTACTGTGTTTGTGAACAAACAGGCGTCATTCTCTTGGTACTGCGGCCCTAGCTACGCGCTGCATAATCTTTCTCCGCCTTTTGCTTGCCCTTTCACCCTCCTTGGTTCGCCTTGTACAATCTGCCTTGAAGCTCTTCACGGGCTTCACGGTAGGCAATCAGCTTCAAAACGGCCTCCACTAATAACAAGAAGCGGAAGATCGTGGTCCCGCCAAAAGATTCGTCCAACCTCGACGGCAACCATTCACCGAATGTGGGAAGCGTCGGTGTAGGGTCCCCTCGCTCCTCCCCGCAACCCTCAGCGTCACCACCGCGCTATCTGCCACCGCACCTGCACGACGAAGTTCTAGTTGACGCTCCTGACTCTGGAAGTCTTGCCGCGAGAGACAACAGCAATTACACGGGGGCAAGCTCACCCAGCGAGGCCTACGCCAACCTGACCCTCGACAGCCGCGAGGGCTCCTTCACCGATCTCGATCGCATACGAACCGCCGAGCAACACTCGCAGAGACCTCCCCCACGGGCATCGTCACCCGCCAAGCGCCTCCATTCAGACATGGACGATAAGCCCGACGCGCAGTCGGACTCCCGAGCCGGCAAGCCCCTGCCTACAAGCACACCACAGCGCAGTGCGCGCGCGACTTCGGTCGACATGGCCGATGCGCCCAACGGCAGCGGCCTCGACACCGACATGCCCAGCATCGACGAGCAGGTGACTCGCGTCATGGGCATGATGTCCACAGAGGCTTTGGTGGACAGGCAGGAGGGCTATGTTATCTCTGAGCAGTGGCTAGAGCGTGTCTGGGCAAGGACGTCGGAAAACATAAGCAGGCCGAATGACTTCAGCAAAGACGCAACCGAGGGTCCTGTCGGCGCGGTAGACAATTCGCATCTCGTCGACACGGAGCTGATGCACGAGGACCTGGTCGACCAGCATGGGGAAGACTTTGTCCCGCTCAGCAAGGCGGCGACGCTGGGCCAAGATTTTGAGATCCTGCCCCGCAAAGCATGGGACTTGGTTCAAAGCTGGTATGGGCTCGACAAGTCAAGTCCTATCATACGTCGGTACGCCCACAACACGGTACCAGGAGGAGTAAGCGAAGACATTTCCTACGAGCTTCACCCTCCCATCTTCACAATCCGAAAAGCGCGAAAATCTCCAAACCCCACCGACAGCGCCACACCAGCCGCAAAGCTCGTTGCGAGCAGATACGAGAGTTTCGTTGCCTTCATTGAAGCCGCGAAAAAAGCCGCCGGCATTGACCTCAACAACAAAGTCCGCATTTGGCGGATACTCACGCCTGCTCCCACAGATCAGCCCCAGCCATTGCAACCCTCTGGCATGTTAACACCTGACGCGTCCCCTCGTAACGGATCTCCCATTGCGCCAGCACCTGCTCAGCGGCCTTCGCTTTCCATGAGCGTCGAAAGTTTCAATGGTCTTGCCTTTGGGTCGGAGCGCGAGCTGGTTACTGGCAAAGATGAGAAAGACAACGAGGCTTCCAACGAGGACCTTACTTTGGCCGATGCTGGTTTGACCCAGGACCAAATTATTGTACTTGAGGAACACGATGAAAAAGGCGAATACATAGCAGAGACCACCAAAACGGCGTCAAAGAGCAAGACTAATGCTTTGGTTGGCAAGAGCAACCCTAACAGCGGGCGGAGCACTCCAACGGGAGGCCCTGTAACGCGTGGAAGGAAGCAGAATGGCAAAGTTCGTGGCCACGTCGGGCTTACGAATCTTGGCAACACGTGTTACATGAACTCCGCTCTCCAATGTCTACGAAGTGTCGAAGAGCTAAGCATGTACTTCCTAAATAACAAATGGAAGGACGAAGTCAACGTGGACAATCCCATCGGTTTCAAAGGTGTCATCGCCAAGTCGTATGCCGGGTTACTGAGCTCTATTTATGGCTTTGACAACAATTCCTCCGTCTCGCCCAAGGACTTCAAGCTCAAGCTAGGCAGGGCTAACCCGATGTTCTCTGGCTATGGGCAGCAGGACTCTCAAGAGTTCGTCAGCTGGCTGGTCGACGCGCTCCATGAAGATCTAAACCGTATCATCAAGAAGCCGTACCTAGAGAATCCCGACTCTGATGACAATACCTTTCGCGATCCAGAGGCAGTCAAGCGACTCGGTGAGATTTATAGACAGAATTACTGGGCGCGTAACGACTCTGTAGCCATGGATTTGTTCAATGGATTCTACAAGAACACCATGGTGTGCCCAGATTGCGAGAAAGTTAGCATTACTTTCGACCCATACAGTCAGCTCACCTTGCAGCTGCCGGTAGAGCAGTCCTGGTCTCATACCATCACTCACGTGCCACTGACTGGCAAGCCTATCCAGATTGAGCTTGACGTCGACAAGAACACCACAATCAAAGCTTTGAAAGACTTTGTCGGCAAGCGCGGAGGCGGCGTTCCAGCCAACCGCATAATGGCGTCAGAGGTCTACAGCCACAAATACTATCGACACTTGGACGACGCTTCCACAATAGCGGAGTCGAATATAGGCGCACGAGACGACATCTACTTTTATGAATTGGAAATGGCTCCTAGCAACTGGCCAGTTCCTAAGAAGAAGGGCTCCAAATACCGTGTGATGCTTTCACAGTCCTCTGATGAGGAGATTCCGGAGACAGTTTCGCCGCTTCATGACCGCGTTGTATTCCCAATGTTCCACCGGATACCCAGCCAGTCCGCATACAGGGCGACGGGACAGTCTATGGCATTATGGCCTAGCTTTATCGTCCTCACCAGAGAGGAAGCGAAAAACTATGACACAATCCTCCGAAAGGTTTTGGCTAGGGTTGCTGGAATGACGACTCGCCCAATTCTCAGTGAGCTCAGTGGACAAGACCAGTCGCGTCCTGGCTCCGACGTTGTGTTGACAACAGAAGAGGACGCATCACCAAACGATCCCCAAGTCCAGGATGGATCTGTTGAAGGCGAGGACATGGTTGAGGTTACAATGACGGATGCAAAGGATGCGCCTGTAGCTCGAACTAGCGAAGTTGATGAAATTCCTGAGATTCTTCGACCGGGCAGCTATATCCATCCGGAGTTCAGGTACGTACAAGGCATCCCCCTCAAGGTTTAGCAGCGCAGAGATACAGGAGAGCCACTTTAGCTTTGGCAACAACAAACTGACTTGAAACAGGAATCTGTTTGAGATGAAACATACAAGAAAGAGCTCGGAGATCGTTACCACTGGCTGGAGTACCGTCGATTACTCAAAACCACTTGAGCCTATCTCGAAGCGAATCAAGATACCATCATCCCGAGAGGAATCTGTACAATCGTCTGCTGCTGGAAGCGAGACTACTTCCAGCGATGAAGATGAGGATGCATCCCAGGCCACCGTCGTTGACGCGGACGCAGTGATCGATGCAGCCAATGTTAGTAGCGACGAGGAAATGCAGTCCATCGAGCCAGAAGCTCCAGAGTTCGCTCGGTCTGGCCGCCAGAACAAGAAGAAGAGCAAAAAAGCGCGCAAACACGAGCGCAAGATGGAACGAAAACACAAAAACAACAAGAACTTCAGGAACAAGAAAGCAGGCAAGGTGCCAGACCAACCGAACTATCCGGATGATCCTGAAGACGAGTCTGACGAAAGATTGCTTCGAATGGGCGAGGCTCTTGTTCTTGATTGGGATTCCAAAGCTTATGACGCTCTGTTTGGGGCAACAACGGCAGATGATCCTAGGGGCGCGGACTCGATGAAGTCGATTGAACTCCTCGACGACCCAGAGCTTCAGGAGAAAAAAGAGAAGCGTGCAGCCCGTCGCAAGCATGGCATCAATCTCGATGAGTGTTTCAATGAATCCTCCAAGAGCGAAGTGCTCTCGGAAGACAACGCGTGGTACTGCAGCCGTTGTAAGGAAAGGCGTAGGGCAACAAAAACACTCGAGATCTGGACTGTTCCCGACATTCTCATCATACATCTCAAGCGCTTCAGTGGAGCGAGAAACTTCCGAGACAAGATTGAGGATCTGGTCGATTTCCCCATAGAGGGACTAGACTTGTCTGGCAAAGTCGGCTTCTCTGAGGGCAAGGATCTCACTTATGATCTGTTCGCTGTCGACAATCACTTCGGTGGGCTTGGAGGCGGTCATTACACAGCCACTGCGCAGAACTTCTTCGACAAGCAGTGGTACGACTACAATGGTAAGCCTATCCTTGTGCTTCTTAAACATCGTTATGTCCATGCTAACTTCACCAGACTCAATAGTGACGAAATGCGAATCGGGCCGGAAAGCTGTATCAAGATCAGCCTACCTTCTGTTCTACCGACGCCGTTCGCCTGTCCCTTTAGGCCCTCCCTCCCTTCAGCAGATTGTAACCGCCGACATCAGCAACCCCGGCTCTGACGAAGATAACGACACAGAACTTCGCTCCCGCTCACCTGCGGGAAACGGCTTGCGCCTCGGCGATTCGTCCCGCAATGGGTCGTCGAGCGCTGGCGCAGTCGCAGCGGGAGCCGTAGCCCTGCGCGCGGGTGGTTATCCGCGCTCAGCAGCCGCGAACCGTCCAAAGAACGGAGTCGCAGCCGCGAGCCAGAGTGATGAAGAAGAGCTGCCGGCCTATGCCGATGATGAAGGTTATGCTGACGAGATACCGTACAACACCAGCACTAATGTCTGGGATGATGCTGACCAGCCGGTTTGGAGCTTCAACAGCCTCAACAGCACGGGCCCGGGTGGTCGCAACGACTCCGACGACGACGGCATTGCATCCGATACTGGCGCTCTGGGTTCAGAAGCTGACGAAAGTGGCTTGGGTAATAGGCTGATCGAGGACTTTGGTGACGACGGCCCAGTAAAGAGTGGTTGGAGTGGTGTCAACACACCTATTACACATCAGGACGACGAAGTAGCTGAAATAAGGCTCGTTGGCGACGAGTGAGAACAAGTAGAGAAACCAGAAGACGTCCGAGGCTTCGTATACCTCAATGGAGAAATACTGTATCGTTCGACTGAGTGTACAGGTCGCGTTCATGGGCTTGGTGATGGAAAAAGGCGCTTTTAGATTAGACGGATATGACTGATGAGGAGGTTGTAAACAACGATGAACACAGATGACTTGGCTGGGATGACCAAAGGTGGGTGAGGTTTATCCTCAGGGCGTTTTGCAACCAGCATTCGTAGGCGCATTCGTAGGCGTATTATTGAAGACCTTGCATCGCTCACCATGTTCCTGTTAAACTTGTCGCACGAAGAAGCTCGTTCTTTCTAAATTCTCCTTATCAAAGAAGAGAACCAAACATTCCTCTACAGAGAAATATTTCCTCCCACTACACGAAAGCATGTTAAGAGCTATGTATATACAAATAGAGAATTTAGGAGTCTACAAAGCTATTAATCTTTGTAGATTTTCTTAATAGAAGCAAATGTAGGCTGTAGGATACAACTCGTTACTTCTATACCTGTCTAGTTTTTCCCCTGTATGCGGTAGTCTATCATATCGTGCGTGGAATGAATCTACAAGGATACCGGGTGTCTGGAAACAACGATGGAGTTGAGCGCAGCCAATGACAATGGAGCTCAGGGGTTTCTACCACCGGTGATTAAGCTTGGTTGTCAAGCTTCGTGCTGACATGACGTCGCTTCTCCTTTTTCGGAGTCTGACTAGCGTGGCTGACAAAGGGCGACATTCGCGGAATAGGCGTACACGATGTATACGGCACTAGATCAAACCACCGCTTGCGGGATACCGGCTACAAGCGTCTCCACTAACCATGATTTGGCCCTGAACGTGTTTTGGCTGGTCCAAGTAAGATACGCACATGTGCTACAGCGACTTCCACACTTGCACTCACTGTCATTAAAACACAGAGCAGAAGCCAGTATTTTCTCTCTCTCTTCAACAGGAACGACATCGCAGCATTTCTATACTTGCATTTCCCAGCAATTGTAATGCATCGTAGTCTTGGAACGGTTTTGCAGAAGCGAAGCGAGTGTAAGTGATATACAGCAAGGATAAGTATTATCAATACATCTGGATCCGCCTATGACGATCATCCCTCCCCATCGAGAAAACAGTCCGAACCGCATACCCGGACTATGTCCATTTCGAGCTTCCTTAACCCTGGGAAATTGACAATGACGAGCATTGCTCATGCGAAACTCAGAGTCAACATCTGCCATGTATAAACAAGTTTCGAGTGCTAGAAGTGGGAAGCATATAAGAGTATTGTTCTCCTTTCTAGTCGAGACACATCACGAATCACTCGCTCACTATCCTTCCTGTGCATATTTCGCCACCCGTTTCTTCAACATCCCTTCCTAATTTGAAAAGAACTCCATACACAACGTCAAAATGCGTTTCTCCCACCTCGCCGTCTTCGCCCTCAGTGGCCTATCCCTTGCTAGCCCGGTTGTACAACAAAAGCGTCAAGAAAGCAGTGTAGAGTCCCTGCTCACCGATCTCTTCGCCACTGTACAAATCTACACGGGAGCCATCAATGCCACTCTTGCTCCGCTCTCGACTTCTTCTTCTATTCTTGAGAAGACTGCCGCCATCCCCCAAGTAGGCGAGCAACTCAACAAAATCACCGCGGCTATTACTTCCACCACGTCTGAGATCCGCGAACTCGCTCCTGCGAACGCCACACAGCCCATGGTGCCAGCCAACGGAAACGAAAAGCGCTCTTCCACCGATCTCGACGCGTCTCAGCCCAAAGAGAAGCGCCAACTGATTGCTGCGGGCGCTCTCCTTGCTCTCATCATCGTTGAGATTTTCGCTACGATTACGGCTGCCGTTGCAATTCTGGGTCTCGCTGGACTATTGATTTTCATCAACCCGTTGACGAGTGCGTTGGGTTTGTTGATCTTGGCGGTACAGTTGGTGCTTAATGTTGTGTTGGCGGGCGTTATTGCGCTGCTAAATAGTCTGCTTGCTGCTTTGGCGCTCGGTCTCAGTGGCTTGTAAGGGGAAGGGATGCTAGAGGATACAAGAAGCGTGTTTGCATATGTATTACTGTGTCTTTAATTGAATGTCGATTCTCAACCACCGAACAAGTGATCTTGACATCTCACACTATTTGCCCTAGTTCGTCTTTCAATGCAAAAGCGCCTCTTGCAACCAACTATATCGCAGTCCGCCGTATGTTCGTGTTCAGTCTTGTGTCTTTCCAGCTCACTTCTCGTGAGAAGCTTTCCGTCATTACAAGTTGTACACTTGCATGTTAAAACGGCTGCTGTAGCTTTCTGAATATCCCCCGGCTTCGGTGGTGCACATGGGTCGCGCCATCGGATTTGCGTCGTAGATGCCACAAAGAAGTCGTCAATCCATTCAGGCGATTCAGTAGATATTGAGGGGTCTTTTCTGGTTGTTGCCTTGCTAGCATTGAACTGGAAGGGGATGTGAACTCCAGAGTCTGTGGCTGTTCCAGTGATCGTAGCGCTAGATGCTGGAGAGCTTACAGCGCTCACTGAATTGGAATTCGATGAGGCAGTCCTCCCAGGGTCGCTTTCTGACCCAAGTATCACGCTTGGTATTGGTTGTGGGTCCAGCAACGCAATGACAAGCTTTTGGTCGAAGTTGTAATTTGGGAGATCGACTCCATCTCGCATCGAGACAATCCAAACGATCTCGTCCTTCTCTTTCGAGCTCAGCATCTTGGATTTTGCCACCTTGGTCATCGTGTCTAGGAAGTATTCGCTTACGACATCGAAGTAAGCTCGCTGGAAGATGCTTTGAATGTGTTCCGGAACCATCGTCCGCAGGTTGAGCATAAAGTCGCCCGTTTGGCGTGTGCACGCCATGACTTGATCGTACGTTTGCGTTTTTGAAATTGGAAAGTGGCCTACGGCCCATGTATGTGAGATGTCATCGACGCGTCTTATTTGTTTCCCTGAAATCTTCGACACCAGCACTGACATGACCTTGGAAAGAAGCGGCTCTTCGAATGTCTCTGCCGCTCGAACAAACGGCTGGACGCCATCCGCATCTTCGGCTTCAGGATCTGCGCCGCCATCGAGAAGCATCTGGAGACGTGGAATAAGATCTACGGCAGGGCAATCCGCAATGCACTTACGCAAAGGGCTGATGCTGTCTCGCGCGGCTCGATTTGAATCTACGCCTTTTTGAAGGAGCACTTGAATGTCGCGTAAAGTATCGGCTGGATGCCGTTTCTCATTTGGACAGCAGCCCAATATCTCATATAGGAGGGAGCTGCCATTATTGATGGGCGTCGGCATAAAACTATCAATAAGCCATCTCGCAAAAGTAGGAGTCGAATGCCACAGTGCCTGGTGCTCAAACGTATGCTTGTAGGGAGACTCGCAGGGGTACCCTTGGAAGTGTGATGGAAATTCGACGCCCTTGCTGATGAACACTCGAAAACAGTCGAGCTCATCCGGCGAGAGCTCAGAAGCCCAGTATGGACGATTTTCCCATGGCTTGACAAACATGGCGAAATTTGACGGAATGACGAGCTCCGGAGGCTTGCAATGAATGTCCGCTCCAGCGCTAAGAAGCATATCCATAATCATATGGCAGTTTTTCCGAGCGGCGGGATCCATGTAAGTGTTCATTCTATGTAATAAGCATAGCTGCAATGCCGTGTGAACACCAGGTTTTCCAGGCGCAGGGCCAGCATCACCGACCTTTGCACCTCGATTAAGAAGGATCTGGACAACATCGGGAACGTTCCAGAATACTGCTTGACGCAAAGGACTCCAGCTCGAGCCTGGAAGCCCGTTAACGTCTGAGCGACCGGGCTGAAGCAGCGCCTGAACAGTATAAGCTCTGCCGTTCTTGATAGCATTGTGCAAGGCTAGGTCTGTTCCGAGTGGGTGTTTGGAGCCTTTTGCACCATAAGCGAACAAGACCCATATAATCGGTCCGCAAGGCATGCCACAAGCGATATCGAACAAGGTCTGATCCGGGTGTTGGAGTATGACCATCTCGTTCAAAGCAGGATGGTCAGCAAATCGAGCACCTGATTCGAAAGGCAGACCTATGGGATCGTTGATATGATCAACGTTACCGACAAGAAGCTTCTCGAGCTTTTGTAGACTGCCTTCCAAGACTGCACTAACCATGTCCAGTACTACATCTGAAGATTGTGCAGGATCGTGCGACCATGTCTCCTCGAACGATGGCTGCAGACTACTGCATGGTTAGCGAACACGCAATGCAAACATGGAGAAGACCAGGAATCTCCGTACTCTTGTGGCTGATTCAATAATCCCAGAAAAGTTGGCTCCGCAACGGTACCAGCTCCATCAGCGATTAAAGCCGGCAGACTAGCCACCACCTGCCAGCCCCCAGTCCTCGTGCAATGTTCCCTAGACTCAGGTTCTATTGTGATAACTTCAGCCGGCTCGACTGATTCGTCGTTGCGCTGATCCGTCTCGCTTGAACTTTGTTCGTTTGGTAGTCGCGCTTCACGACGCTGTCTTGTGATCTTTCGCGATTTGTGCCTCATGATACCCCATTCTTTCAGTTTCATACGATAGGCTCGCGTTCTATACTAGTTATTAGCAATAATGCCAGCGTTGTTCCATCTCGTCGAAAACTCACGAAGCCCGAAACTTGTGTTTGCGTTCCATTAGCTCTTTGACTTCTTCCAAAGGCTTTTTTTGCACAAAAGAAAGCTCCTTGATCACATCCTGCACCAAATCCCAGTCCTTCGTCATCTTTTATAATGTTGCGACTGCAGAGTGCACCTTTCTACGTGCCGTTGAATGTGCACATTTAAAGTGGGAAAGTGCGATCGGAAAGCTGCGGTGCGCGCGTGGCTGCCTAGTGAGAGTATTCGGCTTGTATGAACTTGCTACTGGATCCAGGTAGATCGAGCTCTGTTCCAGAGAAGCCATTGTGCGATTCTGGATATATGCTGCGGTTATAACGACGGATGAAGGTTGCGGTGTGCAAAAGTAAGCAGGGGTTCAGCTGACCGGCACCGAAAGTGCAGTTCCATGTCTAGTACGTATTGAGTTAAGCGCACTTAGCATGAAATTGCACAGCCCCAAACCTTGGTTCTCGCCATAATCTCTACGCGCTTACCTGGAAGTCAAGCAATCGCCATCGCACGTCTTGCTATCTTGGATATTGCATTCACCGGTGGTTGGTTATCTACGTTTCCCGGACGTAGCAGACTATCTCAGAACATTTTTGTATAACGAGTCTTCTCGGGTCGCTATGCTGCACAAAGTCAAACTGAATCAGAAACTTGGCCAGAATGAGGCGCATCTCCGCTTGCTACCCTGAACATGAAATTCACCCACACCCTCTATGCTTCGGCCTATTGTCCAAGACGATAGAGCCAATTCAGATGCTGTCCACTTAATCTTCGTCATCGTCGTCGTCGAGACTATCCATGCATTGTCTCAGTGGCTTAGAGAAGTCGCGCGATCTTCGGGGGAAGTCGGTTCCAGCTACGGCGACCTCTTCAACAACTTGATGGAACATTTGAGCGATGCTCAATCTAGCAGTATCGAGATCAGCAGTTGCTGCCAGTCGAGCCATGACCACCTCTAGGGAGTCGGCGGTCAAGTGTGATCCTCCATAGTAGCTCTTTAGAAACTGCATGTCCTTCAGATACTGTCCGTGGATAGCTTCTAGCTCTTGGACGATGGCTTCCAGCAAGTCGCGTACCTGTGGAGCTTCCACATCTTCATTCGCTGTGTCCGTATCGACGACTGTCTCGCCGATTTGCATCTCGACGTCTTCCAACAGCGTGGACGACTCCTCCAGAACCTCTGTCTTGGCTGCGCGTCGGAGGAATCTGGTCGATGTGATGATGAAGGCTCGATCGTATTGGGGAGGTACATGTATTCCAGTTGGGCTATAGAATTGGAAAGCTTGAATACCTTGCATAATGTTATTTCGAGTTTGGCGACAGGACTCTAAGTATACCATTCCGGTGTAGTACCGCATACAAGAGGAAGACAAAATAGGTATAGAGACACAATGCCCTACCTTGAAGCCTACATTAGTTTCTAAAAGACAACCTCAAAAAGACTAAGAGCATTGTGGGCTTCTAGACCGTTCATATCTATACTACAACCGTTAACATACATTGTTGTAGGAGGAGAGGTAGGATGTACTCTATCGTGTCTTTTAACTCCGGTTACTTGTTTTAATGTCCTTCACGGCCTCTTCTGCCTTGTTTTGGTCGGTGATGGCATGACCACTTAATAATATGTCGAGCGACTTGTTACGTCTCGGACCACCGAGCATCTCTTCCAGCATCAACGGGATCCCCGCCGGTAAGATAGGGACTTGTTAAAGCAGCCATCTCGTTGACTTGACAATAAAGCTCGTTCTTCTTTGCAGTCTTGGGAGTGATGGTCTCTGCTTTTGCTCTTGCCTCTGCCTCCACGAGGGTCTTGATGAGCGAGCTGGTGAACGCAATCCTTCTTGCAGTGCTTGTAACCTTCATGTCGATATGCTCACAGACTGATAGTGTTCTCGATGGAGTAAACGGTACGGTGAGCAACACAGAAACGGTAGAAGATTGCGCACACCAAGAGTGAGCATAAAGAATTGACAAGAATAGTTCACAATCAAAAGACTTTAGTTTTCATACTTTAGAAATTGTAGAGTACGATCAACAGAGGTATCATATGTACAAGACGCTAAACAACAGACACAAAACATGAATGGACCTTAACGACCACCGATCTGCCCCTTGGGAATAGGCTTTACCCACATGAACATGCAGTTAAGCACAATGATCATGATGCCAATAATCCAAAACACTTGCGCATAATTCGTCTTGTGGTAGCGGAAGATAATGGCGAAGATGATACCACCAAAGTTACCAGTCGCGCCGACAATACCAGAAAGGATACCTTTCGAATAGTTAGTAAGCTTTCCATGTCATGGTGAGGGAATAGACATACCATTAGCGTGAGGGTGGATATGAGGTACAAGTGCAAAGTTAGCACCATTACCAGCCTCCAAGAAGATCGCCATGACAGCGACAAGACCAATCAGCTCGCTCAAGTTGTGTGGGTCTAGTTTACCGATGACAATGCAAAGGATTCCAGACATGACACCGACGAAGTGAATCCAGAACTTCTTCGCCCAAAGGTTGCGACCGGTGACCTTGTAGATGAGATCGGCGGTAAAGCCACCGAGTGGTCGGGTAACAATGTTCAGAAGACCGAACATGGCTGCCCATCGTCCAGACTGCGTTTGACCAAGGTAGGGGAAGTTCTTCAAATAGTAAGCACCAAGAATGGAGTTGATGGCCAATTCACCACCGAAAGAGCAGAAGTAGCCCGAGCAAAGCATCAGTGTTTGGAGCGAGAACATGACTTTGAGTCCTTCCTTCAAAGTAGGCTTGACGACAACTTCGTGTTGGAACTCGTCCATGATTTGGACATCGCCGCGACCGGACTCGACATCGGAGTTTGGTCGCTCTTGCTTCTTCTCGTCACTAGAGGAGATCGACCCGGTAGTCGCAGGCTTGTCGTCCAGAGCTCCAGTTGTAGGAACAACAGACGCGTGGTGGCCCACTGTCTGGTCTGCATTGGACACGACGGTAGCACCACGCTCAGACCACTTTCCAGTAGGCGTATCATCGGTCAGCAGTAGAAGAGCGAGGGCACAGGCTGTGATCATGATGAAGGGAACAATGAAGGATACTCTCCATGCGACATGAGAGGAGAGACCCTGGTCAGCCTTGAGTGAATCGTAGATGGCGGGCATGACGAAGCTGGAAGGCATTAGTGAAAGCCTTGGTAGATTGTAACGTGACACTTACTATGTGATGCCACCACCAGAGTTACCCCAACCTCCGACCAAAGCATTGGCAGTTCCAATGACGTTCCTGTCGAAAAAGCCGGTAGTCCAAACTTGGCAGGGCACGAAAGTTCCGCCAAGAATACCGACGAAGAAACGGATAAAATAAAGACCCATTGCATTGTGAGCAGTGCCAGCAAGAGCGGTTGGAATAGCTCCAGCGAATAGCAGCGATGCAAAGGTGACGCGTGGGCCAAAGTGATCGCACATAGGTCCCGCAATGAAGCGGACCAGTAGTGTTGCACATAGCGCGACGATGTTGGAGTTGGCGATTTCGTTCTGCGACAAATGCATGTCCGCCTTGATACTCTTACTCAGCTGTGGAAGTGTTAGTCGGACTGATGTGCACAGTGACGTGAGATGCGGGTGGCCATACCAGAGGTGGAAACGCGTACCTGTACATCGTTAGCATGCTCCAGTAGAAAAGACCCACATGTGGGGAAGGACTTACCATGACCAGAACGCGATGAAGAAACCCAGGTAAGAGAAGAAAAACACACGCCCATACTTGTTAATGGGGTTCAGGACAGGGATGGAAGTGGCCTTCTTGTTGTAGGGGTTGATCTCTGGTGCCGACCAGAGCATGCTAATGGCGAACGGCATGATAAAGTACACGACCTGGAAGGTCAAATCCTGCTGCGTCGCTAATGTTTCTGGAGAGAAAGAGACAAGGATGACCAGCTGGTGATGCTTCACAGGCACGGTCGAGGAAACGGGAGCGGACGCTTGCTGGAGTTGCAACTCCAAACGGAAGTCGAGAGGTTATATAGGTTGATACAGAAACTCCCAAAGATGGTACTTCCGCGGTGAAGCACAGTGACGCACAGCTAAGGTTGTGGCGTAAATCGTTCCCCAGGCCAAGTGAGATCAGACTTCTCCGTGCCTGTATGCAGTAATATTGGCGAATCCGTTATCTTCGTTGGCGACACCTAGCAGCTGCGAGCCCAATGCTTCGGAGAAAGTATGCTTTGCCGCGTGCTCGGGTATAAAGGGTGTCTCCGATGAGCACTGGGGCGTTAACTTGGGATCCACATACTCTTGCAGCGAATCGAATCTCATCGTCGACTGGCTAAGCTGGAGCACAAGAGGCTGAATATCAATTCGACGAGTCGTGGTTCGCTAGAGTGAGGTTTGACGCGGGATGGTGGGGGACGGCAAAGGCGTTCTCTTATCTCTTGGCGCTAACCAGGCGAGAGACTAGACTCACAGTAGTCGAGGCGAACAAGGATCCTTATCAGAACGTCTCAAGATAATATGAATTGCTGCTTTTCCGCGGTCAGTATTTGACAAAATGCCTGTGTCGCAAATAGCTTTCTGTCTCAATAACTTCCTGTTCCTGGCATAAGTATACCAAGACGTGTCGAACTGGTGGCGCTCGCAAGAGCATCTGGAAGTGCTGCCAGCGAACAACACTAGCTTAAACCGTCAGCCCTGGACCTCACGTGAATCAACAACATGTACTTTGTTTTTGTGTTCAGATGTTTTTGTAAACTTGGTGTGATGAGTGTCGTGTGTGTCTGCCGCGTGCGTGTGGAGACGTGGCCCGATAAGGAGCTACCGTATACAAGGGAAATTCCGAGGAGCGGGAGTAAGTAGTCGTCCCTGCTGCAGTCTGCAACAGTACATTATAGAGTAACACTAGATATTCTAAGTTAACGTAGACTTTAAGCCTTGATATCTACATAGATAATAATTACATTAGTGTTGTTGTAGGCTGTAGAGCAGTAGAAAGCTTTGGCGTACCTCTTCAATTTCTCCCTTGGATGCGGTGCGACAACCGGCTGGTACAACCGTAGCTCTACTAAGCAGGTGGAGGCATTTGCATGTTGCACAATTCTCATCTGTCAATTTGGCCTTCAGATCGCTCTGCCTCTTGTCCATCGGCTCCTATCACGATGGGGGAGTGCTTGTGAAACGTGCTTGAGCCAATCAATGGAGTCAGTGTCTTATCTCGCATGACCGCGGATTCGCCCCGGGAACACGGAGTATGCACGAGGGGACTTGGAGAACACCGATGATCCTGAAGGGTATATCATCTTGGGTGTCTTAAATCCACGGCAACGTCATCGCTTTTTTGGAATCACGGTATCTGACTTTCTTGTGCCAAGGCCGGTCGACACTTTGCGACGGCCTCTGGATCATCGTGACATCGCAAAAGATTTGGGGGTCGTCGGCATCTTCAAGAGCTTACACAGGTGGAGAATCCGGAACTGGGTACTGGCGTGTGAACAGTACTGCCGCTGCTGAAGCGACATCGGAGAGAAAGACCGGAGAAGTCATCTCAATCGCTCAGCTCTGGCATCAAGATGAAGCTTCTCCGAGAATTTGAGAAAGTATGTTGTAGCGCAGATTGTGGGTAAGCCCCACAGTGGGTTCAGCTGCAGCTGTTGAGCCTCACCCGCGGAGATTCTGCGCTCATCCTGGGACAGTGGCACTCAGTCGTTTCGTTGCTCTGTTGCCCGTAGTCTCGAATCGGTATTAACCAAATTTAGTGTCGCGATTGCGTTGTTTTTATAGTGTACTTTGAGGGGGTAGCCGCTAACGAGAAGCAGAGGTCTGAAGATCTGTGTGACTTTTACACCTACACTTCACATCCTCTCGTCTGCCAATACCTCTTCGCCGCGAGAACGCCCACTCCGTACGTCGCCGCACCACACACAACTAGCACGTGCATGATTTGATGGCTACTTCCTACTACGTCGCAACGCCTCGGAAGCCATCTCTCTGGAATCCTCGCAGCGTACAACATGGCTCCGGTACCATGGCACAGGCCCAACCCAAGATAATAGCTCAACCCCATTCTACGATTCATATTCTCTACACCAAAGAGGCAGATCCCATGGACGATTGGAAGGAAAGATGATGATCCTAGAAGGAGATAAAGCGTAGTGCGGACATGGCGGGACTGGGGACCAGAGAAAGACGGATGAAGAGTTGTGAGTGCGCAGGCAAGGCCTGTCACAGTAGCGAAAATACTGTAGGCTTCCTGCAATGAGGGTTTGCAGTGAAACCCAAAGTGCGTACTGGCAATGGTCGTACCATAGAGTGGAATTACGATACCAAGGTAATCGAATCGGCCCGTCCAAGTGCGAACTTGCTCACTGTGGTCGAGGAATATGTGGTGACTATCAATCGTTATTCTCGGCAGTTCTTTTGTATGAAGAGCTGTGGGCGTAGGATTAAGAGGCACTTACATGAACGAAAAGAAGAAACAAGCTATGACGGAACCGAAGTAGACGTAGATTGCTTCGTCATCACCATTTGTACTGTCTCCTTCATCACGAATCTGGCGTGTGGGAAAATACAAAATGGTTGCGATGAAGAAGAACACGGTGGTACCCAGAATGTGAGACCAGATATTTACCGTCTCATTGTGGACTTCAAAGGCGCTCTTCAGAGAGCGGAGGTACGAAAACGTCGCTCGCCTAGTTGTTGTCAGTAGGCGCTACTTCGTTAATGGTGCAGTTGAGATCACACCGATGAGATGTAAGGATGAATTCGTTGTCTCTCTGCCATGACACTGGGTTGAACATGTTAGCCGGTCGTCTTCAACGTGGAATCAAGTCGAGCTTACAGAGATCATCCCATCCAATCAAATTGTTGTAGTTCTCATACGTCTCTTTCTTTTTCGCATCGAAACGAACGTGTCGCGATGTCGTTGTCGTTCCATACTCGTATACATGGTTCTTTCCCTCTAAGATCCCCGCTTTCTCTCTAGCGTCTTGGCGTGCGTGTGATGTCATGCTGCTAGGCTCAACGGGGGATTATATCAACCGCAATAGGACAAATATATTCGCGGTATCTTTGGAAGTATCTGAAAGCCGCAGAGAAGAAAGATATGGCAATAGCTCTACTTTTGTGTCGATGGGACCATGCCCCACGCAATCAATAGTCAACTACAAGTTCATCTGTCAAGCCGCCACGCTTGCAATGCACGGCCGTGACGCAGTCGAAGAGTCCGCGGACCCTTTCCGTGTTTATATACTTATGATGCGGCCAAGAGAGATTAAACGACTACCTAGATGCCTAGCCAATGCTTGTTTCTTGTTGTATGTTGTGCTGTCTGATTGGTATGAACAGATAGACTTTTGCTGGTCGTCTTTTTGCTCTTTATCTAGAGTACACAGGTTCCTTTCTAGCTCTCAGGTACTAATTACGTCTAGAAGACACTTTTCTTCGAAGTCTCGCTCCTTCTACTTTAGACATCGTTAGCTCATTGCTCAGGTAGCAAAGTCATCGCGGAGCTTACCTACGGCACAGTATTCTCCAATTTTTGCCCATCTCAAACACATTCTAGATCTTTGCTTTTTTATGCACGCGCATTTTATCTATAAAATTTACTATGCAGACACTCCCTAAATAAGTAAGTTAGGATGTCTATCGATTATAGTAGCTTTTTAGTGAATACAATCGCGGCTCTTAGGTACCTCGCTGTCTTGCGTGTAATAAAAGGATCTGTACAAGGTTTGTATCCTACTAGGTAGCACAGATTGCTTTATTTGCAAAGTATCTATTAACGTTACTACTCTTAAGGTTCGCTAGTACCTATTGTCTAGACAGGTAATTATTAGTAAAAGTGTTGATCGCAGCAATTTTTGCGTAATTAGAAACTTAGTTTCTAGAGCAATCTATGTCTCAACCGCTATCGCAAATGCACCCTTTGATTCTATTAACTCTTTTCGCTTGAAATCTTAGCTTCTCTGTTTACGTTGTTCTAGAATAACGTCTACTACTAATAACTGCCCAAACAGGCAATTTTGTGATACCCGTCGATTTTAGTGCCCTTGTAGTGATAGTACTATCGTATACAATAGAAAACTCAAACGGGTATAAGAACAACATACCTTAGTTTACAGGCTAAGTTAGCTTCTAAGAAGAAGTTCTAGAAAGATCAATAGTATTGTAGACTTCTAGATTTACTATTTATATCTAAGGTCTTAACAGGCTTTATTATATTAGTTTCTCTCTTAGAGATAGTAGTACTACGATCACTACTAGCTTCAAATACTCACAACTCTATTACGCCTTATCTGCTAGATCGCCTACTTCATTGCCTCTGATTTACGCATCTTTATCTTTATTTGACTCTACACCTTATACAAGAGGAAAACAAAACTTGTGTATAGACAATAGGCCATGAGTATGCGACGGAGCTCGCGCAATGATAGCTGTTGCCTTTTCTCTCCTATTGTTTACTTATCTCGGACTGTTTTCACTTGATGAGAATTCAACGGGAACGCGTAGTAAAGATGCTATCTGCTCAAGCCTTGCATTGCTCTTCTCTTCTGTTTAATACACGCATCGTTCCTATTGGCAAGACCGAAGTATCGGCAAAGAAGTAGTAATGTTTGCCACAATAACGATCCCACAACCGAGCCTGATTGGCAGGATACTGTTCAACAAATCCATGTCATCGTTCATCGTTAACGATTACACCACACCATATCCAAGCGGCGCCCAAGAATCAACAAGTAGTAATGATGACACAATCAAACAGGTTTCCACGTGCAACACGGTCGCACGTACAGAGAGCACTAGGAGAGTCAAGGACAGAGTAGTATGTATGGTAGGACGAATGGCTCGGACTTTCGACGGGTACGTAGACCAGGAATCGCCGTGCCTAGTTGGATTTTGAAGGAGAGGCTTATCGTATCTCTTTTCGATTACGGGTTTAGAAGTCGGGAAATAGGTGCCCATGACTATTCGGACACGTCAGAATGTGATCCACAGTGTAAGGAGGACTCTGCACGCACGGGTCATCTCCTGCCTGACCGTATGCTTCCGTCTCCTCCGGATACTTATCGAATTGACTCGCATCGCCAACACCAGCTCGCACAGGAGGCACGTAGGGTGCATCAATGTCCTTCTTCTGTAATCGGTCCCACGTCACTTCGGCGAACCAGGGATGATTCATGACGTCCTTGCTTCCGCCGTGCAAGTTGCCCAATCGCTTCGTAAGATCGGGTGTAATGAGCTTCTGCAGCAAGTCGTGTGCGTCAGGGTGTATGTATGGTGGATATTTCACTCTCGACTTGAGAATGTTTTCGTAGATCTTCATTGGCGAGCCACCGTCCCAGAAGGGAGTGAAACCGCACAGCATTTCAAAAATGAGGATGCCAAGCGACCACCTGACGTTGTCAGCGCGATTATCATATTTACAGAAATTGTATCTTACCAGTCGACAGACTTGTTGTAGCCTTTTGACGCGACGACTTCTGGTGCCAAGTAGTCGGGCGTTCCGCAAAGTGTCCATGTGATGTCAGGAACCTCTTTCGCGAAGCCGAAATCAGTGATCTTGAGATGACCATGACGATCTAATAGCAAGTTCTCGGGCTTCAAGTCTCGGTAGATGATGTTGTGCGAGTGCAGGTAGTCGAGTGCCAGCGTAACCTCTGCGGCATAGAACTTGGCAACCGGGTTTGGGAAGCGCTAGGGAAGTCAGTACTAGATATTCCGAGGCCAAAGAACAAGTAAAGTACGACATACCTGGGACTTTCGCAGCAGACTAAACAGCTCACCTCCTTCTACAAAGTCCATGACCATGTAGAGATTCTTGGAATCTTGAAAGGTGCCCCACAGCGTGATCAGGAACGGATGCTTGACCTGCTGCAGCATGCGCCGCTCGTCATTGGTGTGCTCGACCTGCTTCATCTTGACCACCTGGGCCTTCTTCAGCACCTTGACGGCATAGAAGCGCTGATTGTGCTTGGACTGAACGAGATGCACTCGCCCGAAGCTACCCGTGCCGAGCGTCCGCTGGATGGTGAAGTCGGTCAGCGAGTACTTGCCCTTGGTGACACGGGTCTGGTTAAGCGGCTGAGTCTGGAACTGCACGGCGCCGCCATTCTTAGGGGCCGACTGGTGCGAGCTAGTGTTGTTGGGGTGTATCAGATTCTGTATGCTAGGGACATTGTGCGATGGCGTAGGGTTGGACTGCGGACTGGCGCCAAACTGCTGCTGCTGCTGCGGCTGCTGCTGCTGCTGTTGGGCGTAGGCGGGGTTCATCGAGTCGGCCGGCTTGCTGTCTGCGGCAGGCGCGGCCGCGGCCGTGGTGCTGGTGTTGCTTGTGGTGTTGGTGAGAGACTCGTTCGTCTTGGTCTTGTGGAGGTGGAAGGAGCCCGACTTGCGCGATGTCGTGGGCGTGATGGGCGAGTTGCTGTCCTTGATGGGCGAAGTCGGCGAGTCGAGGTCCTTGGAGCCGTTCGAGTCCTTCGTCCGCTTCTTCTTGAGGAAGCCCAGAGTAGGCATTGGAGGGGCGGCTCGAGGAATGCGGCGGCCCTGCCCTGCCTGTTCCTGGACGCAGCTCCGGCGATCTCAGCAAGCAGCGGCCAGGAATGCGTGGGGAGCTCGGGACGATGTTGGGCGGCGCAGAGGGCTGCAATTGATGCGCTCAGAGTGCGTGCGGATGCGCGGACATGCACAGGAGCAGGGTAAGGATGGCGTTGGTCAAGGAGTGTTTGCGGCGTGGGCGGGCAAGCTTTGGGCTAGTTGATGGGTGGAGGTTGGGCTAGACAGTAGAGGCTCGCTCGCGGGGAAGAAGCGTCGAAGCTACCACGAGCGGGCGACATTGGCAACATGACCCAAGCAGGCCCTCTCAAAGCACCATGTTTCGATCGCCCGCAGCGCCAGTGTTTGCTGGCTGCAGTCAATGCCCTTTGACCAATACCACATCGTTGAATGCACCGCATCCAAACTTCAACACGTCTATTCATTACACTGTGTCGTGCCCAGGTAGGCTGCCTGCGCGGGAAGCATCGCTTGTTGCGTCATGCGTACCTCTGGGCATGGTCGTCCCAGCATTGAGGAACATGGCTCCCGAGTCCTAGCCCTGCTGATATACCCAGCCTGCCTATACTGCGAACAGCTAGCAGACCAACCACCGTATCAAAGAGAAAAAACAAACTTTCTCTTTAAGACTACTCCTTCCTACTACAAAAGAGTATATATAGAGCTACACAGGTATAGATTAAAAACCTAGGAGACTACAATGCTATCAATCTTAGTAAGTCTTCTTACTAGAAGATAATGTAGGCTTCAAAATAAAGCTTGTCATGTCTATATCTGTTCGGTTTTTCCCTCGTATACGGTGAACCGTCGAGACCGATCAACTCGTAGCAATGCGCGCCAACACACATGATACACCGAACGCCGACCCTATGTACTGTACCATCAACCCGAGAAGCCTCATTATTTAAACATGACTCGAAAGTTGCCAAATCGCATACGTTGCATCATCAAAAGAAAACCTTGCCGTTTCATAATTCATCAGCCACCACGCTCGTTTCATCAGCCCCACCAGAGACCATGATCGGCTGGTACGTCTCCAGATCAAGGCCGCACACTTCCATGCGTCGCTGCCGGAATCGTTCGTAGAGTTTGCTCCATGCTTCTTGTGCTTGTTCGTTCTGCGGTCGTAGCTTAGCGCGTTCCGAGTATGGGACGTCGTACTCCGGTCCTGGTATCTCGGGATCCGACAGTCTCACAAACGTTGTCATCTTTTCGAATGCCGTCGCATTGAAATCGTCGACAACGTTGCGCAGATTCTGCGACTCATAGACGACGTTGCCCATTGACAATGACCACTCTGAAATCAAAGAGTCTGGAACCGTAAATGTCTTCCGGAACATGTTCAGATCAGATGTCGGCTTCGACGCGCGCATTGCTCTCAGCTGATTGAAGCTCTGCTGCGATGGATGTATCATCAGAAGCGATGTCGACAGGTCTGTTCGTTCTGGTGTGGCGGGGTACGCGGCCATGGGCTCCGACTTGGAGAAAGCCAGCAATGAGTCCAAAGCCGATGCATCGAGAAGTACGCCTGGGCCTTGGAGGTAGAGTATGCGCTCGTAGTCTACCAGTGAATATAGACTTGCTAGCGAATAGGACGAGGGGAGTGTGTCTGATGCTGTCAGTCACTGGCAGAGCGTGGCTTCCTCAGCTCAAGACTCACCATCTGCGCCTTCCACTATAGGTTCCATCGGCATCAAAGTGACGCCATACCGCCTCGCCGCTGTCCTCAGCAAACGCCGTGTGGTCGACATTTGCGGTCCATATTTTTCATCTTCTGACTCCACAAGCCAAGGTTTCGGAAACATCAATATCTTCTTCGCGGGGCTCTTCATTCTGTGCAAGTCGGAGAGGAGCATTACTGCACTGCATAGTTCTACGTGTTCCCTCACGACTTGCACGTAGCCCAGCCTGCTCCAGTCCATTGTCTGGCCTGCGATATATTGAGCATAGGTATCGTCCACCTCTGGCCGGCTGCCTATTGGTCTCGCCCATTTCGCATCTAATGTCGGGGGTTCTATCGGTTTCGGAGGCGGTAAAGGCTTGGGTAACCGTGGTTTTATGGCCGCCTGCAGAGAGTGTACGTATCGTTGTTGTAACACCCAACCGGAAAGGAAGAGTGCAAGTGTGAAGAGAAGAACTACGGGCAGCATCAGCAATGCAGGTCTTCGGTCCGTTGTGGACCATACGTACCAATTGTTGCCGACAGGATAACGCCAACCTGGCTAGAAGAAAGGAGCAGTCTTCCCATGGCTAGAAGTGAACGCTGAAAACAAAGGGTATAAGAATACTATGACAGTCTAGAAGTGTGCATGTAGAACGTCAAGAGTAGTTTATGCAGGAGAGCGCAGGCCGACAACTGGTGTGACGTCCCTGGTGGATCTAGATGTTCATAGGGCTGCATGTTGATCGTTGGCGTTGAGTGGGCAACTATCGATACTCTGGGAGCTGGCAAGACCCCGGCTCAAATTATCGCGACCATTGCGCGACCTTGATTCCCAGCACGCACCCGGACCTCACTATACTACGCGCACGAACGAAGCTACTTGTCGAACCTCGAACCCCGTATCGCAAGATTGCCAAGGCGCATCCACATGTCAAAACCCCAGTTCGACCGCGCAGACGCCAGCGCGCTTCTCGACGACAGAGGCTATCGCGGAGCGCTCATCAGAGGGCAGAACCCCGCGCTACTCTTCGAAAAGGGTGTGCGTGAGCGCATCACCGAGTCGTACTACTGGAAGGAGCAATGTTTCGGTCTGAACGCTGCGACGTTATGCGATCGCGCCGCAGACCTCAAGTTCATCGGCGGCACAACAGGCATTACCGGCAAGCCTACGCCATTCTTGTGTCTGGCCTTCAAGATGCTGCAACTAGTGCCGGACAAGGAGATTATACTAGAATACCTGAACTTTCGCGACGATGAGGACGACGAGGGCCAAGACGCCGAGGTCAAGAAGGAGCAGAACGGCCACACATCAGAAGACGAAGACGCAACCAAGAAAGCGCTGGACCTGAACGCAGCAGGCAAACTCGGCGACTTCAAGTACCTGCGCTGCCTCGCCGCCTTCTACATTCGCCTCGCTTGGGAGCCCGTCGAAATCTACCAGACCCTCGAACCCCTTCTCACCGATTACCGCAAGATAAAGCGACGTCTCAAAGACGCCTTTACACTCACACATGTTGATCAGTTTATCGACGATCTCCTTACAAAAGACCGGATATGCGCGACGAGTCTGTGGAAGTTGCCGTCACGGGCGAACCTGGAGGATTTGGACATGCTGGAGCCAAGGGAGAGTCCGTTGGGCGATGAGATTGATGAGCTGGATGAGGACTTAGACAGAAGAAGTGATGGAAGCGCAAGGAGTTATAGGAGCAGGAGTTATCAAAGCAGGAGCAGGAGCAGAAGTTACGATAGTCGAAGTCGCAGCAGAAGTCGCAGTTATGATAGCCGGGATCGGGGAAGGAGTCGCAGTCCGGGACAACTGAGTCGGTCAAGAAGCAGGACTCGCAGCAGGAGTAGAAGTAGCAGGCGGGACTAGGGTGTACACTAGCAAAGCATGCATTGCATCTTGAGGGTAAAAACCTGCGGACCAGTGCGTAAAAACACATGTGACTGCTATACACAGCAAACAGAAGTATCACGAGCAACAACACGATCAAAACACCGCCAACATCTACAAAGCCACAGAAATGATAAAGTATGTCTTAATGTCTACATTGTCTCCTGATAAGAAAACTTGTAAAGATCGACAGCATTGTAATCCTCTAGGCTTTCTATTTATACCTATATAGATCTAATGCGCGTTGTTGCAGTAAGAAGAAGTACTCTGCCCTAAGCGGTGTTTAATTTCTCCCGTATGCATACTCCAACCTACAGAGGAAATCTTTTCTCCTCAACTGTACCTAATCCATATTGCATGCCAAATGTTTGTATATAGGCCTGTGATGAAGATTTACTAAAGTGACAACATATATTTCTAGAGTAGATTTTGGGATTTAATACAACTTGGAAAAAAAGTTTCTCAATGCCTCATCATGCGTTCCTTCTTCAGCCGTCCAACCACCATCGTCATGGTGTGAGCGCAACCTGACAGACAGCGGACATGTAAGCGCCTCTGACCTCAGCCGAGCAAAGGACTCTTGGGTGGAAACGCTTATACCGCCCGATCTCACGCCACGCCAAGGTAAGCCACAGCCGCTATGCTGTGACGTGCGCCATGCCTCTTGGTGAGTGAATCGACCGATGCTCACGGCAGGGGAAATATTGGAAGATTTCAAATCCGGAGACTGCAGTAGTCTAGACTGCAATGCGGGGAACGTATGCTCTCACCCCATACAATCACCCTATACAAGAGAAAAACCGAACAGGTAGAGATAGTAAGCTCTACTTTGCAGCGTACATTAGCCTCTAACAAGAGATATTATAGAAATTAATAGTGTTGTAGGCTTCTAGATTCTCTATGTATGTCTACATAGTTCTAATGCGCTTCGTTGTAGTAGGAAGGAGTACTTAGGCAGGGACTGCTCTGCTACGCTGGAGCGGAAACTCTGGGGAAGACGGATCAACTTGCATGTTGCGATAGTTATAAATTAGCATCGTGGATTTGTTACAACGTATCGCATCGTGACATTTGATTTAGACTCTCCTCTTCAACAATGGGTATTGAAAATCGATATTAAAAGTATACATATCCGTCATGGGTATCATCCCATGTGACGGTCATCAACTTCGGCATATTCATTGCCGACCCGTGATAACGTCTTCCCGTTTCTCATCTGATTGCATCGAAAAAGCGACGCATGATTATAGCGAGTACACTCTATGCACAGCTTTATGCTTGGTGCTCACGGGCAGACGAGTTGTCAACCTTGTTGCGACGCTCGCGACCCTTCTCAGACCAGGGGAAGTGAGCTACGGGGATAACGAAGAAGCTGTAAAGAAAGAGTCAGCACATGAGTCACAAACATGGTACAGAGAGTCAAAGACTGACCTGTTGGAGCTGTCCGCAATACCAGCCAGTGCGTTATACCAGGCGGCAAAGGCGGCCATGAGACCGAAGGCACCACCAGCAACAATGCAGTCGCCCTGAGGACCGGCGGCATCGGCGTTCAAGTAGCCAATTCCCAACAGGAGGAAAGCCATGTCGAGGGTAAAGAAGAGGAAGAAGAAGGCCACAGTCGATCGGAGCGTGCAGAGAAGCAGGATGAAGGTGAAGATGAACCAGCCCATGAGGAAAAGACCGAACGAGTCGTAGAATTCGCCCTCTTCGACGAGAGATGTTTCAATGGCGAATCCACCGGGAGTGAGAACGATAGCGAAGGCGATCCAGAAACCACCGTAGGATGACAGAGCAGTAGCACCGAATGTGTTACCAACAGCCATTTCCCTGTTCCTTGTCAGATAGAGCATTCAAGCATTGTATAGTAGTACATACCACATGCCGGCCAAAAGCTGGACGAGGCCTCCATAACCGTATGCAAGAGCCACAACAATGTTGGGGTGACCGATACTGCGAGTGTTGACGTTGATCAAAGAAAGGACAAACGTAGTCAGAGCGAAAGCCGACAGACCCAGGGGAGCTGGGTTAGCGAACTTGCGGTTCGGCGGCCTGTATAGACCGGGCTGGAATTCACCACCAAAGGCTGCAAGGCGTAGGTCTGGGTCGTTCGTAGCGACGTGAGCAAGAGGGTTGCCGCCATAGTCGTATGGAGCCCTTTGCTTAGGGAGTCCTGCGCCGTTGGTCGCTGCGTGGTCCATTGCGCTGGTACCGTTGGTGGTCTTCTCGAAACTTGGACCGCGCTGTGATGGTGGTTAGAATTGAAGTTGCCAAGGGCTCGTGACGCGCTTACCACGGTGTCGTTGTGCTCACGAGCTGTCGCCATGATGTCTACTATGGTTGACTGTAGTTCGGACTAGCTCGAGATGGGTCAATGGGGAGAGAGTCTGGGGAAGGAGACAGCAAGCCCACTCTGGGGGAGCGGAGAGACTGATATATGTCCAGACCAGACCTCGCAGGGGAAGCATGGTCCATCTACGTGTGCCATGAGCCGTCGTCCCATACTGGTGCTAGGCCCGCGACTAAGGGTAGGTAATTAGAATTCCAAACAGGTGCTAAAGCGGGCCACTCATGGCAGTTTCTCATAGACGCCTCTCCATCCCGGGTAAAAGGACAGCATGCGTCTCCACAAGCGTGTCAATCAAGTGAGGGCACGGTGAGCGGACGAACGACAATCAGACCAACTCAAGCCACCATGCGCCGTGTGATCGGCGTTAAAAGCTACCTTGCCGAGGTCGGATGGACATCGACAAAGAGGATCGCAAGTGGTGCGCCAACCGATCCAACAGTAATTTGTCTTGTTTAGAACGGCCTCGCTGCTGCGATGACGCGGAGAAATGAGATGTGCTGCTCCAATTCCCGAGTGCTGATCGCCACTCAAGTACCAAGCATTACATCATCGCTGCTTGTGATCATGACACATCAGCCTCCATCCAGTGTTTTGAACGCAGAAACGGCAGACATCGCGAGCATGAGTCTTCGAAACATCGTATAACACACAGACCGCTATTGGTATTTGCATGTTAGCGGTCTGACTGCATGTTTACCCTGGAGGAGTGCCCCTGCGAGAAACGCGTGCAAGGAGTGGAGCTCAAGTCAGTGCACCAACGCTCAATTTGCTCGGAGTAGTTAGACGCGAAGTCGGCGTCCTGCCCTTCCATGGGTGTACGCGAACCTCCAATGTGGACACTCATTCTCTGCCTGCTGGGCTAGGATGCCGGATATCGCGGGTGCGATATTGGAACATGATATGAACGCAGCCGTCCCCTTGGTATTTGCGCTGCTATTTGAGCGTCGGCGCTTTTGTATTGGAAACAGCCACAACACGCTCCGTGGCTCTCTAAATGATTTATTGGGCGTGCTTTGAAACTTGGGATCCCCAGAGGCCGCGGAGGAAACGGCATGATGATCTTATGCATGAGGTAAGGTGGCTAAGCTTTGTCCAAGAGCCTCGGCATAAGCCACCGGCATCTTCCAATATCATGACATGATGAAACTCTGGTAGAGCTAAGGAGACGCGCCGTCGAAAGGTTTATACACATGCTGAATAACTGGATTTGAAATCGTCATTCAGAAAACGACGAACAGAAAAGTCTGTTCATCAATTGTGGGATTGAGGACCCTAGCGTGGTGTGAAGCCGCCATCTCCCTGGTCGTCCGGGGCTGCATGGGGCCGCAAGTGGAGCAGCATCTTACCACCCATCCTAGACTGCGGTTGAGACGCAGGCTAGCTGTTGCGATCCTTCGGACCAGCGGGAGCAGCTGTCAAGTCATTTGCACCTGCATCCTGCCGTTCCGTGTCCGTTGTCTCCGCGACAGGACTGGTATGTTGGCAGATAGATGCGATCAGTGTTGTCTCAGGGCTTTTGCATTGCTCACTTGTTGTCTGTGTTGTCTGGGCAGCAGCGTCTTTGCGTTGGAAAGCAAGGGAGAAACCGAACACAGAGGTAATAGGCTCTTACACTGCAGCTTACATTAGTTCTTAGCAAGAATTTTCATAAGAATCGATAGCATTGTAGACTTCTAGATTCTCTATCTATGTATCTATAGCTCTTATACGATTGTTGTGGTGGGAAGAAGTACTCTGCCCTAGAGAGATAGTTAGTTTCTCTCTTTGATGTATCGAGGATGCATCTTACATTGGTCTATTAGCCTAAATTGCATCTGAATCGCGCCATCATATTGTTTTGCGCAACTGACATGCATGTCTTATTTGACCCATCACCATGGGAGCCAATCCAACACACGATGAAGACCGACACTAGTTTTTCCTCCACACAGATTACTTTCATTGGAGTGGCATTGCTTGAGATACTTTGCGGCGGTTACCAGGCTTGACCACAACATCAAAAACAAAGCAATTCCTTCGGACATGTTCAGTCAATGGTGGTCAAAAGAAGTGCGTCAACATGCGCATTGCGCAAGTCCGTTGCTGTTGTTCTTAACGACGAGGAGGTCAAGCGGCTGCCCGGACAGTGCTTCCGAGGCGTTGTATGGTACCTGCATGGAAAAAGGAAAGGTGTTGCGAATTGTTGAACCGATCATGGAAGCGACCCTTCTCAACGTATCGCATGTTCACTAATGGTGTTTGACCAGTGGCTTGTTGTAGCGTTGGTATAAAGAATTTGTGTTTGGCTGCTGTAGCCGATTATGTCCATGCTGGTTTCGCACAAGGGTTCGGAAACGAGGAAGTAGGGTCCACTCAGATTGTGGAGAGGGACCTGGGCGAGATCTGGGGACTCCACTTCGACCCTGCGTAAGAGCGTGCCAGGAGTCAGGACGCTGGGAGAGCGGAAAGAAAGCCTCGCCACTATGGAGGACCGAGGAGCCAACTACTTCCCGCGGTCTTCCGGCAACCTTCCACGCACGCAACAACCGGGAGTTAGTAGTGTACGTTCAGCCGATATGCTACGAGTTTGAGTAGTAGCCATCAGGTGATGTAGCACGTCGTGTAACATCTGATGGCCAATGACGAAGAACACCTCGCACCACTGGTGGTTTCCCAACTGCGCTGTGGACTCTCGAGAATGCCTGAGCCAGAGTTCATCTTGCGCACGATGATCACTGGGTATCACTGGGTATCGCGCCACTCTGTGCATACCACTCGTCTTTACGTTACAGCGATACCAACATGGAAATTACTGTCTGTAGTTGTCTAGGACTGTTATTTCATGTGGCTCAGAGCAGTAGCCCATTATCGCAACGTCCGTCATGTCAATCAGTGATTGCTGACTTTACTTAGTACTGTCACCGCTTTCAGTCAACAATTGCGACTCAGAAGCATGAGACCTGGAGTCGAAGAGATGAGAAGACGTTGCAACAAACAGTACAAGGGCAGGAACGTGGCGTTTCTTGTCACTCTCTGCCGGCTTGGTACCAACTTGGCGCGTCTCGCTACCAACCCAGGCACCGGTAAGCAGAGGAAGGCCGAAGAGGATGCAAAGGCGTCCGAGCTCGTCAACAGGAGCGTCAACCCTCGGCTTGGAGAATGCTCGAGATATTTGGTTTGGTGTTGAGGCGGGTTTCATGGCGCAACGCCGGCTACGTAATGGGTGGGCGATCCACTCCTAGCGCGGGGAAGCTGCGAGAGCTAGCTTCGCCTCGCTACCCGTGGAGCTTGCCTGCCTGCTTGCTTGCCTGAACTCGGTGTTTAGGCAGACACGGCGACGGTTGATGGCTTTATCCCTTAACACCTGTCACTGAAGACTCGAAATCCCAACCCAACACCAGATCGTCTGCCAGCCCACCATGTCAGACAGCAACAACAGCAACAACGTATCCCATGAGGACATGGCCAGCCTCTCCTACTTCGACCACTCATCAGGCAAGCGCGTCAACACGGACATCGTACTCGTTGAAGCTATCCGCTCACAATATCCCAACCTCGATCTTGTTGTCGCGCCTCAGGGAAGGCTCAACCTCCTCGCCTACGCTGGTGCCGGCCACGCAACGGCCACGCCTCTCGAAGATGTCGTCAAAGACCCGGTATACGGCCCCGGCCTCAAGTGGCGTTCGTACGCTCCACCGGCTCACAGACTTGACTCTAGCCCCGGAAACATGGTCGAGCGTGTCATCTTTGGCAAATACATGTACAAATGGAAGGACCAGGAGGCTATCCTTTACGTTGCCGAAGGCCGCGACGGGGGGTCGTCGTACCCAAACCCAACATTCCACTACATCCTCTCCAATGCAGAGCACAAAGTCAATGAGTTGATCAAGGACGCAACAAAGTGGGGCAGCGAGCTACACAATGAGGTCTGGGTCTTTGATGGCGGTTACTGGCAGAAGAGTGCAGAGCTATACAACTCCGTACAAAAGAGCTCGTGGGAAAGCGTCATCCTCGACGAGGACATGAAGAAGGCACTCATCTCCGACGTGGAGAACTTCTTCGATGGCCAGCAGACATACCAGGACCTAAAGGTGCCGTGGAAGCGCGGCGTCATCTATTACGGACCTCCAGGAAACGGCAAGACCATCAGCATCAAGGCCATGATGCACAGCCTTTACCAGCGCGGCGTGCAGGGAGACTCGAGACTCGCCGTCCCGACCCTCTATGTTCGCACGCTTTCATCTTTCGGGGGCCCTGAATACTCTCTTTCGCAAATTTTTGGCAAAGCCCGTCAAGAAGCCCCATGCTATCTTGTCTTCGAAGATCTAGACTCAATCGTCAATGACAGCGTCCGATCATACTTCCTGAATGAAGTGGACGGTCTCAAGTCCAATGACGGCATCTTGATGGTTGGTTCAACGAACCACTTGGACAGACTGGACCCGGGAATCGCCAAAAGGCCTAGCCGCTTCGATCGCAAATACTACTTCCCCAACCCCGATTACGATCAGCGCGTAAAATACGCCAAGTTCTGGCAGGGAAAGCTCAAGGATAATAAGGACCTTGACTTCCCCGATGAGCTCTGCGAGAAGATCGCCGAGATTACTCCCAAGTTCTCCTTCGCTTATATGCAGGAGGCTTTCGTCGCGTCTCTACTTGCTATCGCCGCTCGGGGCGGTAAGAGCGTCGAGGAGGCGGATCGTGAAGCAGAGAGGTGGTCAGGTCCCCAAGATCCGATGAAATCAGCCCTCGGTACACTGCATGCCAATTTCGCACGAAAATTGCCCTTCGGTGACCTGTCCGATCCTACTCCAACATCGGACGCGGAATTCGATAAGCTGGAACTGTGGATCGAGATGAAGAAGCAGGTCAAGATCCTGCGCGAGGAAATGGACGAGGAGAATAGTCAGGCAGCCTGGGGAATGCCCAGTCGGCCAAAGGTTGCGAATCCTGTGCTCAACCCAACCCAGTTCAGAGACGAACTGGATGCAATCCTGCATGGAGGTCAAGAGAGGCGCCCAAGGCATCCTATCTCCGAGTTCGAGCAGCTGTATGGCTAGATGAAATCTGAGCATGGACCGCTTAGCTGGTAGGACACGGAACAGTATGGCGTTTTGGTGTTGTGTTATAACTTGCGTTCTATATAATATGAAATGACCACGACAATTCGACGTTTCACGAAGATGAATTGGAGTTGACTCTAAGAATATAGTACAACAGCTTCGAGCAGCCTCTGCTGTAGTGTACAGATGCCTCTTTGAATGGGAAGTACGCAAAGAAATATACTAAATTTTAATCGCCATGTGTAGCAGCCTCCTCCATGGCCAACACTGCATTCTCCAACTCTCGGATCCTCTGTCCGACCCTCCTCTTTACCTCATCCGCGACCGCCCTATCCTCCCCATCGACAACACCCTTGTAATACTCGAGCAGCTTATCCAACTCTTCTCTTGCCGCAGCTCGATCATCAGGAGCATACGTAGTATTCTTCTCGCTCTCTTCAGATGCAATTTCGAACTCGTCTTTGGCTGTGCCGTACAGTTCCTGTATCTCCTCTATCACTTCATCGACCGCTTGTTGTGTTTCTGGTGATAGCGAGGAAGGAGCTGAGGAGTTGGCGGACGCAAATTTACCGCATGATGTAGAGGTGAATGTGCGCACGGAGGAAAGAGTATTGTAGGGCGTAGTGAAGCGCGTCCATTGGTTTGGTGCGGCTAAGATGGATGTGTTGCGTGCTTGGTATGGCGGGGGAGGTGAGGGTGATCGTGAGCGTTGTTGCGTATAGGTCTGGTATGAGAACTGCTGGGTTGCGGGATAGGATGTGCGTTGCGCTGCTATTGCGCTTGCGCGGAGCGTTGTCTGGCGGAGTAGTGTGCGGATGGGTGCTGCACCCGACGCCATCTTGGGAGATGATTGTTTATGGTATGAAGCGCGGAACTGACGCGGGATTGAGCGCTGGGCTACATTGCGTAGCGAAGGCGCTTTGGTGAAGAGTGTGTGCGACATTGCGGGTGGTGGGTGTCGGTGAGATGGAAGGTGGTGAGCCTGAGGTTGGCCGGAGTTAAGCTGTCATGAGGACATGACGGTGTTGCGATCCGCTACCTCGTCACTTGCAGAGATGCATCGGGCTAATTTACTCCGCCACCTACTACAACAATGTATCCTAGGAATTATAGTATAGACATAAAGAATCTAGAAGCCTACAATACTCTTGATTTCAATAAATTTTCTTGTTTAAACCTAAGGTAGGCTGCAAGGCAAGGCATGTTATCTCTGTACTTATTCTATCTTTCTCTTGTATGCAGTGCCGCGAATATTCTACTAAGCAGATTTAACGCTGCAATACGCTGTAGTGTTAGTTAAATGCAATACTAGATTTCCTCGGATTGATATTAGAGTATCGACGCAGCATGCATTAGAGACAGTTACTGCTTACAAAGACCCATAAATGCTCCGATTGAACCCAGATCAAGAACTGCTACATGAACATGTCGCCTTCGATACAGGGAACACACGATTATTGCCTACATAATGATATGTACTTCGTAGTTATAGCAGTAAAGGACAATAATCGCAATTTTCGCATGCTTCGCGCGCCTTGATAAGCACCAGTAATTTTCTGCAGGAACTGCTGATGTGGTTCTTGGGGGGAAAATGCAACTCAGGTGTAGTCAGGGGAAGGGGCAAACCAAATTGAGCAACGTTGCTACTAAGATTGAGCCCGAAAATCCCACTGGATTTCTTGTCTTTCTAATTCATGACTACTCTTCTGATCTACTCATACCACATTTTGTCGTACACGAACTTTCAGTGAGCAGACATGCGACCTGTCGCTAGGCGTAATGTAGAAATACCCAAGCAGGAAAACAACCAAATTCCCCCAGGCCTTCTAACGAGCAAAGGTCAGACATTTACCCTAAACTTGATGCATAGTGTTGAGAGTACCCTTCTGTTACGATGCAATGCAGATGAGCAGTTTTAGCACCGTCCCCACCGACCCCGCTGTCACTTTGCATTCCGCGAGTCGCCCTCGCCTACGACCCATACGAAGATTTTCGACCTGAGCCGCAGGTTGCAGCACGTAAGAACAATTACGGTAGATTTTGCAATTCTTTCATCAAACGACTCAAGCGAGCGTAGTCTAGTGGTTATGATGTCTGCTTTACATTATCAAATGTAAAGATACGCAGAAGGTCGGGAGTTCGATCCTCCCCGCTCGTAACGAGCAGTTGCATCAATCTTTTTGAATTTTTTTTCTTGGGCTTGTGGAGGTGTTGTGAACGTCTCTGCACCTCATTCCAAGGGGTTGGAAGTTTGCTCGACTTTTGGACGCTGAACAACTCTTTTTGCAACGGTCCGATTACTTTCATCATTTGCTATATCATTCACATGTCTGTACAACTCCCTTTGTATGTTTTACATATTCCACAGGTCGTAGCGCGTGTCCTGAAAGGGTTGTTGGAGTTCGCCGAAATCGGTAGGTTGCACCCCTCTTTTTTGCGTTTTGTGAATAAGAGGCCCCACCAGCTTGTGGGCTTGCACAAGTCTAATCGTCATGCTTCTGAGACAGCAACTCGCTTCAAACATGGGAATCTAATGGAATCCGTTGTGGTATTCATGAGATGTCCAGCGAGAAACTGTAGCTATATGTTTGTTGTTTTGGTTGGAGAAGTCATATTGCACCATTTGAAGCATCCATAGGTTGTGTAGTGTACGTTGACCATCATCTCCACTACTCCAAAGCATGCGCTCATTCGATTCTAGGTAGTGGTTATCACTTCAGATTTTGACTCCAATCAAATTTCTGATAACCCCGGTTCGGTAAGACCATCCCTAAAACATGATTTCAAGCTCTTTCCCTAACATTGAGAAGAACCCGGGCACGACCTCAAATCCTTCTTTTTGCAATTTGTCAATGTTTCCATGATGCCCATACTCGCGATATGCTTTGTCGTTTACAGCGAGTGGTCAAGCTTCTTTTTGCGCGACACATGTATATGTAAAGGGAGCGCAGTATCCCAAAATCTGTCAATCGATTCAGAACTAAGCTGGGTATATTACCTTTGTTGTACCGTCCATTGTTCCATCCTTGATACCGTTGCGCCTCGCTATTCAATAATGCTGGGATATCTTGCTGATCACCAATCGCTATGCTACACGCCATCACAATATGTACCTTTTGAAAGCACCGCTTCAAGCTCACTCGCAGCCTACCACCACCTTCTCGAATTCCTTCCGCTGGTTGCGCATTGCAAGCAGTGTCGTGTTGAAGATACGACTGCACAAGTCCCACACACATTCCTCCCGCAATCATTGCACGCGAAAGGACTATGTTCCACAGCTCCGCCCATGTCCATGTCCATGTCTACATCCATGCTATCTCCTCCACTCTGCAGCGGTGTATCGCAATCTTCGCACCGCGGCAGTTGTGATGAAGTCTGCTCCTGCTGTACGGGCATTGAGAAGATAGGTTGAACAGGCGGCGCGGGCAGCTCTTTCCAGAAGGAATGCAGCGTGGACTTTTGTGGTTTTGATGGGATTGAAATAGGTTGTTGATGCATTGGAAGAGGATGGGATGGGATAGGTGAGGCGTCGGGGTAGTTACGTTGCGCGGCGAAGAGCATGTTTAGCGTGTTCTCTAGCATGGAATTAGCATCGTGCGAATTGGCGAATGCAGCCTAGAAGTCATACCATGTATCGCTCGCTCATCGGGTCTGTTGTCGCGGACTCGCTTGCGCGTGCGGTTCCCCCAGTCGCTGCTTTTGACTCGGCTCGCGCTCATAAAGTCCCACGCGTTAGTTCTCATAGTCGCGGGCGCGTCTGTTTCCATCACCTTGTCGTAACCTTTGGAGAACGACATTGGTAGTTGTGTGTCTGGTGTCGAGACGGAGCCGAAGCTGGACATGGAGAGCGGCGAGTCGTCAGAGGAGTGCTTGCGCTTGAGACCCATGGTTGTAATGTTCAGTGTTAACAGAGGATGAGGTTTCGGTTGGGGTATATAAAAATAGTGAATCCGCTGTTTGTAGGGTGGTATGTTTGTGTGCTGAAGAGGCAAAGCGAGATGGGATGAAACGGGGAGTGATGATGCAAAGTGGTTGGCGTGGGAGACGCGATCTATCGGCGCGAGCGCGTCGCGTGATGGCGTGTCGGGATCGCATTGCATCACTACCCGACAGAACATCAAGATGAAGTCGGCACGTGTGACCCGATGAGCAAAAGATGTCATCTACCCATAACTTGACCCCGGTCTATCTAGAAATTACGACAACCAGGCTGGCCTGACACTCTTGGCTCGAGAGCAATGGCGCTGAAGGCATTACGTCGGTCATACAAAGGGTGAAGCTCGCCTTTACCCCACCACCCCTCACATGCCAACACCAACTAGCCCATACAACGTCACGATAACAGCTTCCAATATTCCCACTAGAGCATTCCGCTCCATATTCCCATCACTGAAACCCAACATGGTCACTCGTAAAGCCACCCACGCTGGTTCCTGGTATACGGACAACAAACAACTCCTGTCCCAGCAACTCGACGGCTGGCTCGGAGAGGTTCCCGAATCCACGACGCCCATAGGCTCCGCTTCCTCACAACAAGGCCAAGTCTCGATACCTACACCACACGCGCGAGCTATCATCGCCCCGTATGTGCCCGAAGACTTTGTAGAGAAGACGAGGCTCATGGACGTGCAGGCATGCCGGATACTCGTACTCAGGTCCCGCTGCAGCATGGGCCTACAAGAGCGCTGACTGGGCGAATGCGTGAGTACACATCGGTCAAAAAGACAGTCAGGGTTCCGCACTGACTGCTTGTAGCAAACGCGTCTTCCTACTCGGCCCCTCTCACCACTACTACCTCACTGGCGCTGCGACGACAGGCTGCGACAAGTACCGTACACCTCTCGGCGACCTGACTATAGACACAAAGCTAGTGGATGAGATACAAAACCAATGGGACCTGGAGACAATGTCAAAAGGAGTGGACGAGGACGAGCATAGTCTGGAGATGCACCTTCCGTACATCTACAAGATGCTGTCACTCAAGAACACAAACTTCCAGAATGATTCGACATCTGTGCCTCTAGTACCTATCATGGTCGGCAACACCGATGCAGCCATCGAAGCTCACTACGGCTCCCTCCTCGCGCCATACCTCTCCGACCCTTCCAATGTGTTTGTAATCTCATCTGATTTCTGTCATTGGGGCTCCCGCTTTCGATACACGTACTACCAGCCCGCCGACGGCTCAGCAGCAACTCAGCTTAGGTCAAGCTCTCGCGTACCGGGCGACTATCCCATACACGAGAGTATTGCTGCTGTCGACCACGAAAGTATCGACGCGGTTGAGAGTGGGTCACACAAGCAGTTCTTGGATCAGCTCAGGAAGACTGGCAACACCGTGTGTGGAAGACACCCGATTGGTCTCTTCATGGCCGCGGTAGAGAAGGCAGGTGGTTTAGGTGAAGGAAAGGGCATGTTCAAGTTCCTACGGTATGAGAGGAGCAGTTTGGTGAAAGAAGTAAAGGATAGTAGTGTGTCGTATTGCAGTGCTTTCGCACTCCTCTAAAGCGAGCTCTCATCTATAGAGCTTGTCGAGTCCTCGATAGTAACAGATAATAATAAAAAAAGAAACCAACGACTATGATCATGCCTGTATTCCAGAAATGCATCGTAACTGAGGATTCAAACGCCGATCCGTGCAACCAAGATATCTCAACAAGACGCATTTCAAATACAGATCAAGGTGGCCGTGGCTTCGGCATAGCACTATGTTTCACACTCCACGGCTGCATGCTTCTTCTCGCACCTAGCGTCTTCCTCTGTGCTGACTGATTCTGCACTTGGTTCATCGACGTTGTGTGAAATGTAGACGCTGGCCGAAAGCCAGATGCCGAAGCAAATGACGATGACGTCTGCTTTGTCGGACTTGTTGGTTCTCTGCCATCCTTCCCTGCTTGATGCGTATCCTCTACATCGGGTCTAGGAGGCGAACTAGATAGAAGGACATACCGCGTGCTTTCCATCCTGGCTTCGGGCTCGGCACGTTTTGGCTTGGTGAGAATTGGTCGGTTCGTAACTTTGTGATTGGGCATTGAGAGTGGTTGAAACGGGCGTGGTGGTCGCGAAACGGAGGATTGCACATTGGATATGTCATGAAGTGGAGTGTAAGTGGAAATTGAAGATTGCGAGCGTTGCAGAGACGGCGCAGTGAAGGATGGCGCAGTTTCTGTTTCCTCGGATATCGCGCTGTTTGATCGCTTAAAGAAGCTCGTAATGGCACCTTGGCCTTTTGCGAGTGGCTTGACAGATTTCGCTCGGGCAGGCTTTGCTTCTGCTTTCTTGGAGTCGTTGTAGGCTGCCTTGGCAATCTCTGCGTTGGGAGTGCTGGCTAGCGTTCGAATACGCTCTGCTTCTCTCTGCATTGCCTGGAGATCTCTAAGATCCCGGGCACTGGTGAAACCAGCTTTGACGGTGGGCATGGTCGTCGTTGCTATCGAAAATCCAGACGCTCTATTCATGGTGACCGCTACTGAGTCCGTAGAGAAAGAGCTCGACGATTCCAGCCTGCGCCGCTTGAAAGACTGATTTGGCCCATCAGCGATGGGCTTCGCGCTTCTGTACTTGTCGGATCCGTATGCGCCCCATGTTGGATCATCCCCGTCAATCTCCTCTCGAGTCGCTGGGTATCGGTCGTCTTCCGGATGTTCCAGCAAGCCGAGAGCACCTTTGATGTCTTCAGACGATGGGCAGTCTCTCCGCAGAATACGGGCCAAATCTGGTATGGTACTACGCTTGAAAGCTAGGTCTGGTCCTCGGTCGTTGAAAAGCTTCTGTATCTTCCGATCGGAAATGAACCTGGAAAGGGTCGTCTGCTCTTGACCTGACTGCTTGACTGGGCAACTCAGGTATAATAGGCCTTGTGCTCGAGTCATACCAACGTACAACAAACGCCTCTCCTCATCCTGGTCATCTGCTCGAGAGTGCGGTATAGATCCGTCATACACAGCAGGCATAAAGACGACAGGCCATTCCAAACCTTTCGCTGCGTGAATAGTAGAGATGGTGACCTGGTCCAGTTCGCTTCCCTCCTGGTCTGCTGCGCTCGAGAGCGTAACATTGGCCAAGAATTTGGACAGAATATCGGCTCCGGTGTCGTTTCGCTGTTCGATGCCCTCTACCACTGGCAAGGCGTCGTCAGAAATCTCTTCCCCATTAGCAACTGCCGTAGCCATCTGTGTTGCCTGGTTCACCAGCTCCTCCACGTTTGCCCATCGATCTTCCCAGTTCTCCTTGTGTGTCTGCTTAAGATGGGACTGAAACTGTATTTTAGCCAGAATGTGCGATATGAGACCTAGCAAGTTACAGTCTTCGCCTTTAGCAGGAAGAAGCTTCTCGCGCGAGGTAAGAATAACATTGACGAACTGCTCAATGCCCTTCTGTGCTTGGGCGGAGACTTTGCTTTCCGACTTCCTCCTGCCCTGGGCGATATCCAGCACCAGTTTCCACAGAGTGACTTTTCTGACCTCTGCTTCTTCGAGTAGTGCCTTCACAGTAACGTCGCCAACTTTCCGGGACGGTGTATTGATAACTCTTGCCACTGCATCATTATGATCTGGCTGACTGACCACGCGCAGGTAGTCTAAGATGATCCTAATCTCCGCCCGATCAAAGAACTTCGTACCAGCGACCATCCGATAGGGAATTCCCATTTGTCCGAGCGCTCGCTCAATTTGGAGCGTGAGAGGAGATGAGCGTACAAGTATAGCGTAATCATTATAGCTCAGCAGCCCCGCTGTAAGCGTTTTGGTCCGATGTATCTCTTCTACAATCCATTTTGCCTCCACGTTGGCCGATACCAGATGGCGAAGAGTGGGAGGCTCACCAACGCCATGTGTAGCAATGAGCGACTTTTGTGGTCGACTCTCATCCTGCTCAATGACAGCCATGGCGGAAGTCAGGATGCATCCCGAAGACCGATAGTTGTTCTCCAGGTTGATGACGACTGACTCCGGGTAATCGGTGCGCATCCGCAGGAGATTCTTGATCTCTGCTGACCGAAAGCTGTATATACTTTGGTCTGGATCACCGACAATGGTGATACGTCTTGTTCTTTGGGCTAGTAACCTCATTAATTCGTACTGAATATTGTTGGTGTCTTGGTACTCGTCAATTAGTACAGCTTGTATCGTGGAGACACATGATGGCGACTTTTTCAATAGATCCACACATCGGAGAAGAAGGTCGTCGTAATCGAGAAGATTGGAGGCAGCCAAGTGTTCTTGGTAAGAGGAATATACCATCGCAAACTCATTGTCGTTGACATTCTTTGTTGTCTTTCGAAAATCGTCGGCGGTGGTTCCCTTGGCTTTGAGTTTGGAGATCCTGGAACGAGCATGGCCAGGTTCCACTGTGTACTGATGACGCGTGACGATTCGCTTCAGTATTGCCGTACTGTCGCTAGTATCCGCAATGCCAAAGTTCTTATCAATCCCAATCTCTTGACCGTACCGAGACAAGAAGCGACGCGCGACTGAATGAAAGGTACCCAGGATAAGTTTTGCCTCAAGCTTCTCTCCAACAAATCCCTTGATCCGTTCCTTCATCTCTCTTGCAGCTTTGATGGTGAAAGTACATACAATGATGTTCCATGGCTGCAGTCGCTCGTGATTGATGTGGTACGCGACGCGTGCTGTGAGTGTTTTAGTTTTGCCTGAGCCGGGCGGCGCGAGGACCTGGACAACATTGGCGGGACTTGTCACCGCATTTCTCTGCGCATCATTGAGTCCCTCCAACAATGCGTCCATGGCGGGTCGTGTGAGGTACAGCGTCTCATTAAGGGCTGGTCGACGGCGTGTGGCGTGAAGGAATCGAGGAACGCGCTAGGAACACGGTGCACGTGTCGATAAGATAAGCCAAAGTACTGCTCAAAGCCGAGCGGCACCCGTCATAACAACGGTACCTAGCAAACAGCACGGATGAATTGTGCTTACAAGCCTGCGCACTCAAACCAAGAACTGGGCTAAACATCATCATACGAAAAGCGTAATGCTTCCGCTGCAAGTTGTGCCGGCGGAATCCCCATGGAAATAGCTTCGTTCGCCAAGTACTAATTTCTCGTATTCTTCCCCGCAATGCGGAGGTACCTCAACTCGGACAGCTTTTATCCGACAACCCGGCGCGAAGTGACGATGATCATCGGATTTTGATTTGCATTGAGCAAGCCTGCCGACGGACGTTGAGGCTCTTCCCAGTTAGCTGTTCGTGATGAGTATACCGCACCGAGGACTATAAAGGTCCGAATTTACCTAATGTCTATCCTGCATCCCGCGAAGTGTCATTTCATCCTCTCATCATGCTGGGACCACGCGTTTTGCTTAGCACAGCATTTGCTGCTGCTGTCGTTTCGGCTGGATATTTGCCTGGAATCTCCAGTAACACTGCTTTCCAATATAATGCGCGTCGACAGGCCACTAACAGCACGTCCCCATCTTTCAATGGCCCGTACAGTACCCGAGGCCGAGACATTGTCGATAGCAATGGTGAAAAGACAACTTGGGCGGGCGTCAACTGGCCTATGAGCGGTACGTTACAAGCATCAATTGAGCAGTAGGTGAACATTGATTGACGTCCTCTATAGGCGAGTCTATGATTCCTGAAGGGCTTGAATGGGCGTCAGCGGAAGAGATTCTAGATGATATCGCGGGCGTCGGCTTCAACTATATCCGCATGGGATATGCTATCGAGATGATCGACCAGGTTTACGACAGGGACGGTGTTGATGTCCCGCTCGAAGTTGGCCTTATTAATGCCCTTGGGTACGTCAACGGTACCAAAGTCACGAACGAGATCATCGCGAAGAACCCTGGTTGGACCGCTCAGACCACACGTTTCGAGATTTGGAGCAATATTGCGCGTATTGCTGCTACGAAGGGCATCTTCATTAGCCCAGATGTGCACACAGGAAAGGCGCAGTGGTGCTGCTCACACATCGACGGTACTGCTTGGTTCGATGACCTCCAGTTCAACGCAACACATTGGCGCCGCGGTCTTTCTTACGTTGCCAATTGGGCGAAGGACCACCCAAATGTAGTCAGCATGTCTCTCCGTAACGAGTTGCGCGAATCTTGGAACGTCACAGACCTTTACTACAACTGGGATACTCTTGTAGGCAACATGACCGCTGGAGCTGATGCAATCCACGAGGCCAACCCCGATATTCTTATCCTGTGGGGTGGCATGCAATACGGACAAGATCTATCAGCCTTGACTAGCGGCAAGAACATTCTCACCGCCCCTTGCTACAAGTGCACAGCGATCAGAGATGCAGCAAGGAGGGAGCCAGTATACTTCAACCTCGATGACCATCCATGGGCCGACAAGCTCGTTTGGGAACTTCATCTTTACAGCATGAGCGAGGATATCGACACTGGCACCTGCGACATCGTCAAGGCAAACTTTTATCGCAACGGTTTCAATGCCCTGGGTATCGACGCACCAGCCGCCTGCAATATCACGGGTGACTGCCCGAAGGCTGTCCGCGAGACACCCGTCATCCTGAGCGAGTTTGGCAGTGCTCAAGACGAAACCCTCTTCAACAACACTCTGCAGAACTGTCTGAAAGAATACACCATCGACAACGATGTTAGCTGGATGATGTGGTCTATTGCCGGTTCATACAGAATCAGATCAGGAGTGCAAGGATTTCCTGATACCTGGGGTATGACAAACTACAACTGGACAGGATGGAACTACGAGCGTGGTATCGAGGAGTTCTGGAAGCCATGGGTCCAGGCGATGAACACAACGAAGATACAATAATCGTATGTAGCGATATTAATGTCTACTTTCAATACTCGTATAATGAGTCTCACGCTTAGCAAACGCAGTTGATATATCATTCAGGTTTTGGGATGAACAAACGGCTTTCACATTCGATTGTATCGATTCGAGCTCCCTCAGCGCCCCTCACTTTGCATCCTTTTCTCATCAGCCCTTCCGTGCACTCTTCGACTCAAACTTCTGCTTCCCACAAGGTGAAATTCCGTTGAGGTTTCCAGTTGGAACGGTTCAAGATACGTTGTAGCCCATGGCTCTCATGATCGCCTTGCCCTCTTCCACGTCGTCTAATTCCCAGATCCTCAGCCCATACGACTCCAGGAAAGCCTTGAAGCTATGGAACCCCAAGTCTTTGGCAGCTTTGTAGGTGGTGGTAATATTGGACTTGTCGGCGTCAGAAGACATGCTGCTAGTGCTGCAGTCCGTGTTCGGTTTTCGCGAGAAGGGTTCTGGAAGAGCGAAGCTTAGTAGAGAATTCCCGGTTGTTCGAACTTTGAGGAAAGGGAGCAGCGATACGCGGAAGATGCGGAAAAGAGGAGGAAGAGGTGGGACGTGGGTTCGGTGAAATATATAGCGGGGCACGGAGGAGGCTGGGATACTCACGAGACGTAGCATGTGACTACGAGCATTACTATAAACCTTGATATACTTGACATTACAGTGTCAAAGGTGCATGATCTCAGAAGCTGCTGCTACCTGTTGCTACAAAAGTATACCGAAGCCTAGTATGCCCAAGACAGCACCCGTCCACCACTCAAGCTTGCTTGTTTTATCGGCACCAGCTCCCTTGCTAGAGGTGGTCGCCAACCTGGCACTTTGCTCACCTGGGCGTGCAGAGTCGGTGACACTTGCTTCGAAGCCAGATTTAGGCATGGTCATGGTAGTAAGTGCAACACGCACGGTGGCAGTGACAGCAGTACCGCTCGAACTAACCGTTACCAGAGTGTTACCTGTGGCGTCTGTTGTCATTTCTAGTATCGTAGGAGCGAGGTTGCCCCCAAGGTAGATAGAAAGACCAGGCGTAAGCGTTACTGTCCATGCTCCTCCTATCACGAGGTAGCCAGTACCTACTGTCGGTGTTACCTGCGGAAACGACGCTTCATCCGTATCCCTCGGCATGCCAGAATCAGAAGTAGTCGCTGGTCGCGCTGAAGCACGACCTCCTCCATTGTCACTACTTGGAGGCGTGATCGTTTGGCCGAGGCTATTGGTGGTTGGAGATGCGGGCTGGACGTTCGATGGCGTGCCACCAAGCTGGGAGACGAGGCTCAGCAGGAAACTGTTCTGCCCTGTCTGTTGCGATGTCGTTCCCGAAACACTGGGGGCGTCTCCTCCCGCTATGTTATCCCCAGATGGCCCGGGCTTGTTCGAAGGACGGACTGTGTTTGCTACTGTGACCGAAGACTGTTGTCCATTGTTGTCCCCACTCGCTTGAGTAGCATCGCCCAGTGTGAATCCGTCCTCCACCAAGTTCGTCTCAATGCTGATAATTGTCGGTCGAATTGCGGTAACGGTCGTTTCAGTCGCAATTAACGTCACAAGACGATCGGTAGCTGGACCAGTTTCCCCCCAACCTGTCGCAGTCGGAACCCCAGGCCTGAGTTGACGGCTAGTCTCGCCGCAAGTGGTGTCATCTATAACACAACATTGTTCGGTCCCCGCAGAATTACATGGATCCCCCTCTGCAAGTCCGTCTCCCCTATCTATGGACACACTCTCCGTAGCAGCAGCGTCAAACGTTCCTGTTGTCTCTGTCGGGATAGATACGGTCGCCCATTCGACAGGGGCAGTCTCGGTGACATTCGGCAGTAAGGAGACCTCTGCTTCACATTAGCCTGTATGCTCTTCAGTTGGCTCGGCATCGGTTGCATACGAGGGACAGCCGCTGCGGCATTCGCTAGGAAGAAGAGCGTCAGGAGCTCTGGTGGAAGGAACATGTCGACGTGCTACAGCCGTCAATCTGGCCTGCAGGAGAGAATATGGGAAACACGCAGCGCGCTCAAACGCTGAGGCCTCTTCCGTGCCGCCATGTCTCCAAGTGAGTAAGTTCGCAAGCTGTGCAGCCAGGGAAGCCTCATCGTGGTTAGCGGATAGAGGCCATGGCACGCCTAGGTGCACAATCACATGCCAAGCGCTGCCGGGCGTTGTCACAATTTCCGAACTCTCATGCATCAACTACAACTTCACATTTCCAGACAGCATGGTTTTCCGCATACCCATACTTTCTACAATCTTCCCACACTCATGCTAGCACTAGGAACAACACCTGCTCCATGCGCCTGCCATTTCAAATGAGATGCATCTTCTATCGCGGAGCTGGGATCGCGTCATGATTAACCGACACCTGAATCCTTCCGCCCCCAAGGTTCGATGCATCATGTTCCATGTGCGACTCTACTGCCAATAAGGAGAAATGGCCTCGATAGTATCTTACCTTCTCGGCTAGCGCTACGAGATGTACAGGGTGTCATCAACCGTTCTTCATGCATGCACGTGTTGGAGAATACATTTAGGACAAAGCTGACACAGCGCACCCCGCCCACAAAGCTGCAAACGATATGCGCGTATACATGTTCGTTTAGGGCTAGTTAAAAGGCTCTGTCTGCCAGCCGTGTAAGTTTCGCCGTGGTATAGAGCCTGCTTGCGCCTTGGCTGCGGCTTTTCCAGGCGAGGATGTGCCGCTTTGCTGCATCGTAGCCCTACGCGCTGACATGCAGAACTTTGATACCAGCAATCCAGCTTTTCTTCGACACCAACAAGCATGGAAAAATAAAACCCATTCCATACACGAAGATCACATCTAAGCGTGAAAATCAGCACACCCAAACGCGGAAACTTTCACGAACCACCCTCTTGTAGTTCTTGGTATTCAACCAACAAGGTGGAGAGGCTTTCATGTCATCCATCTGTCACACTAGACTCTGTGGCGACTACAGAGGCACAGTCAGCGCGAACATGGATCGAATGGGTATCCGGCATGCCTTTGGTCATGCAGCAGGTGTTACTTAATACGTTCTGGATGCAAATGCCTACAAATAACATATTTGGAGGCGAATTACTGGCAGACCATTTTTGATTCTTTACGAGCGCTTCATCCAATTGCTTCGTAAAAGCTGTATCTTTTCCAGCTTTCCCACCTCATTGACCGGGCTGAGTTTCCATGTACTCGCAGTTCCCCGGTCCCGGGCTGAGTATCTAAACCATTGCAAGCATCGTCTTGCATAAAACGGTCACATTTGTACGTCCTAGATACACCACGTTTCGTCACATTAGCAAGTTTGCAGGACTTGGATATGCGACACAAGCTAGATAACAAACAGCGTCACGGGGCTGTTGCCTTACGCAAGCAGAGCATGTCTAGCAGTTCAACTCGCACAGTGAGGCTGATCTCTCGAAGCACCCGTGGAACGTCAGGTTTGTAGCAGACTCTGCGGGAGAACATACGAGCTATTTGGGCAAGGAGTACGAGGGCGAGTAAAGATCAGTGACGAAAGCGGTATGTGAGAGCCGCAACGAAACTCTACAGGTAATGAGACTAGTGCATCAAGGTCTCAATGACATTTTCTAGGCAGCAATTTCGATTATGGAACTCAGACACGAAAAACTTACCATGCCCTTGGTCAGGCACGAGTCGATGGCCTAGTTGATCCTACTTGCAGGCCTCCTGGGCTTGACACTGTGATAGTCGGTTGACTGTAAAGCGCGAGTACGCAATTCGATGGATAATCCAAACAGAGTCTTGTGGGTTGTAGACATTGTGGCCTGAAAATGCTCACCGCGGTATGTCAAGAATCTGGTTATGCCTGTCAGTGCGCCTCTATCAACAGCAATAGTCACACTTCTTGACCAGCCTCCACCATGAAAAACCTTGGAAAGACGCCTCTGATTCTAGCTATGATTCATTCAGAGCGCATGACCCTCGCAGCGTCGTAAGCTCCAACCAGCGAAGCACCCATGAGCACCGGCGACAGAAGATCAACGAACACATCGGAAGGAAATGGCGTATTTCCCTAGGCATCCATCTCAACGACGGCAGGTACCCGTTGTATTATCGCATGTTGATTACACACAGTTCATCGTTCACCGTCGTGTTCCCAGCCCCCACACCTCCACATTGTCACAGCCGCGCAGTGGCGACCGCAACTTCAGCTGTCATGACCTCTCCATGATACACACCGCGGGGGCTGTCAGAACCATGTATCTACTAAAGAGGAGTTTTAAGCCTCAATATTCTGGCGGTCAAGAACTTATCGGTAAAGTATCGTTCATGCGGAGCACGCCGCCAGTGGGCGCAGCCAATCATATCACGGAAAGATCTGCACCAGCCACTTCTTGAGCCGCAGGAGGAGGCGCAGCACGTTGGGTGTTCATGGGGTGCATTGAGGCCGTGCTTACCAGACATGATGTCGTTCGGAATTTTCTAGGCAGTTGAGACATCAGGTCGTATGGTATTTAGAGGGTTCTTGAGGACCGTGGTTTTGTTTGCCCAGTTCGCAATCTACAGAATATAAGTACTTCCGATCCAACAATACTGCAAGACGACCACTTTCGACAGTTCTTCAACTATCATCTAAGACCATTCGCCTCATAAGGCAACCAACAATGTCTTACTTGCACCTAACCCGTACTCGCACCCGCGAGCGTACCCCGGATCACGACAGCTACTACACCCGTCCCCTCGCACGTCGCGACTCCAACAAACGCCGTCACAGCATCACACTCTCTGATCTCGATGACGCTGATGATTACCCATATTCTACCAACCAGAAGCCAGCCAAGCTTTCCCGCGCCTTGACAGTCCGCGACCAGCCTTCGCAACTCGAGCGCTACAATATCGTCAGGGACAACCGGCACAACCATAAAGATGCTGGTGACGACGATAGACTTCGCAGCTACGAATCAAGGCGTACTTACAGATACTCTGACCGCCCCGCTTCTTCAGAGCCTGAAGATCGTGACTTCCACTTGAGTATCAACGCCAAATTTGGCCGGCCGCACTCTTCCTCTCTGCTTTCACCCACGTACGACCCTTTTCACCGCACCGATAAGTGGTGGGTAAACGAGCGATGGGAGTCTCGTGAGCGCTCTACTTCACGGGAGCGGAGCCGTACGCGCCGAGATAGTTTCTGGGGCGATTCGTTTGAAGAGAAGGAGAGGGAGACCGAAGAGGAAAGGTGGAGGACTTACCACAGAACTGCTGGGAGGGAGGTTGAAAGGGAGAGTATCAGGCCGTTAAGTGGCTGGAGGAGGAAGAGGATTGTGATGGGTGATGATTAGGAAAGGTCTGACTAAGAATCGATAGGCATCGTGGGACTTGGACTAGATAGCATGATATTGTGTTTCCTTGGACGTCGATGCTCATTGGTTGTATGGGTATGGGTCAGGCGTCGCGATAGATTGTCTTTCGTCTTTCGTCTTTCGTTCGTGCGTTCCGTATGTAGTTTCGAGTGCTTATATCTATACCCTCAATAGTATCTGGTTAGCAAGGGAAAGTGTTTGGTATGCCCATCGAACAAATTGCTGTCCTTGACAGATCTCGGAGACACTGACTATGCTTTAAGTAGCGGTTGTCAAACAGCACGTTCTTGACTATCTACCAATCGTACTATCAGTAAACCACATATCACGAAAGATCTTTAACAAGAAGCAGTATGAAGTATTCGTGTTGTCATTTGTACCTAAACGAGACAATGCCGTGATACGAAAGCAAGTGATTCCAACCCCAATCCATAATCATCTCCATTGGAGAGTATTAATGAATCCAATAACGCCAAAAATGCCCAACTGTATCGTACAGTATCGTCCATCCGTGATATGCGAGACCAATTCTAACCGTGTGCACCACCGAGAAAAAGACGAGAAGCAAGCAAGATCCGAAGTATGCAGAGATGCCACTAGCCCGCCCCCTCACCTGGCTATGTTGGATTTCCACGAAGGCCAACCCTTACGGGGAGGCAGCACTCAGTAGAAACCTTCAAGCCGCGGTGGAGGGCGAACAGGGATGGCAACAGCACGACTAAGACCTTGCAAAGAAGATACAAAACACCTTATCCAATCTGCGCCACCCAATGCACATATGATACCCCAAACTCCGTAAATAAAAAAGCCCATGTAAGACTGACAAGGATCAACGGGTCCACTAGAAGAGACGCAACTTCTTGGGCGGGCCAAGGGAGCCGAAGAAAGACGACTCTGCGGGGCGCTTCTTAACAGTAGTGGCAGCCTGAGGAGCAGGCTTGACAGTCGAAAAGATCGGTTTTGAGGGCGTAGCTCCAAGGAAGATGGACTTGGACGGAGTCTTGATGGCTGACCTGCTAAACAGGAAAGACGATTTCTTGATAGGAGCAGTCCGAGGTGCGAGAGGGCTCTTGTCGTTGTCGAAGAACATGCCAACCTCGCAATTTTCTTTATCGTCGTTGAAGGAGCGATCGAACTCGGAGCTTGTTGGTGTGCTGGGCATCTTGCATTGAGACGAAGGTGGAAGCGCGTACTTGGAAGGAGTCTTGAACGGCGTGAAGGGCTTCGCGACGGTTGTGGGAAGAGGAGTTGCTGGCTTCGCAACCGATAGATCAACTAGATAGTGCTCTTCGTCCATACGCTTCTTGCTTGATTCGCTGTCCAACACCCACCCAACGTTGACACACTTAATCGCCCCCTTGCTCTCAAGGCACTTCTCCAGTGTGGATATGCTTCCGTCCTTGAAGAGAACGTGGCTCAAGGACGCGTGCGATATATCTTGGACTACCTTCGCGCCGAGATCTTCGAGCAGACCACGGAAGAGGAAGTTTTGCTCCCTGCCGTTGCTTGTGACGTCGACGTAGAAAACCATGCCCTGAAGAATGCCGTCATACAGGAATAGATCGCTCTCATCCGCTTGGACGTCGGTCCAAGCAACAGTCTTCTTCGGGGTCTTAGCGTCCTTGACCTTCTGAGGTGATCGCAGGGCAGACTTCTTGGGTGATGCTGGCTCGGGTGCTGCGAAAGTAGGAGCGAGTTTGAGTGGCGCCAGTTGCATGATTGGCCTGGTTACAAACGGGGAAGGTTCAATTGCAGTATGCGCAACCGCAATCTCACCGACTTCACTAGCCTCAGTGACCTCGCTGATGTCGGCAATCTCGCTAGGCTCCTCAAGCTCGAATGAGTCATTCTTGAGAGTTGGATATCTCACAGGCGATGGTGTCTGCTTCTTGACTGACCTGGTAATCTCTTCCTGGAGAGCAGCTTCGAGTGCCAAGCTTGGTGTGGTGGGATAGTCGGGCAACTCAGCAAGAGCGCGGCGAGGAGTCATCGGTGCCTTGATGTGAGCAGGAGTCTTGGGATAATCGGGGAGCTCGGCCAATGCTGCTTTGGAGGAAACAGGAGCAGAGATGTGAGCTGGGGTCTTTGGATAACCCGGAAGCTCAGCCAACGCCGCTTTAGAAGTTACAGGGGCAGAGATATGAGCAGGGGTCTTGGGGTAATCCGGGAGCTCGGCCAATGCCGCTTTAGAAGTTATGGGAGCGGAAACGTGAGTTGGTGTGGTAGGGTATGCGGCTGGAAGTTCCTCGAATGCTTCCTGGTCAGTCATACCGCAGACGACCTCGGCAGAGGGAGTGCTAGAAATGTCGGCAGTCGAGTTATCTACTGTTATAGCGGCCGAGCTAGAGGTATCAGGCTGGACAGTCACAGGAGACCTTGCAGCGGATGTGGAGATGTCAACTGTAGCATCGAGGTCCTCGCGCATTTCCTCCTCTTCGATGTGAGGGTACTCAACGTGCTGAGAATCCTCTGATACCACTGTCGTGACATGCTCCTCGGCCTCAGAAACCGTTAAGACCTGGCAGGCCTCGCTCTGCTCTACCGGCTCGTTATCCTCAACATCCTCCATGGCGACGTCGTTGTACTCATGCTCAATGACATCGACATCATCTTCCTGGGCGGCTGCTACAACGGGTGCAGTGATGTGCGCAGGCGGCGTGGGGTATCCTGCTAGTTCTGCAAGACCCTGCTCGTTTGACAGAGGCGCAATGACGTGGGATGGTGTAGTCGGGTAGCCCGGTAGTTCAGCGACGGCTTCCCTAGAAGTCATTGGGGCAGAGATGTGTGTGGGTGTTGTAGGGTAGCCAGGAAACTCCGCGAATGGCTGCTCGACAACCTCGACGACTGACTCTTCAATCACTTCTATGGCTGGCTCGTCAGCCACCGCGATGACCGGTTGTTCAATTGCCTCTTCAACTGGCTCTTCTGCCTCTTCAACTGCCTCGACAATTGGCTCTTCGACTACTTCAGCGATTGGCTCTTCAGCTGTTTCGACGACAGCCTCAGGCTCAGCTTTCGTCTTGGGAACAGCAGTGGCCTTCTTTGTAGGCTTCCGGGCCGGTGCCTTGAGAGGCGAGTCTTGTGAAACTGCCGGGGCATTGCGACCACGTGTGGCTCTGGGTGCGATGACGGGGGCTGGAGCGGATGCCGAGGCTTTGGGTACTGGTGGCTTGCGGGTTCGAGTTGCTGGCTTAGCCGGCTCACTGACGGTGGTTTTCTCGGTGGCAGCAGGCTCGCTCTTCTTGGTGGTGGGCGCCTTCTTTACGGGTACAGGTGCTTTGCGTACCCTGGATGTTGCTTTAGGTGCCTCTTCGACAGCAGGCTCTTCGGCAACAACAGGCTTCTGAAGTTTGGGTGCAGGTGCCTGCTTTACTGCCGCGATCTTGCGTGTACGAGTGGCTGCTGGCTTGGGCGCCTCTTCGGTAATTTCGGGCTCCTCTGCAGCGGCAGGTTCCTCAGCCTTGCGACCACGCGTCGCTCTTGTTGCTGGAGCAGGTGCAGGCACAGCTCTCGTCTGGACCTTGACTGTGCGCGCTGTCTTTGTTGCGACCGTCTTCTTAGCCATGGGCGGCTCGGCATCTTCAGGCTCAGCCTTCGCCTTGCGCTTCACAGCGGTTGTCTTTGTGGGTTTGATTGGGGAAGGCGCGAGTTCGTCGATCTCATCGACTGCCTTCTTCCTGCCGCCGCGTTTGGGAGGGGCGTTGAGTGTGTTTGAGGGCGCAGAGGTGGCCTCTGGGGCTTTCTTCGCACCGCGGCGTGTAGCGACCATGATTTTTGTCGACGTTCGCTGTCTTCGTGGTGTGTCGTTGTCGATCTGGTGTGAGACAGGTTCAGTCGAGGTTGTGAACGTGCTTGCCGTGTTGTGTTGTCAAAGCGCGAACACACACTAACCTCATTTGGACATGTGTTGTCCTGACAACAATCGCTTAGCGACCAATGGCCTGGTCCCGGCGGCAGGGCAATCTAGGGACGATCTTAGATAACGCTCGATTGTGGAGGATAACCACGGTTAATCTAAATGCAATCTATGTATTCGGCTTCTCTCGTTGATCATTTCACGTGGCTATGCGTATGACTTCCATGCCAACCCCACATATCAATACTCTCGCGTCTGTAACATCATCTCCTTCATCAAGCACCGCCATGCTGGACACATCTGCAACATTCGTCTTGATCTTGCCCAATCTCTGGATCACCAATGCATCTTCAAGCTCTGCTGAAATCTCATGTCTGACTTCATCATCATTGTTCCGAAGGACAATCTCCCACAGTCGGACCCACTCGTCATTTCCTGATGTGACTAGGAGAACGCGTGATTTGTGCTTCAAGAGACTGCATGATGTCACTGCAGAGCCATGTGCACGACTGGCGAGGATTGGCGGCGAAACGTAAGAGGTCGCCGGCGAAGTCGACGAGTGTGAGGATGTAGATTGTGCGAGTATACACGCCAGGCTGCCATCATCTCCGCCAGACACGATGAGCCAAGTGTCTGCATCGACGGAATGGCATGCCATGGCCTTCGAAGAGTTCTGGTGTATCCTTGCCGGATGATGCCATGCCAGCTGAAGGGTCGGATCAGAAGAATCGCCTGACAATCGTTCTGTCTCGGTTGCCAGCGGCCATATCACAGCATGACCATCTGTACCAGCTGTCAAGACCTTCGTTATAGATAGGAACATACATTGCGTTAGGCAGGATGTGAAGTACAGGCCTTTCGCAAGAGGCTGCCACTTCACAGTAACAGTAGGGTCAAAACGGTAAACCTTGTGTGTGTCAGTGCTTTGTGATAGCACGAGTAAGGAACTAGCTCACCTTGATGCTAGAGTCTGAGAATGCCATTGCAATAGTATGTGCAGATCCCAACGTGATTACATCGAAAGACATAAGCCTCAAGTCCGCATGCTCACTTTCTGGCACGAATACATGTTCACATACTACTCCGATATCGACAGCAGATGTCAATAAGTCACGAACCCGCCATACGTAGACTGCAAGGAAAATCAGCAACACACTTGCACGACTAAGCAGAGGCCTTACATTCTTCACAGCCACCACTGCTGAACAAATACTCGCCGTCATGCGACCATTGCAGATGCTGAATGCCTGTGGTGTGTTTGCGAATAGTCCTTCGGCAAGCGAAATCTTTCTCAGCGTACTGGAAGATCTTGATATCGGTGTCCTCGGCGCCAGTAGCGATAAGTTGACGAGATCGGCTTCCACCTTGTGGTGAAACCGCTACCGCCTTGATTTCACGCCCGTGACCCCCTGGTCGAATGACAGCATGATTTGCTCCGTTCTGACTGCAGATATGCATACTAGAAGCTCGTGTCCACACGAGAGTACCTCCTACAGACAAATGCGACCGGAAGGTCCAACTCCTATGTGCTCCTCCGGTGTCGATGCTCATGACCTCCTCTTCGTTAGTGACATCATAAAGGTACCATTTCTTGCTTGAGAAACCGTGTATGAAGAGTCGCCCATCCTGGACGTATAACCCTTCGATGTTGGGCCCGAATGGAAGCGCAAGGTCATGTACCAATTCGACTATATTCGCAGATGAACCAAGTTGGTGCACGCAAAGACGTCCATCCCTTCCTACTGAGAACAGATGGCCAAGCCCAGTAGCTTCACATGAGGGTTTCCATGTGAGCGAGGTAACTGCTTCTCCTCCATGTGCTTTGTCGATGACTCTTAGCAAAGTAGCCTCATGCTTGCCCTCCTCATCGTTGTGGACGTTAAAAAGCGCAATCGATCCACGTCGGAACCCGACCATAACAAAATCCCTGCCGGATGCTCTCGCATATGTCATGCTGGTGATGACAGAACCGGTCGAAGAGTCCGCTACGGGTATTGGTATGACTCTCTGAATATTTGTGCTGCAATTAGGATCCACATATAATAGTCGCGCTTCACCTTGACCAACGAGAGTTACAAGAAGAACTGTCGAACCTGGACCATCAGAATTTACCAGCTCGGCAGCGAATATGTCTCCGATCTTACTACCAACGGCATAGAGGCTTGTGAAGGTAGCCGAAATCTTGCTATAAACATAGATATTGCCGCTGCCACCAGCAACGTAAGCGAAACCAGGACGAGACCCACTCGTACAAACGGAGTAACCAGAAAGGTCTTCTAATCGATCAAGTAGAGTCGAATCTGAAAGGAGACTTGATTGGTTATGAACCTTGGTGGATGATAATGTACCGATTAGTACGTTCCCAGAATTTGTCGTAAGCAAGAACGAGGTCTCGTCTACAAAGCAGTAGCTTCTGAAAAACTCTGCTTTCTTTGAAGGTTTTGGGGGCTGCACCAGTCCACTTTTGTCAAGACCTGTTTCGGCCACTTGCGCCCATGACAGTATGTCATTTACAGTATACTCAGCGATCGTACCGCGCAGGTTCTTCTCTGCTTGCAAGACGCGAGTGAGTGGGGTAGCTGTGACTTTACTGTCAGAGCCACCTGCAATAACCTGCTGGACTCCAGTCGAGACATCAGAGACAACTGAAGACCACAGATTCTTTCCGCTATGATGCGCTGCGCAATCAAGTTCCAATAACTTATAGAGAAAGTTTGCGCTATTTCCAGGGTTGGGCGTGAGTTCCCACGTTCGTGCGGTGGCATCTTCACCGGCAGATTGGAGCAGCAATGACCCATTGCATGGGGATGCTTCGAGAAACCGAACTGACCAAACGCGCGAGAGATGTCCCCATCCTATCGCGAGACAGCTTGAACTATTGAACTCGTCTGAGTCGAAAGCCCCGTTAGTGAAGCCGGTATGACGCGTCCTTAGAACTTCCAGGTCATTGTCATCAGCCTCCGAAGTAGTCGCACTCGTAATCACATCTGAAACATCCCATATCCGGATGGTGCGGTCGTCGCTGCAACTTGCTACTACCCGCCTTAGTTTTTGGCAGCATCCAGTAGGCAGCTCTTTTGAAATTTGAACACCAAAGATCGAGCCCTCATGACCCAGAAAGACGCGGTGGATGCGTGAAGCCGGAGCATCGGGGATACCATCGCACCATGACCAGTATATTATCTCGCCAAATGCTGTGCCAGCGGCCACGAGGACGCGGTCCAGATTTTCCCAGAAAAGGTGGGCCGAGTAGAGGATGGATCGGGAACTAGAGGTAAGGTCGAACACAGAGACATCAAGACCACTGAGATCAGAGTGTCAGTAAAGAAATTTGGACAGGACTGATCAAAGTTTGGTGTGCGCACTTGGTATTCTGGGTTGTGTCTGACTTCCTTTGTTCAATCTCAACCTGCACTAGTGCGTTGTGAGCAGTGACAGCAATGCAGACTGCTTTGTGATATTGGGAATCGTCATCCAAGCTTTTTGGTCTAGGAGCAAGATCAAGAATCCAGTCTGAAGCTTTTGCGATATTAGAAAAACACAAGCTCAAGCCTTGTACGTCAACTTGGCCTGCGAGGTGGATTTCAAGAGCGCGGACAAGTCTTCCACCCCAGATGACTAGCTTAATGGTATGGGCATTTTCTCCTGAAAACACACGTATTCCATGAACGGCTTGGGCTTTGAAGACGCGTTTTGAGGATATGTACCGCGAGTCCTTGGCATGGTGGAAGCGTAGAAAGGGGCCTTCGGCGACGATGAGCAGAGCGCCGCAAGAAGCCAGTGCCGTCACGGGTACGCGAGTACACTCATGCTAGGGTAATCAGCTCATGTCCCCCTATACGCAATGCAAACTCACGTGCAGGGTTGGAAACATTGGCGAGGAAGCATCACATGCGAGAGTGTTGTTCATGATGGGAAAAATTGGGGTTGAGTCAGCCCCGCGCGCCGCTGCAGGTGAAATGTGTGGCGGGGCAATGACGGAGTGTTCCCGCGATTTTTTGACAGTCTCGCGCGCAGACTATCACAATAACCACCTGCCTTACTCGCCCATCACCTCACTCGACTATCGACACCCTCAGTCCGATCATCTACTCAACTACAAATTCCCGAATACACCGCAAACATGTCTCTCGCTGGCCCCCTAGGCACAAGCATCAACCCGGAGGAGACGGAGAACTTCGAGGATGTACGTGCGCCGCAACGCAGGGAGGTGGACAGTGATCGCTAACAGCCTGCGTAGATCGAGAAGCAGTTTGCTGTCAAAGGTATGATGCGCATGATACGACACTCGCGACTAGTCTGACGTCCCCCCTTAGTTGTGCAGCATATGGAAACATACTGGAAGATCCTCGAGAAAGTACCCGGTTCCAAGCTGCGACTCACAAAGATCGATGACGAAATCTACGAACACCTCAAGAAGGACTTTCCTGAATTCGACGCGTCCGCCACACTGAACGAGGACGAGATGAAGAGCAAGGACGGCAAGGAGCGATGGCGCAAGTTCATCAGCGAGTACGAGAAGAAGGTGGAGGACTACAACTTCGGCACAATGCTCCGCGCGAGCCCCAAGATGGAGTATAGCCAAGAAGGCACAATTTTTGCGGTGCGCATGCAGTTCTACGCTATTGAAATCGCACGGTAAGCGGCACATTGGACGGCTCGGCGCGCTCCATACTGACTTTGGCAGCAATCGGGAAGGCCTGAATGACTGGATATACGAGAAGGCGCAGGGCAACTAGATCGCCCCAGATTGATCCTGAGAGAACTAAATCCGAAGCCGCATTATCCTAGAAAGGGTTGCCAATACTTAGCTGCATTGTCGACATCCGGGCCGTAACTTGTCCGCGCATTCGAGCTGACCTTCTTTGTTAGCCGTCCAACTATACCGATCTGTGAACAGCCATCCTGTAAGCAACACACTCAACAGTGAGGCGGTGTCTTCATCTGACCACCAACGTTGTGATCAACGTGTAATCTGTGTGAGTAGTGAAGTTAGACCTATTGCGCATATCCAAAGATAAGGCCAGCAAGAGCGCTACATGCGCTCGGTGTGCCAGTTTTAGTTTGTCACATATTCAAAAGCTTTACCAGGAATCTAAGCACCTTGTCTTCTCTCAAATGGTCGGAAGAGCCGGCACAATTCTGCGGCTTTCTACGAAGACTGCGACTGGTGGCTTGTGAACAATGTTAAGAGCAAACAAGGTAAGCGATGAAAGCGGGTGTTCGAGAATATCTCAAGACCGCATGGCCGCCACCCTAGTCCGCATACGGTAGTTCCTTCTGCGCTCACTCCATACTCCCGCTACATCGCTTTCAACTCTTATCAATTTTAATATTTCACGATCGTTCTTGTTTTTGAAGTCGTGGTCCCCGGACTTCCGATATGACGACAACTTCTAGTTTCGACATTACGGCTGATCGCGAAGAGATACCGTCCCAGACACATGAAGAGCAGGATTACATATCACGGGTTGGCTGGAGGACGTTGTTTGCCTTCACCACAAACAAACATGTTGTCGTACTTGTCGGCGGTATCTTCACGGCGTCCCTCGCTGCCCTTACCATGCCTGTTTTCGCGATCCTTTACGGTCTCGTTTCTGGTCAATACACAAGCTATGGCAAAGGGGAGATAGACAGTGACCAGTTTATCAGCAACATTGCCAAGCTCTGCATAATTCTCACCGGCATCGGAACCCTCAATTGGATTGCGAATAGTTTATACTTTATGTTCCTTCTTGTGTTCGGAGAGCTCCAGGCGAGGAGCGCGCGCGATAGGGTCTTCGATGCCCTACTCAAGAAGGACATGGCTTGGTTCGATACGCGAGAGTCTGGTATCACTGCATTCCTGCCGACACTGCAGATGTAGGTATCACCTCACTCTCGTACAAGTCATAATGACTAGCCGCTAACGAAGGGCAGGCACATCCGCGACTTGCAGCTGGCCGTGTCGTCTCCTTTTGGAGAGGCTGTACAATCACTCGTACAGGGGGTAGCATCCTTGGGAGTCGCATTCTATTATTCATGGAATTTGACCTTGGTCATTTTGTGTACCACACCAGCACTATATTTGGTCCAATCGTTTGTCGCAAGTCGGTTATCACTGCGTGTACAGGAGCAAGCCAAAAAACTACACTCTGGACTCAAGTACATCACAACAGCATTGACAAACATCGAAACGGTCAAATGCTTCAATGGCGAACGCTACGAGCTACATGTTTTCTCAAACATCATCACTCTCGCAGCGAACTCGTACAGATGGGTGGCCAATTTTCGCTCGATTCAGATCGGCATCATGCAGTTCTTTACACTCAGCGTCTTCGTTCAGGGCTTTTGGTACGGCAGCCACCTGGTCGATATTGGAGACAGTACTCCAGGGGGAGTCTTTACAACATTTTGGGCAGTACTCATGGCAATGTCTGGAATGACCCAGATAATGCCCCAACTGATCGTATTGTCTAAAGGCAAGACGGCGGGCGCCAAATTGAGCTTGCTCACGAAGCAGATGTCAGAAATCGATCAGCAACTTGAGTCGCAAGGTCGGAGACGACCTGCACGGTGTCCGGGCGATATTGAGTTTCGAAAGGTAACACTCGTCTTGTCTGTGTCATATAATAGCTGATTGACCAGGTCACATTCTCATACCCAACACGAAGGAGTGAAGTTGCTATTCGTGATGCCTCGCTGTTCATTCCAGCTGGGGAAACGACTTTTTTCGTCGGCAAAAGCGGTTCCGGGAAGAGCACATTAGGCCAACTTCTCGTACGCTTCTACCAGCCTTCTTTGGGACAAATATTTCTGGACAAGCTACCACTTGGAGAGTTGGACGTGCATTGGTTACGGCAAAACGTCACGCTTGTCGAGCAATACGGCGCGCTGTTCAACGACACTATCCATCACAATCTTACGCTCGGGAGCGTACGCGATACGGTTGATATGCAAGAGGTTCACGACGCGGTCAACTTTTCCAGGCTAGAGCCTTTCATAAATGGGCTTCCAGACGGATTGGATACCAGTCTTGGTATAAAGGGTGATTCGCTGAGTGGAGGGCAAAAGCAGAGGATGGCTCTGGCTCGAGCTAAGATTCGAAACTCGCCGGTACTCATCTTGGACGAATCGGTTAGTTCTCTCGACTACGTCACGAGGGCGGAAATGCTCGAAGCCATACGAAGCTGGAGGAAGGGGAAGACCACGATCATCATTACTCACGACATCTCTCAAATTCGGCCTGATGATTTCCTATACCTGCTAGACAATGCACGGGTAGTGCAAGAGGGATATCGAAAAGAGCTGGAGTCTCAAGTCGGAGCTTTCCAAGCTTTCCTCGATATAGGGAAGGAAACTGATCAAGCTCATGAGGATGGTAAATTGGATAGTGATGGCGATCTCTATACAAGAAACGAGACCGATGGTATCACATTACTGTACGACGAGCCACGAATGCCTGAAGTCAATTCGATACAACGGCCGCTCTCTGCCGTTCACTTTGAACAGCGGATGCTGGTGCCATTTCTTGGGAAAGCTCGTGCATCTTGGGCAGGAGCTGAAAAGGCTGACCTCATCAAGTACTCAAGACAATCCGTTCATACAAAGGAGGGTGATCGAGGCAGGCAGTCAGAACTAACTTTAACACCCGAACTATTGGAGAGTGTCGAACCATCCTGGGATGTGATAGAGTTGAAGCAGCTCGGGAGCCCAGACAAGTCACGCTTTACCGGGGAAACGTTCTTCTCGAAAGATCATGGCTCAAGGCCAGGCTCTCCAGCTTTCGAAGCCCCACCAAAGTCGGAGGCACAAATATGCTCTATGTCATTTTCGAAAGAAATCGATTCTCGTCCAGTATCCAGACCATCAACGCGATCAGTCTTGCGGATAGACCCACATCCACAGCCCCTTACAGTCCGCGAGCTTGTCCCGATTCAATTGGAACCACCGAAGAAGCGGCTGAAAAACAACAAGTCTTTTCCCAAGATTGGCCTCTCTCGTCAAAAGGTTTGGGAGGAAGAAAATACTTCGACATCCTCTCTACCTATGAAGGACATTTTCACGTCTATATGGCCCACTATAGGCTGGGGCTCTCGTCTCCTTTTCTTAGGAGCGATGCTTAGCGCGACGATCCAGTCTGCATGTACACCGACCTTCGCATGGGTATTTGCGAAGCTTTTGAGTACATTCTATGATGCTTCTGCCGATGACCAACAAGCTCGCAATTATGCTCTAGCTATTCTTGGCATTGCTGCTGTCGACGGACTTACAAGCTACTTCATGTTTTTTCTTTCCGATACAGTGGCACAAACATGGGCTCTTTCATTGAAGAAGGAAGCCATGCGCCGCATCCTTATGCAGCCACGAGAATTCTTTGACAAGGAGGAGAATAGCATATCACGCCTTACTGAGACATTAGACCACTTTGCTGAGGAAGCGCGGAATCTTCCAGGGCGATTTGCTTGTATCTTCCTCGTTATCTCCCTCATGATCGTCATCGGGATTAGTTGGAGTATGGCTATAGCATGGCAGTTGGCGCTCGTTGCTCTTGCAACGGGTCCAATACTCTTCGCAATCACCCAATGCTACAACATGATCAGTAGCCGCTGGGAAAGACTATCGAACGAGGCTGATGATAATGTTGGTCAAGTGCTCCACGAGACGTTCGTCAACATCAGAACTGTCAGATGCTTGGCATTGGAAGGTCACTTCAGAACGAAATACAACAACGCAACCACCGAAGCAGTGAACGTCGGCATCAAGCGAGCGATATATTCTGGATCCATCTATGGACTAGCATATACTGGGATTATCTTTGTCGCCATATTACTCTTCTGGTACGGAGGGTTGCTCATATCGTGGAACAGGTATTCTGTCACTGAAGTAAATGAGTGTTTCTTGGTGCTCATGCTCAGTGTCAATCACGTCAGCTACTTGTCAAACTACATCACGCAGATCAACATCTCTCGAGACGCAGGATCCCGCTTACTACGCCTCGCACGGCTTCCAACAGAATCTCACGAACTCATTGGCACAACTCAAATCCAGTCTGCAGGCAATATTTCCCTCAACAAAGTCCATTTCAGATACCCAATACGAAAGGATGTTCAGGTACTGCACGATGTTTCCTTCAACATTCCACAAGGAAGCTGCACTGCTATTGTCGGTTCTTCTGGCTCGGGAAAATCGACGATCGCCTCTCTCCTCCTCAAACTATACCAAACAGACGGCAAAACAACTACGTCGTCAGACTCTGCGGGTAGCATGAGCGTCTCAAATCACAACGTCAAAGATCTACACACCATCACTCTCCGTTCCCGGATGGCATTGGTGTCGCAGAAGCCTGTCATCTTCCCTGGTACCATTGCAGAGAATATTGCGTACAGTCTCTCCCCTCCCTACCCCAAGGAAATCATTGAAAGTATTCATGCAGCCGCTCGTGCAGCCGGTGTATCCGAATTTATCGATAGCTTGTCGCAGGGCTATGATACACTCATCGGCGAAGGCGGAACAGGGCTATCTGGTGGCCAAGCTCAACGCATCTCCATTGCACGCGCGCTCTTGCGGAACCCTGATGTCTTGATCCTCGATGAAGTGACCAGTGCGCTAGACGTAGCTTCTATCAACATCATCCGCGACACGATTCTCCGTCTTGTTAACGATGACAATGAAACGTCGTCCCCCATCTCTCCACCACTATCGCCTCACGCTCGTTCAGGTGGAATCTGGGATGGTGTGGATAAGGACTGGGATATCAAAGTTGCTAAGCATCAAAAACGGATGGCTGCAAAGGGTGGCGAGAAGGGCAAGCAGCCGAGAAAACGGATGACAGTCATTATCATCACGCACGCGCGAGAGATGATGGCTATTGCTGGGCATATCGTCGTGATGGATAGGGGCAGGGTAGTCGAGCGGGGGAGTTTCAAAGAGTTGAAGAAGAAGGGAAGCGCTTTCGAATTGTTGCTGAGAGGCGTGAGGGAGTAGGTAAAGATGGCATGGTGAAAGTGGCCATGACCTTCACTATGAGAGACTTCTCTGTATATAGTTTAACGAATGTTTAACACAGATTGTTTTCGTAACAGTTTGGTGGTGAACGTCATAAACAAAACATTGATTTTATTATTCATAGCTATGAATTCTCTTCTTACAGCCCGCATATGCTTCTTACAGCTGACCAATAGCCAAACTCTGAAGTTTCGGACTTCCAGTCGATGGGCATGTGAGAGAGAAGTCAAAGTGAAATTTGGGCCTCGTTCAAGACAGAAAGAAATACCATTTCCAGGTGTACGACAGAGGTACCGTAATCATGTAGCGAACGAGGAGATTGTGCAATTTGGTCGTAAAGCAAAAATGAACGCAAACAATATAGGAGATAGTGCTCGTGAAGACACACCCAATAAAAGGGCGTGATTCAAGAGTGTGGGCGTACCCGGCTCGATCGCCAGACGTAACGACAGCTTTTGGGCTGACCACTTTGGAAAGATGAAGGACATGACGCTCCGGCGAACCAGCTGCTAGGGCTTTTGCTCATCTCTTGACCAATATTGGCATGATGTGATGCAAATTGAAGGGTCATATGGTCACTGTATAGTCCAGTGTCTGTCCCGCTTAAGCCTCGTTTTGTGGAAGACGCTCATGCCCTGATCGCGTTCGGCGTTCGGTTCGAACAATGATGGTTCTAGAAATTTCGTCTACTACGTCGGTGTTGACGCTAATCGTTCAATTGGCTAGTTCGGTTCCCAAAGCTTTCGCCTGCCTCCGCCACGGACTGGGCCCACTTTGGGGGCGGGACGAGAGAACGAATCTGGGTCTAGAGGCGCATTCGGATCATGACGAGGAGCTGGCGGAGCTCGGAAGACTGGTCCTGGAGGGACATATGCGCCACGCGGTGCAAAGTTTCCACGACCCCGAAAGGATGGTGCGCCGCGACCTCGAGGCGACGGCATATGACCTTCACGTCCACCACGAGGGGACTGATGCTGGCTTGTACGTGCAAAATCGTTGGGGTCGAGGACGCGTTGGTTGTTCGTAGTAGCGGCGGGGCCTCGTGGAGCGCGCTTGAAAAGAACTTCGTCCTCGTCATCAGAATTGTCATCGGGCTTGCTCTCGACTGCGGGGCTGGACTTGGGTCGCTCTGCCGCTTTGGGTGCAGTGGAAGCGGTGCTCTTAGCAGCGGTCGCTTCGACTTCTATCTTGTAGATGGTCAGATGGTTCTTATACTCGCGGTCTTCACGAGCAACGGCATCGCGGAGCTGTTCGAGGCGCTTAGCACGGATGCCAAACTTTTGAGCGATGGTTTGCTTGGCTGAATCATTAGTGAGGAGAATGAAGGACTCCAGAGCTGCATCGGGGTTGCCCTCTTTATTGATGCGCCACAATATGTGGTTGAAGAGGGGCTGGAGATATACGGGCACAGCGCCCTTGGGCGACTTGTCGGTGCGGGCGATGTCGCTGCTGCTGTGAGCGGCGCGAGCGGGTGATGTCTTGAGCAGCGTGGCTGGCTTGTCGGCGTGTGGGGCGCCATGGGCAGGTTTGGATGCCTTGCTCGCACGCGAACGAGGTGACTCGGGGGTTTTGGACGCGCCCTCGAAACTGTGTGTGGAGCTGATGGAAGTGCCGTCAGACATGTCGAGGGCGTTGAAAGAACTCTCTAGGTCTTCGTGGTAGTCGTCCTCGTCGGACTCGCTGTCCTCCATCGAGAGCAATGTCTCGGGTAGCAGGAAGTGCTCCACCTCTGCCCATGTAGTATACGCTTCATCCACGCCCTCGAGGATAACGCGGCTAGCGCCTTCGTTGGACGTGGCTTCGTCGAGCCATTTGACGGCTTCGCGGGCATCGGCGTTGACGCGCTCGGTGCCATTTGTAAGGCGATGGAGCTGGGTGAGGGCTTGTCATGGTGTTAGTGAGGAGGCTGGGAAGCTGCGATACTATAGCCTACTGTGCAGCGGTACATAAAGGCGTATGGCGTCCTGGGCGATCCACTTGCGGATGCCGTCGCGGGTGCTCTTCTTGACACCTGCGATCAAGGCGGTATCATCGACGATACAGCTGAATACCTTGCGCTTTGGTGGCTCGGGTGCGCGCATGGCGGCGGCCTCGGGCTTGCCAGACCGCGGCGGAATGGTGCTGCGACGCATGCTTATTTTTGTTGTGCCTTGTAGGCGATGGTAGTGAGGGTTGTGGCAGCGATCGGTTATGGTGTGCGCGGTTGAGGGCAGACAGGTTGGTTTTGTGAACCAAGGTTCCGGCTTGAGCAGGCCCAAGTGCGGGTTTGTGGTTGGGCGCCAGGTCAATTTACAGCTGTCGGCGCAGTGTTTCAAGGCGAGCGCATTATGTTTGCGCTCGTAGGTGGCGGCGCAAAAGCGAGTGCATGTGAGTCAGTCTTGGGCATGGCGCAGAAGACCATGGTCGTTGGTGTGACTGTCAAGGGTGGGCAAGTGAAGTTCGGGCCCGCATCACCGCACGATGATGAGGTGCTCACGCCAAGTGGGGTGCGCCACTCCCCCAGCCACACCATCTGAACAGGCAAACCAGTCTTGCATTTCATTTCATTCCAAAGACGATATCCTCCGGTACTCAGTAACTCTCAACCTCTCTGGCACTGCTCATGTCCGGCATCCAGCCCTTGGGGCGCTCGTTGCCACGCACAGTCAAACCGTATAGACCTTTCTCTACCTTGTCTACGCACTCGCGCATCACAGGCATCTTCTTTGTCTCTAATTCTGCTGCAAATTTGGATCCTCCTGGTGCGTCAAACATCTCGAGTTGCAGTCGAATCGCCCTCAGGTCGTCCAAGACAGTCCGTGGCTTCTGCGCCTCACTTGCAGCTGGTGCTTGCTCATCGATGTCCATCTTGTCGACAGCGTCATCCTGATTGTTGTCTTGCTTGAGCCTTTTGTTTGATTCTGTTTGTTGGCCAGATGGTAGCTTGCCACTAGTAGCCATGCTTGTAACGGAGAAGCGCATGAGCTCGCCAGTCATGTCGCAAACACCGAGAATGTAGTCTTCTGGCGTGAACGCGATTGGTCCAGCTTCACCACTCATGGCAGCAATGTGTGACTTGGCTTCATCGTACGAAATGAGCGATTGCGTTTCCAGGTAGTGCTGAAAGCTGAGCGCTTCCATGAACTCTTGGTTGCCGCCCGTGATGTTGTGCGAGTAGCGGTAGGCATTGAGACCTTGGAGATCGGCAGCAATGTTCTTGTATCGGTCTTCAATCGTCTCCCAGTATTCTGCATTCTTCTTGGTAACCCACGTTGGTACTGCTTGACCGACGGCGCGAACCCTTGTCAGGTCAGTATCTATTTGGTGAGGTCATTACGAAGACCTACCTCTGGAGAGTGAAGATACTGCCGTATTGTTAGTATTCTGCTAGAGAGCTTTCGATCATTGTTCTATACATCTTCTTGCTCGATGCGGTGATGTCACGCGACGCCTTGATGATTCTCTCTCGTCGATCATGGTGCTCGTCTAGCTCTGCACGGAAGCCTTCGAACATCGCCACGAAAGGTGACGAAGCTTGGTCTGGCTTCTCGTCCGCCATTTCTGCGTCTCTTGATCGTTTGAAGCCCATGGATCTGCGTTGATAGTGAGTGTATACATAATGTCAGACAGGCGCTGGGATTGTCCGCTAGTGCACGTCCTCACGTGGGCGCTATTTCGTTTACGGATTAGCCACTTTCGGCTGCCCTTTCTCTAAGGAAGCCAACCCTCCCTATTGCCCCGAATAACGTCAGATTCACCGTTCAGCATATCCGTTCGCGACCCTTTCTATCTCATACGCTCAGTTTCTGCATGTATTCTGAGTGTGCTGGGGGTCTACCACTCTAATGAAAGCATGGCTCTATCCTCCTTTTTCCACAGTCCACCATTGGTATTCACAACATCTGTTGTGCTAAGAGCCGTTTTCCTGATATACGGACTCTGGCAGGACGCCAATTCGCCTATGAAATATACCGACATCGATTACTATGTCTTCACCGATGCTGCTCGCTACATCTCGCGCGGCCAGTCCCCTTACGCACGAGACACGTATCGTTATACGCCTCTACTTGCATGGCTCATATATCCTACTGTATGGTCTGGAAAGTTCTGGTTCTCGTTTGGAAAGATCTTGTTTGCGGTCGGCGATGTGGCTACGGGATGGATGATGTTCCGCATCTTGAAAGAGTACAAGAAGATGAGCGATAAAAGAGCCTTGAAGTTCGCAAGCATCTGGTTGCTCAATCCAATGGTTGCGACTATCAGTACAAGAGGTAGCTCCGAAGGGCTGCTAGGGGTCTTCGTCACTGCGCTGTTATGGGCAGTGCTAGCAAAACAGAGACCGCTCGCTGGATTCTTGCTCGGGTTTGCAGTACATTTCAAAATTTATCCATTCATTTACGCAGCTTCTATCGTCTGGTTTCTCGATGATACTCAGATGGAGGCGGAAGGAACTGCTCAGGCGGAATCGGCGCCGTCGCTTTTCGGCCGGATGCGCAACTTTCTCAACCCTGCGAGAATATACCTTGCGCTCTACAGCCTCCTTACATTTGCGAGTCTGAACCTTCTCATGTACAGCATGTACGGGTGGCCGTTCCTTGAACACAGCTATCTCTACCATGTGACGCGTAGCGATCACCGCCACAACTTTTCGCCTTATAACACGCTTCTCTATCTAAAGTCCTCGCCAAACCCTACCAATGTGGGACCCGCAACACAGTCCTTCGGATTGGAACGTCTGGCGTTCCTTCCACAATTGCTCCTCAGCGCTGTATTTACGCCTTTGGTGCTAGCAAAGAAAGACCTCCCAAATACCATGTTAGCGCAGACCTTTGCATTCGTAACCTTCAACAAGGTCTGCACAAGCCAGGTAAGTACTGTATCGTTTCATCAGCCCTGCGTTGACGTTAATCTCTTCTAGTACTTTCTCTGGTACATGATGTTCCTCCCATACTATCTACCGGACTCGACCCTTCTCCAATCTTCGTCTATTGGCATTCCTGCGCTCGTCTTCTGGATCGTGGGCCAAGTTGCCTGGCTACAACAAGGCTTTCAGCTCGAGTTCAACGGCCATTCGACCTTTGTTCCAGGACTCTGGGTATCTAGCATAATTTTCTTTCTTGTCAATTCTGCGATCTTAGGTATCATTATCTATGACACCAAACAGAACAGACTGTTTGGAAATGTGGTGGTAGAGAAGAGAGCTTTATAGCAGGCTGTCAAAAATCACGATTCGCACGCCGTCATACATTAATAAGCTCACAGGAGGAGCTCTACTCTACAATCCAAATCTATCAGCATCTCTAACAGCGATACCTGCATTATGTTTGAAAGGGACATTCAGCCTTCTTTTCGCCTTGCAACACCCTGTCGTATTCTTCCTCTTCCGCAGCCTTTACCAATATAGAGACGCCTTTGCCTGCATTCCACTCGGCATCCACCAAGACCTTTGTCAGGCTGCAGTCCCAAAAACCTGACTTACAATACTGACTGTGGGGTTTCACCCACCTCCAGAGCAACTTGCACCCTTCGGGAACTAGGTCCCCGTTTTCATCTCCGAGGATCGTGATGCTAAGAATGTTCACTTCCACTCCATCGCCATTAGCGTTGCCGGCCTTTGAGTCCCGCAAACTGGCGACAAGCTTCGATGTCATCTCTCCATCTTGAGACGATATCTCTAGAGATTCAATCTGGCGTTGGAAGAAGTCTGCGAGGCCAAGTTCGGGAGCTGGAATGCACACAACGCCGAAATCCTCGCATGAATCGACAAGCTGGATTTGAGCGAGCTTAAGCGGCGTATGGAGCTGTATGTGAGAGCGTGAGGTGAATGACGACGGCTTCCAGTAACTGATAATAGTCGAGGAGTTGGACGTGGTAGGGATGGCTACGAAGAGAGTATAAGGGCGAAGCCTACGTAGATCTGGATTCAGATTCAGACCCTAAAAGGAGTCAGCGAAGCTTCTCATCGGTACCTCCTGAGATAGCGCGTGTAAATCTCACTAGACTCGGCGACTTTTGTTGCATTTTTGTCGGGTTTCTCTCGCGCCATAGGGCAGAGCAGTTTATCTAGGTAGGTTCTGTGACTTTAATGCCACTTGCGTGAACGAGTCCAAGGAAACTTCCCTCGCGTGCGTGCAAGTGAGATGATTGTTGGTCGTTTAAAACGCTTAGGGTAGTATGATGATGCTAAGTCTACGTTATTAGGCACAGCTCTTGAGGCACAGTAACCGTTGCAGGTATAGTGCCGGATAACCGGCGGGGTATAGACTCTCCCAAATATGCCTTATACCGATACTCACAACAGTAATACTCGTCCTGTATTCGGAAAAATACATTATTTATGTTCAGCTTAGTCTTGCGTATGCGCGAAAGGATCTGCAGCAGCAATACTCGTCTTACACTGAGAAGAACACACCGGTTATGTTCTTCTCAGTGTAAGGCGAGTATTGCTACTGCAGTTCCTATCAAGCATATTCAAGCCTTCAACCGTCTACACCACCCACGTTTACAACCTTATAGTCAGCCTTGCGACAGCCATGCACCACCTTGCCTCGTTCCCTCATCCTCTTCTTTGCACATTCTGCACACCCACCAAGGTACCAGTTCTTCCCGCCACAGATACGGCTGACTAGCTAGACCATAAGGATCGCGTCCCTCATGCCAACCCAGTCCGTGCTGAAACAACTGCCATTCTGCTTCCTTTGCCGATCTATGTATCTCGATTGTTGTCTTTTCTTCCGCCGCAGCTGCTGATCCGGTCTCAAAGACTGTGCTTTCCAAGGACTCGCGTGATAAGGAAAGATCTTCCTTGGCAGCCATTCCTTTGCTGTTTCTGCCGGTTTTAGGTTTACGCTTAGGAGCGACATTTGAAGTAGAAGACGGAATCACGGCAGCAGATCTCGTCTTTGAAGAGGATGTTGTAGTCATGGCATCAATCTGGTGAAGAGGTTCAGGATTGAGAGCCGTATCTGGTCCATCGTGTTCTTTGTTGAGATCGGATGCTGTCTTTGGCTTTTTGTTCGACCTGCGAGGCTCAGAAGTATTCCTCCTGACGGCGGTGTTGGCAATAGTGCTCCTGTTGATTGCTGTGAAGGACGATGGAGAGGAGGTTGCATGTAGACCGACCCCAGCTTGACGTATTGAACCCGGATCGTCTATAAGAGAAGCCAGGAGTTCGGTTACATCTCCCATAATATGCTACTATAGAGAACGAAAAAAAGCTTAGAATCCCGAGTGTACATTATATGAAAAAATTGACCTGTGCTAACGTTCGCAGTTTCCAGGATACGTAGTCGGCTAACCATGTTTCTAATGCGAACGAACCAAAAACCAGGATTACTTGCCCAATCAGCCATTTCCTGTTTGCAATGGTATATCAAGCATATTGCAGAACACCTCAACTGTAGTCTGGATTTTCGAAATGTCGGACTCAGAGGTTCGCATTTCATCTTCTAAAAGGGACTCAAAGCGTAGTCTAAGGACTACTTGACTATCATGACATGTCTCATATCACTGTTCTTCTCCGTCACATGCTCCCACCTCGACTTTGACATCCACGTTCTTCACCACTGTTATCTTCGCTTTCCTTCCTGCATTGTCTTCACCCATAGCCTCATCCTCAACCTTTGCAACTGTGACACTAGAAACAGGAACAACCCCCTCTCCATCATCCATCTCTTTGATTCCATACAGGATCTTTTGCAGAAGGCTACCTGGAGCCACCAATTCTCGCTTGTAAGAGAAGCGCTCTGGATCTGGGACGCCGTACAAAATGGCCTGGAGGACGCCTGTGTGCTTGGTATGAGTGGTGGAACTGCCATCAACAAGCGCAAACGTTGTGCCATCCTTGGGTTGCAGAAAAGAAGGAAGGAAATACGGCCATGGTTTGAAGATCGCTTCTACCTTCTTTGTCTCTTTCACAGCCTTCACGCCGTTCTCTGTCTCCGACGTCTTGAACCCCAGTAATGCTGTAGGCATATGTATGACCACGCTGGTTTGCACTGGGAGGAGAATCGGACGGAACGAACAAGGGTCAAAGGGTGAGTAAGTTGTCATCGAGCCAAATTCTTCTTCGAGTTCCTAGTCAAAGACTGTTTCCTTATCGAAGAGGTTTGAGAGAAGTGTACGGTGCGCGCACCGAGTAATGTGCTGACGTGCAGCGACTTTTGTAATTTTGCGAAACATCGTAGTACTGTAGTTGATGCCAAACCCGAGTCTCTTCTTTTAGGAATTTTCCACTTTTTGTCTTGTTGCAGTTCGGTTGTACGAAAATTGGTAGCACTTTGCAAATGACTTTAACGTCAGATGAGCAACATATGCAAGGACAAGAATAAGTATAAGGCTGCAGAAGAGTGGATAGAAGCTCTAGTCACCAAATACCTCCTGTAAATGATTACGTACAGCACTATTCGTGCACGAACGCAAGATTTGATGAACTCACAGTGCTTGATCACTGCTTACTTTCACCACACTAGACCCATCCATAGTATGGGAACCATGGGAACTTGAGGAACCAGACGGGACGATATATCACAACTTTCACACATTCGTTAGCGTAGGAAAATACCCGTGCAGAATCTGACGCAGTCCTCGCTGATATCTCAGCTTTTTAGGTGGGAGCCCACCACGATCCATGGTACCACGTGTATCGGTAAGACTCAGAGATTGCGCACCTCCATTCTGATAACCAAATAGCTCCCAGCCAATGGAAAAGAATTGGTGCCATATTGCTGAGTAAATCTTGCTCATGGTACAGCAAATTACATTACTAGATACGGGGCCATATGTACGAGACTGACACCGTTGTGCCCAACTTCAAATCAGCCTATGAGTTCGGCCACGATTAAACATCTAAACACAGTGACCGTACAATCATAGGAAAAATAAGACCGAAATTGTCCGAGTTGTACAGAAAGAAACGATTGGGGTATCCAAATTTGCTCAAAACGCGTAGATAGACCTAGATGCGATGATGTGGTGGTATACGCGAAAAGGAAAAACGAGACCCTATCGCTTCCAAGGAATTATGAATGGGGATCGTGACAGATAGTGGAAACTCGACTGAGACGATTGTAGAGGAAAGAAAAAGGGCGAATTAGGGCGTAGAACTCAGTCACCATCCCACATAGGCGGTACCCACTCCTGTCCAGGGTAGCTAGTCGCCTTCATAGTGGGTTCGTCATCCTCAACAGCAGGCAACTCAAATACCGGTCTGCTATAACTTCCGCGTCTCTCCCAGCCTGAAGGTCCCCCAGTAGTACTGCCACCAACGCTCCTTAGGCTGGGGACTTGTCCGCCACCAGATGCACTCCGTTCAAGCTCTCTGGCTCTTGCCCTTGCAGCCTCGCGCTCTAGCCTCTCACGCTCATGTCTTTCGCGCTGCTCTTGTTCGCGCTGGACGCGTTCCATGTGTGCGAGATTTTCTTGCTGTAGAAGCTGGCGACGCAGAGACTCGGCACCCATGTCCGGTGACGTGCGTTGGGGTGATGCAGCCATCGAGGCTGGTTGTGGGTGCTGCAGGATACCAATCGATGGTTGACGTGGTCGAGATCCTGGTTGTCGGCCGCGTGATTCATACTCCAGATTCGTCGTGATGTTAGGTGGCCGAAGCGCTTCTGGACGACTCTTGTTCATTCCGTCGTTGGGTACACCGAGACCATCGTATGACGGTGGAGCTTCATCTGGTACCTGCTCGTCATACTGTGGCACGACCCTTTGTGACGAACCATATCCATCATCTCGAGACGAGGGATGATGGAACTGTTGTCGTTGATTCTCGAATGAAAACGGTTGCGTACTGCCAAATCCAGGCCGCACGGGGCTGTGGGCGACCTTCGGGGGTGGAGGTGGCGGTAAACCGCTTGCGGTGGGGTTCACAGGACTACCTATTAGCGTCGGGTCAGGCGACATGGGGAGAGGGTACGCTGCGGGTGGTGGAGATTGTCCAGGACGTATCGGCGTGGGCTGTACAGGAGTTGCATCGCGATGGACCATGGGCTGCAGATCGTGACTAGACTGTGTAACCTGTGATTCTGGATCAGGTTGTGAAGAGTGCCGGGGTAGAAGTTCTCTGAAACCGCCGCCCTGTGATTGAGCATGTGAAGGCACAGTCACTGGTATCATCTGTTCCGGCGATGCACGAGGCGATGGTGAGCTAGCAGCTCTCTCAGCCTGTTGCTGTTGTTGAGCCGTGAAGCGCTCTTGCATGTATTGTCCCTGACGTGCTCGAACAATCTCTTGTTCAGTGGCGCCCTCTGGGAAGTTGAGGTGCCATGGGCGGTCTTGTTGATGTACCTCGGAGATACTACTCATCCTTGGCTTCTGGTAACGCTGCCCAACGAGAGGTGGAGAAGAATTAGGTAAGGCTGGTGAGTTTGAAATTGGCGATACTAGAGACATAGTGCTTGCATCTGAGTGTGATCGACCGTTGGGAGGAGCTGGAGACTGTGCAGATATTTGTGGCGATACCATTTGCATTCTAGGTTCCGAATCTTGACGATGAAATTGATTTGGTATGGGCTGCTGCTCCCGGTCAAGTGGGGATGTAAAAGCCCCATAAACAGGATTATACGCGGCTGGTATCGGAGGTGCGTCATATCTGGGCTCTTGCATAGGAGAAACAGGTGGTGGAGAAATAGGAACAGCTTCTTGAGAAGAGTGTTGAAGTCTGGGTTCGGACGCGTTATGGTAGGGAAGAGGTTGGGCATTGTTCGGCTGCCGTTGTTCCATGTGTTGGTCTTGCTGCTGTTGTAGGTGCAGTTGCTGGACTCGCGCATCGTCATTCAGCGACGACCGATCGTGTTCGTTGGTGAGTCTCCCTTGTTGCCGTAGTTGCTCGCGTTGTGCAAGCCAGGCCTGGTGAGCGAGTTGCTCTGGCGACGGGCCAGGATGTATTTGCCGTTCCGATTGCTGAGTATGACGAGGATCCCTATGAACACTTTGCCTTCCCGCAGACTGCTGCCTCTCCTGTTGTCGCTCAGCCTGCGATACCGGATAGGCTCCCGGTTGAGGTATCTGCTGCTGTTTATGCTGCTCTGCTTGTTGCCGCGCAGCTAAAGAAGCTGCGTAGGCTCCCTGTTCAGCTGAAGGCCGCTCAGCTTGGGGTTTGTAGTATCCACCAATAGGAGGACCCGAGCTTGGATGACGCATGTGGGGAACAGTGCTTTCAGACATTCGGCTTGACGATTGTGCTGCATTGCCAGCATTAGAAGCAAGAGGGTGGTGTGACTGCAGACTACTCTGTCGAGCTTGGTGTTCCATCGCTAGCTGCTTTGTCTTGAGGAATGCAGAGCCTTCTTCCGGACGCGTATTGGGCATCGATTTCCGTGCCGGCGGCATATTTTGCACCTGTTGATACTGTTGAGGTGTTCCTTGAGAATGCATATGTGGTGCTGGTTGAGATAACCCTAGCTTTGGACCCATGGGTGGCTCATTACGCACAGTATGTGGCGGCAGTTGTCCAGGAGGATAATATGCCAAACCAGACTGTTGTGGCTTATATGTTTGCTGTTGTTGAGGCAGCCATTGAGATGGTGGAGGTTGGACAGGAGGGACAGAGGAGCTCCGTTGGGCCTTCTGTGCCTTCTTTCCTTCTTTCGACAACTTGGACTTCGCAGCCGGCCCGTCGCCGCTCACACCACCTCGATTGAACAAAGCTCCAAATCCAGAAAACCTTTTCTTCTTTCCATTTTCTGGTGTTCCTGACTGGGTTACTTGGTACGACTGAGCTTGGGCTTGGGGCATGGACGGTGGTTGTAGAGGTGGAAAACCATTCGAGGCACCAGATGTCATGAGCACCCTTGCATCACGATGCAAGTCGGTCGAAGGTACCACTAATGGGGTTTGGATGAACTGCGGTTGCTGACCCATACTTGGGCGGTTTGGTGGCACGAAAGACCTGGGCTGTTCAGCAGGTCTCTCTTTGGACGCTTCTCTAGGTCGTGTGAATCTATCCATTACAGACTGAACCGGAGCACTATAGCTGGGGTTGGGTGGAAGGGGCTTGGAATCCGAAAGCATGATGGTGTTGCTAGTGCTCGGCGGGTGCTGAGAATTTGCTTGGGTTTTCCCGCCAAGGCTCTTAAACATGGATGAAAGTCTGGGTTTCGATGGCTTCTCTTGTTGTCTTGGTACTTGTTCGGCAGACGGATGTGAACGAGTAGTAGGTGGTCTGAACTCTGCATCTTGATGTCGAGGGTATTGTGCTTGCCTTTGCATCATCTGCTGATGATGTTCAAACTGGTTCCTTGGTACACTGCCCTGCGTATGCGCCTGAATCTCACGGGATCCCACTTGTGCCTGCGGGTAATTCGGAGCATCCTGCGAAACTGGTTGACCGGGAATCATCGGTCTCCTTTGCGGCTCATGCAACACATGGTCTGAGGTTTGATTGGTCGGTGGTGGTTGGTAACTGACATTAGGATTCTCAGAGAGCACCTGCTGAGAAACGGATTCGCCCGAGGGTCGCCAGGAGTCAATAGCTGGCTGAATCGTCTTACTTCCAGGATTGATTGACTTGACAGCGTGGAAAATGTTTTTCGACGGGCTTGGTCCTGGAGCAGGCACTGGTTGGTGCCGCGATGTGATTTGATCTGGTGGCGGAGCCATGCTTGCTGGCGGGTTCATCGAGTACACTGTCTCCATATTTCGTGATTGTTGTGGTTGATGTCGGTGCTGCTCAGGAGCTGGTAGCTCCTGCATTGCGTTCGAGGCTGCGGCCTGGTTGATCTGGTCTTGAGGTTTACCATCCTGGTCTTCAGGCCCTGAAACGAAACTCATTGGCCTTTCAAAACTATATCTTGGATGCTCTCCATCATGGGATGCTGGTGCACTCCCAATGTCGGAGGTTGAAGATCTTGATGGCTGTGGTCGTGGCGTTGTTCCTGGTACTTGGAGATCTGCAAGCCGCAAGGGCCGGCCACTCTTGTCTTGCACATCCTTGACAACTCCGTTGTGATCTGCATAAAGATCGAAGTCAT